CTCTCGCATTCACCTTTCCATCTTGGTGGGATTTCTGACATTCCATCGTCACTAAAGCTCTCACTTTCTGGCCAAACACCAGTGTCCACCACTCCAATTATGACATCTTTGCCATAATCTGCAACCGGCCAAGCTCCAGATTTGGAACTGAGGCCAAGAAACTGAGAGGAGTGAGTTGTGTCTGGTTTTACTGGCAAGTCTTTGACTGAAGAAATGTAGCCTGGAGAGGTTTTTATGGCCTCGAGCTCAGAAAGAGAGAGACTTGCACTGAACCCATTTATGACATGAGTATAACTGTAAATAAGTTTAGAAGAGAGGGCAGAAGAAGAGGAGGTTGTGGTGGTGTTTGGCCTAAACTTGCTCAGTGCAGAGTTTACTGTGGCCAAGTACCATGAATGGTGATCAGCAAAGGCTTTTGGCATCATGGTTGAGTCCATGTGGATGATATAATTGTTGGGTTGAGCCAAAGTGGTAGAGATAATGGCAATGGCAAGCCAAAAGCACAAGCGAACATGATGACCAATAGCCATTGAAATTGAGCACAAGGGAGGGAGGAAGAGAAAATTCAGAACACAATATTGAATTTGTACAGTTCGTAATTTTTATAGAGAGTTATAAGGAGCATGGGAACCAATCAAGATATTCCTCACCACCATCTGATTTATTCCAACTTGTCCATTTGGTATCTTATAATTTGCAGGGGACCCTTGATCTCATCATCTCCATACATGATTGATGCCCCAATTGCCCATACATTTATGGATTTGATGGATAATGGATGGCTTGACTTCAAAATATACACTCCCCTAACTTATGGATTCTAATCATTGTGATCCTTAACATTTCAGTCACTAGATCAGGATCCTTCGTTTTGGCAAGGCCATCTTGATGATGCTCTATGGTTGTTTTTTTTGTTGATGCGCCAAAGTAAGAAAAAAGGAGGGGGTTTTCTCACACACACTAGTAAAATATTATGAGGGTTCGAACATAATATCACTAGTTTACAAGTTAATGCGAGTAGACCCAGTTAGCATTGCTCTTTGGTTGCTTGCTTGCTGCTGTATGACAGCATTGTCATTATATGGATGGACCGCCACAAAAACAGGGGAATATGGTGAATTGGGTAACCACCGCATGCGTAAGGCAGCAAGTGGACGTAAATATCAATATGATTAACAAAAATAGAGTGAACCCATCATGTTCCTATCACTTAAAAAAAATGAGAAATTTCCTGAGCATTTTGGTTTTTTCCTCATGCTGGTTCAGATGTTCCTTTCAAAAAAAGTTGACATAAAATTTAGTCACTTTGTGCCATTTGGCACGTTATGGCACACAAATTACATTATTGGTTATTTTCATGTACAAGTTTTAAATATAAGAAAGGCCAGATAATAAACCACATGCATCATAATCTTATATATATGATCACTTATCTGGGTTTAAAAATATTTCTGGAAATTTTGCATGATTCTCCAATTGGTTTCATCCTTCCAAGTGAAAGGGTGAGCTTGATGTTTCAGTTTCACTCAGACCAAACCAGAGGCTGAGAGCAGTTGCTTGTGTCTAAGGGAATATGGTTGTTTTTATAGTGCACAATAGTAATGGACCGCCACTCTAGGATTTTCCTTTTGTACGGCCAAAGTTCAACCGAGCAAAGCATGGAAGATATTTTACAGAAGGAAAAAGCAACCTTATGAAAATGGGCGGTGCATTTTGATCATGACATTGCCAAATTCCAGAGTCAACTGGTTGGTTGTTAGTTACACGTCGGCTCATTCTTGTTGTGCCCATTTTCATTTCGAGCATCAAAACTACTACAAAATAAAGGTTAAAGCAAAAGTTGCAGTGCAATTTCTTTCCCCATCTTACCAAACCAAACCACATTTCAAATTTTTTGTTATTTTTATTTTGACAAATACGATATTCTAAACTATTTTATTGGATGGTAAATGGAGTTTAAACCCGAGTGAAATGAGGCAAACATAGGGTATTTACCAACGGACCTGACCCATATTTGCTATTTCAAACAATTTCGGTTTACTTTCTTTTTCTATTTTACAAACAAGACATTTTGGGATGATCCGCTAGGCCTCCTCAGATTCTAGAATTAGCACTCGGCTACCCATAATTGGTAAGGCCCAATTGAGTTCAAACCCAGGACACATGACTGTAAAATACTAGGTAAAACATCCCACCCATGATATTTGCACAATAACTTTCTCCTTAAATCACCCGATTGCATCACTCCCTCCAGGTAAATTATCTGATTTTTCTTGATTTCCAAGCATGAAATATATTCGAATAATTAAAATGCCATAAAATTTCCAATAATTTTTAAAAGATAATTACCATGGTTATTTAGATCATATCTAACAAAATCACCTTAATTTTCTCTTCTTTCAACGGCCCATTTTTAGAGACCAAATTTACCAAAAAAATTATTTTGACTTGCTCCCCTTGCTAGCTTATGACTGATAACAAATTTTGGGGTTGAAACAGACTACTAAAGAATGTTACCAAATGGTAGCAATACACTGCTGCAGTTAGATAACATATTGTGGATGTCTTGAACTGATTGGGCGTAGCCTGCATAGTGATCAAATTACCTAACAAAGACAGAGAAAAAAAAAAAAAAAAAAAAAAAAAAAAAAAATTAGAATCTTAGTACTTAGAGATTATAGAGATTATCAAGGGGTTTATAGCTTAAGTTTTTTAAGAGCCACTCGAGGACCAGTGTTCGACTTCTCTTTCCCACAATGTGGTTCTATGGAAAAGAATTATAGTGAGTATCACCAAATCACTTTTGTTTATTGCTCATTATAGAAAAATTATGAAGGGTTTCATGTTTATGTTATGTCTTTCATTTCGATTCAATGATAGAGAACATCTCCAAATCACTTTGTGGCTCTTGGAAAAGAGTTTTGTAAAAATCTTTGCTCCAAAATCCTAAGCCAATTAATTACACATGCATGTACTTGAACATGACCTTCTAATTAAACCATATACCCTAATAAACAACATGTTTTTTTTAAATATTTATAAAGCTCCCAAAACCCTTATGTTATTTGCATCTCCCACATCTCCTCTGCCATAAGAGGCCTAGCTACAAAGATGGGTTTGTGCTACATGATCTTGCCTCTGCTACTCTCAATGCTGCTGCAAATAAACACTGCTGAAGAATACAAGACATATATCATCCACATGAACAACTCCCACAAACCTGCATCTTTCTTAACCCATGAGTCATGGCACAGGTCCATCCTAAAATCACTACCCTCACCTCAAGCAGATCAAGATGACAGTGAAATGTTGATGTACTCATACAACCATGTCATGCCCGGCTTCAGCACCAGGCTCACACCCTCTCAGCTGTCTGAACTGGAGAAATCTCCGGCTCATGTTGCCACGCACCCAGAGTCTTTTGGACAGTTGTACACAACACGTAGCCCCAAGTTTCTTGGTCTCAAACACAAACTTGGCTTATGGCCTGCTGCGTCCTACGGCGAAGGCGTGATCATAGGAGTTATTGATTCAGGAATTTGGCCAGAGAGTGAGAGCTTCAGTGATAAGGGAATGCCACAAGTGCCAGAAAGATGGAAAGGCAAGTGCGAAAATGGAACAGCATTCACCTCATCTCTATGCAACAAGAAGCTCATTGGGGCTCAATCTTTTAGCAAAGGGCTCGAAGCTGCAGGACAACATATCTCGGAATATGACTATGACTCACCAAGAGACTCGTTAGGTCACGGAACCCACACATCATCAACAGCTGCAGGCCATCATGTAGTCAGTGCAAGTCATTTTGGATATGCGAAAGGCACAGCAAGAGGGCACATGTGGCCATGTACAAGGTCTTGTGGTCAGAAGATACCATATTTAGTGCAAGCAGCGATGTGCTTGCCAGGATGGACCAGGCAATTGCTGATTGCGTTGATATCATATCGCTGTCGATTGGCTTGCAAAGGCTCCCTTACTATGACGATGTCATTGCCATTGCTTCGCTTTCAGCGATTGAGAAAGGTATTGTTGTCGTCTGTTCTGCTGGGAATGATGGTAACTCCAATTCGATGAACAATGGAGCACCCTGGATCACAACAGTAGGAGCTGCCACGCTTGATCGTAGTCTCACTGCATCAATGACTCTAGATAATAACTTGACAGTTGAAGGAACATCCTACTTCCCAGTGAGCGCTTACATTACAGATAAGCCATTGTATTATGGGAAAGAAAATGTGAAGAAAGCAACATGCGACTTTGGGGCATTGGATCCTAAAGAAGTGGATGGAAAGGTTGTCTTATGTGATAACACTACGGAGTTTGATGTTGGACAGCAAAAGGAACACGTAGAGAAGGCAGGTGCTTTTGCTGGAATCTTCATGACCAATCTCTCAACTATGGTCCCAGAAGAGTTCAACATTCCTGCTATGGTTCTGTCATTTGATACAGGGGCTTTGATTAGAGAACATGTAACAAAGGTCAGCGCAACTCAAGTTAAGAGCCTGACTTTTGTGCACACAAAGTTTGGTGCAAAACCAGCACCACAAGTGGCCCATTTCTCTTCAAGAGGACTGGACCAAATCAATCCAAGTATTCTAAAACCAGAAATTATTGCTCCGGGGGTTGATGTGCTGGCTGCATTTCCACCTAACAAGAAATACATATTTAGCGTAAAAAACTACGATTTGGCGACAGATTATGCATTGATGTCAGGGACATCAATGGCAGCACCCCATGTTGCTGGAGTGGCAGCCTTGCTGAAAGCTGTTCACCGAGAATGGAGCCCTGCAGCCATCCGATCAGCGATCATGACCACAGCATACACAGATGACAATACTCACACCACCATCAAAGACCAAAGGAGTAGTCTTCCCGCCACGCCCTTAGATTTTGGGGCTGGCCACATCAACCCAAACAAGGCCATGGACCCTGGACTGACCTATGACATGGATGTGCAAGATTATATTGAGTTCCTATGTGGCCTTGGGTACAATGCTAAGCAGATGAGGGCTGTTATTCGACGAAGGCGTTGGAGTTGCAGCGCACAACCTATGGAACTAAACTACCCTTCTTTTATGGCCATCTTTGATGGAAAAGACTTCCCACGAGCTAAAAACTTTAGCAGGGTTGTGACAAATGTGGGAAATAAAAAATCAATTTATAGAGCAGTTTTGGAAGTTCCTAGCGGAATGAGGATTGCAGTGGAGCCTAACACTCTAAAATTCACTAAAAGACATCAGAAGCAATATTTTCGCTTGAGCTTAGAGATCGAAAGCAATGCTCCGAACACGACCTATGGTTATCTCAAATGGGTAGATCAATACAACCACATTGTATCAAGCCCTGTCGTGGCAATGAATCACTAATTGATATGAACAACATATTCATGTGCAGGACTCAAGATTATTTTATTCCTTATTGATTAATTTATGTAAATACTGTATAAAGCAACACATTTTTATATCATACCCAAAAGATTGTGAGATATTCCTTTAAAATTTTGCATCAATGTTATTCTTTTCCAGATACCCTTAACCTCATCTTACCCAAAGAAGTAAAATTGTGAACCCAAAACCACAATGAGAATGCTTGAAAGAATGGTATAAACAAAGCACAAATATTTTGAAAGAAAAAACTCACAGGCAGAGAGAGTTGTAAAACACACCTCAGATACAAGCATGTTACTTCCTTCAATGGCAGCAGTCAAAGTCCGCAAAGAAAAGCCGGACAGCAAACCCAAAGTCCCCCATGAACGTGTCTCTCCATCTCGAACGAGCTTGGGTGAGCTGCAGATAAATGCCCCATCTCCCCTGATGTTCTTATTTTTAGTAAAAGCCCAATTTTGTAGGTTTTATTAATTTTAGAACTAATTACGTAAATTTGAGTAGAGGTTTCTTTATATTTAACAGGCCCAATATATTCCTCTTCAACCCCCAAAAACATAAGAATTTAAATAAAATTTAGAAAAAAAAATTCTATAATGAAGTTGACATAAAAATTAAGGGCATGTCTGGTAACGTTTTTGGAGAATGTTTTCTTAGAATATTTTCAGAGAATGAAAACGAGAAAATAAATTTGCATTTTCAAGATTTAAGAATGCATCTGGTAGATTAATTGGAAAATATATTTAGAAAATAAAAACATTTAAAACTTGTCTGGTAGTATAATTGGACTAAATATGAAAAATGCACTTTTGAAATACTAATGTTTTCAATGATATTTTTGGCGGTTTATATTCCTTAAAACTTAAATAATCAAACACGATTTTATGAGATTTTAGTATAAAGTATACATTGACTTATTGAGATATCAATATTTGTATAAACTGTATCTTATACTAAACTGGATTTTCATATTTTGATTTGTTGGGAATTTGATTTTCTAGTATTATTTATTGAATCCAAATGGGAGGTACTTACTTATATACATCGTAAAATTAAGTAAATGAAGTAATATAAAAATAAATAATAACAAAAAGCAATGGGTGGCCCAGCCTAAAAAGCCCACTTAGGCTCGGACCGATCGCTTTGAAACCTCAGCTCGAAAAATGAAAAGGCCCATAAAGGCCCGGCCCAAACTCAAAAATTTCGGGTGTGTTTTGGTGCCTTTAACTAATAGAAAAGTGTTTTAGTGCCAAAAATAAAGTGTTTGTATTTTGTTGTAGTTCTTTCTTTTTTGGGATAGCAAGGTGGAGTGTGAGTTTTTTTTTTCTTCTTATTTTTTGGGGTCTGAAACGAGTTTAAGTAAATATGATTTTTTTGAGAGAAGAAGTCTGTTAAAGATTACAAAACATCATGCCCTTGTAGCTCAAGTGATTAATGACATGTTTACTAATCCGTAATTGGATTAGGAAGAATTGAATTGAGGAGAATTAGATAGATTCCTAAACCATATGGATTGAGTGGAGTTAGATTTCGGATTCCTATTGAAGTTGTTTACTAAGAGCTCGTTTGGGAGTGCTTCTTCCCGAAGCGCTTATGCCAGTAGCGCTTATGACATAAGCGCTTCTACAAAGAAGCAGTTTGTCGTTTGGATGTCACATTTAAAAGTGCTTTTACACTACATAAAAGTATTTTTGATATTTTGTTGAGTGTTTGGCTGACACAATAAAAGCACTTTGATTTATCTGGAACTCTCCTAAATTGTGAGTCTTGTGGACTTATGATATCACTAGTCATGCGACAAACGACTTCTAAAATTATCCCAACCCACTTTGACACCATCTCGCCATAATGTTGAAATTGGACCATTCTGGTGTCCAACTCTAAAAATATTAATTAGGGTAACGAAATGGTCTTTTAGCTCAGTCTTAGACTGCATCCCATCCACCATTGTGTGCTTGTTTCATTCTTCCCAACTGTCAGAAGCATATCGAACTAGCATTTTCTTCCACCAGAGATAGGGCTCCAGTCTCTCCGGGCAGTTTCAACACTGCACACCTGCATCAACAACATTTGTGACATTAAAAACAAAATATCAACTGAGAAAAATAAATTCAAATATGCTGTTCTTCTACTCAAAAGATGAAACTCAACCATGTACAATCAAAAACTGAATCAAAACATATACGACAGTTCAAATATCCTTACCTTGAATTGATATTCAGTATTTCTACATCCTTCCCCACCAGAATATCCTTGAGCAAAATAAAGCTCGGAACATGACTATTTGCCTCAGAAGATTAATACTTCATCTCTCGAAGCTTAAGATAAATGAATGGAATGTGGTTTCCTGGGTGATGGTAAAAGAAGGCATTGAGACAAGAATTAAACATCAACAGACCATCATTCTCAAAGTATTTCATGGGTATACGCCCATGTGGCCACCTTCGACGAAAACCAGTCCAATTACCATATAATAATGTTTGTTTTCAATAAAATCGAGCACACAATATTATATAAGCAATGGGCATACAAGAATTCAGAACTGATCTCCATTCTCTAGCGAGAAAGAGAGAGGAAAAAAATGAAAGAAAGGGTATTTGGCATTTAAAAAAATTAAATATGGGTATTTTTGGCATTTTAAAAGTTTCATTAAAGGGACCCAAGTGCTTCCCGTGTTTTTGTCCTGCAACGCTTTTAAGAAGAAGCACCTCTCAAGTGCTTCTTCCAAAACCACTCCAAGTGCTTTTGGATCTAACCCAAAGCGCTTTTGCAATTTTTGCCAAACATCATTTTTAAAATATAGAAGCGCTTTCACCCATTTAGAAGCGCTTTTCGCTGCTCCAAAAGCACTCCCAAACGAGCCCTAAATCATATGGAATTGGGGTAGGAGTGGTACTAATTATTAAAATGTCCTCGTTGTTAGGTTAAAGTAAATGACAAATTTAGAATTTTAAAAATTGTGTGAGGATATAATAGGTAAAAAAGATGAATTCCTAGGTTAGTTTTCCAATAATTAGAATACCACCTCCCACCCAAGAATTGAATCCCTCGAAAATCAGGAATTCAATTCCTAATTTTGTGTTGGCCCACTTACTTTTCAATTCCTTGATGCAATCTTTTTCATGTCTTTGGAGTACTGCATGCATTTCATGGAGCTACAGTCCAAACTGTTCGATCAAAAAAGAGGTGCCTGGCAAGTTCCAAAAAGAAAAACAACCCTTTTAAATATTTGATACAGTTTGAAAACTGAGTCGCCACCAGTTTGCAAAATGCATGGCTATATTTTCAGTTTAATTTATATGATAGCTAAGCTATCGATCGTTGAATTATGTCCACAAATCTTTTTGATACAAACAATATTAGGGGAGAGAGGGAATCGAACTTAGGACATCGGGTGAAGAGATAACTAATTTTAATTAATTATTTGAACTACAAGCCTATTGTGTATATCCACTAAATCTTATGTATTCATAAGGGACTGAAAAGTTAAATTTTATTTACGCAGCTTGCAATTTTAATCATCGTGCAGTAAATATTTAACCGAAGTGAAGAAAATATAGAAAAGATATATGAAGATAAATTGGGACAATCCCCACTCCCATCCCATGTGAGTTTGCTTGTTGCTAAGGGGTCGTGTCACTTCCTCATTCCCTTATTTTCTGTTTCATTTTGCTGGTGTTCTGTGAAACACACAGACCCTTTCTTTGCTTCCAAGTTCCAACTCCAATTATTGGAAACACTACCTGAAAAAAGAAAAGTTAAAAAAAGTCATTTCCCAGGCAGTAATTAATATGACAGACGACTTATATATTCCTCCAGGCTGAAAATTACCCCAACTTTAGATGGGAAAAAAAGGGGTTAAAAAAAATCTACCCGAAGTAAAATGTTATCCAGAAAAGATACAAGGGTGTCATAACGATTTTCATGTCATTTCAAATAAAAAAGTTTTGATGTTAAAAAGAGGTTCTATTCTTCACCCACTTCCAATCCAACATTATCCTTCTGCCTTCTGCCTTCTGCCAAAAGCAGCTTCACATATTTATACGCAATTATGCATGTGTTAGATAAAAAGTGTAATAAATAAATTAAAAATTCACCCAACATAATCTCATTCTTATTTACAAATAAGAGTTTTTATTTTTTAATTGAGTACGACCCATTCAAGATAAAAATATCTCTTAATTATAATTTCTTTGGAAAGAGAAAACCCTTTGATTCCAATATGAAGAACGAAATAAATAATGAAAATTTGATTTGATGTTACGGCTGCATCCAAGGAACCCTAGACTGCCTACATACCCCATTTTGGGGATCAAGCCTTTTGTAGTTCTCAGATAATTTGATTGGACTTTCAAGGAATGAATGACCCCTTGAAAGAATTTGTGGTATGAGAAATCTTTTATGGAATTTGGATGAATGTAGTTGGACCAGGAATTCAATTTGATTTTGTAGTTTGAAAAAAGTGTTTGGGGCAAATTTGGTTAAGGTACACCATGGATTCTGTTTGGGCTTGCGGTTGTATTTGGATTGAGTTTCCAAATTGCCTACGTATCCTTGGCGAAATCAAACCGGACGTAGTTCCCTGATAATTTGGTTGGACTTTCAAAGAATAAATGACCCTTTGAAAGAATTTGTATGTTTGAGATATTTGAATTTGATCTCATTGAAATTTGCAGAGTAAATGACCTATGAGAAAATTTGGAATGGTTTTGTACCATTTTTTTATTGTTAATGTCCAAAGAAAATTAAAAGGCATTTTAATGAGCCCATTAATTTACTCACATATGGTTTTGAGGATTTAAAAAAAATATCCATTAACCACATAATTTATTTGGATCACCCATAAAATATTTTGGGCTTTGGAGAGTTAATGGGTAATATGTTTTGTCAACCCATCAATTTGTTTCCAGGCCTTGATATTTCCATTAGTTTGCCCATAAACAAAGAGTCCACGTCTGAGAGCCAGCTGCCAATTGAAACCAAAACCGATACAGAGCTTTGATTTTGAGAAGCCAAAATCAAAGAGAAGTCAAAACAAGGTTGGTCTTTTCCTTTGCTTTCTTCTGTCAGAGTTAGACCACATAAACCATTAAAATATTAATTGGAAGTATTGGGAACTTAAAGGCAGACTTAGACCACATAACCCATTGGAAATATGGGAGCTTAATGGCAACAACGTCGGTTTGTCAAAGTACAAAGGTACTTTAACTTTTCTTTGTCCCTTTTTGGCTTTTTCTTCCTTGTTTTGTTTTTGGTTTCTTTCATAATACGAAACTCCCTTTTTTTTTGTTGCTTTTCTTCTTCAATCTTGGGCATGGCAGGAGGGCTTTCTTTGAGCAACAAGTTTCTTCATTTTTTTTGGTCTAAAGACCAAATTTTGGTTTGAAGAAAAGTTGCTGACAGCAGGCTGTGCATCCATTTCAGCTTTGACTTCTCCTTTTGCATATGACAAGTCTTTCTTCTTCATCAGATTAGTTTTTTATTTGTTCTCCTGTTTCTCTCATATTGCTTTCTATCTCTTTCTTTGGTTTATGTCTGTGTTTGTTGCCTATGAACACCTGCAAGATTTTCATCAAGTATGCCTATGAACACATGCAAGGTGCTCATAGCACTTAATACAGAGGGGTTCTGGCAGAAGCCCATTTGCATATTTTCACAATAAGGAGGTCCTTGCGAGAGCTCCCTCTTGTGTGATTTCTTGAAATTTCTCTAACAGCAGAGACATGGTTTCTTCAATTATTTTCCGAGAATGATGAATTTCTTTTGCCTGCAGTAGTCTCATGAGACTTCTTTGACAGCAAAGACATGGAGGAATTTCACAGCGCACATTCTCAAAACCTTTATGGCAGACAACAATGGAAGGGGACTTTGCTGATTCAATTCCAGAGAACTTGATATGAGAGCTATTTGTTGCTTTCATAGAGAAATGTGTTTTCAAGATGTCGGCATCCACGTAGAACTCATGATCTACCATTTACAGAGGCTTGTTGGATTGAACTTTGCATCGTTGAACCGCAAAGGAATAACCTGTACTGAGAGACACCCTGAAGTTTTACAGCAAAGAATGAACTTTATACCTTGCCTTTCTTCTCTGATTGCTCTTGCCCTTTTGTTTCTTCCTTGATTTTCTGTTATTTGAAACTTTCTGCAGGACCTTGGGTATCGTTTCTTCACGCTTCAGTATTAATTTCTGAAGCACTTTCTTGCTTCTCGACTCCTCCCTTCTTTGCAGCCCTTGGTTCCTCTCTGCGTTTTCTCTCCTGCAGCACCTCTGTTTCTGTCCTCCCTTTTTTTCTTTGGTTCATGCCTTTTTATAGGCAAACAGGTGAGTGGCAGTTGAGGGAGACTGTTTCTTCCTAGATTGTGCCATCGTTTTGATAAGTGGAGTGGTGGGAGATAACTTGCTCCATGCACGATCTCACCTTCACATTCTTTTTTATTTCTTTTAATTTCTTTTGAGAGTGGGGCTGTAATGGGACTTTTTCTTAGAAATAAATATATGGGATTTTATCTCTAGGCACGTAATTTTGTTGTTGAGTTCTTCATTTGAGCCTCACTTGATTTAGAATTGATTTGTTACAGCCCAAATGCCTATCCAAATTAATCTGATAGGTATGAATTTTTTTATTTCAACAGCATGCTTTTACTAACTAACTAGTCTTTGGTTTAGTAGTATTTCACTTTCATCGACATATTTTTAATCATGAAAAACAATTTTGTTTATAATTCCAAGTAAACACTACTAGAAGCTCATGAAGCACTGATTTTAATGGTAGAGATCGATAGGGATGTGATGGAGACGGACCCAAAGACACTGTAGCTAGTTTATATAGTTCTGTTTTTGTCCATTAAGTTGTACTGATAATAATTATTGAATTATGTAACAGGAGTACTTTTTGTCCAAGTCCTGTGGATGATTCACGTTAATTTTTAGATAATTAATCATTTAAATAGTGTGTCCGGCCAAAATAAACAAAGAAAGTTGAGCTGTTTATTTTTATTTGTATCAATATGACAATCTCTAAATAATGTCTTCCAAGTTCCAATATGGTACGTTAATCAAGTATGATTAAACAAAGCTGCTTACCATCGACTAACAACCACACAAAACCTTTCCCAATAATCTTAAATTGCTAGCTGCCAGCTTTAATTAGAGTAACAACAACACCAACCTGCTGTTAGGCCGATCCTGATGTGAATTATAAACTATAAACTTTAATTTATTTATAGCAAAGGGGAATGATCCCATGCTTGCTAGAGCAGGAAAGTTAGCTCTGCCGCGACACCGTTTTTGAGCTGAGGTTTGTGGCCACGACGGGGCTTCTCACCACATGTTCACCTCCACTCTCCGCCCAAGTTAGATAACCAAAAGCCACAGTCTCCTTCGTTCGTCTTGGACCTTTTATACTCAGCACAAAGCTCAGCTTCTCACCCTCCTCCTTGAACTTCAATGTGTTTGGAACTACTGCAACCTCAAACCCTTTTAAGGGTGTAACGCTTGCAACGTAGGTCGACTGTCCCTTTCCTATGTAGGTCACTGTCCTCCGGAATTCTTGAGCGGTTTGTACATCCGGCTTCGAATCGTTTGCGTTGAAGAATGCAATGAAAGAAGGATAGTTAAGATCCAAGGAAGGAGTTGAGCAATTGTTCGAGGCTGATTTGGTGATGGTTTGTATTTGCTTGTTGGTGTAGTTCAGTGCACAAAGGAGATTTATGTAATCTTCTATGTCCGCGTCGTATATGAGCCCCGGGTTGAGGGCTTTGTTGGGATTGACATGACCTGCTCCCATGGCTAGAGGACTGGCTGGCTGGTAACCATCACCAATGTCTTTAATGGGGCTGAGAGTGTTATCCAATGTGTCTGATGTCGTCATCATGGCCGATCTAATAGCAGCAGGGCTCCATTTTGGATATGCAGCTTTTAGAAGAGCGGCTAGACCTGCTGCATGCGGGCACGCCATGGATGTCCCGGACAAGAGATTAAAATTACTAAACAAGTATTTTTTGTTCACCACGGCTACCGCTTTATTTTGAGGCCATGCAGCTAGGATTAATGACCCTGGAGCCAGAATGTCTGGCTTCAGGGTAAATGGGAAGCTGGGGGATGGCCCTCTGGAGGTGTAGTTTGCTGTAACTGGTGCTGGTTTGGCACCAAGAAGTGTCTTTTGAAATTCCAAGCTTGCTGTTGGCTGAGAGTTGCTGTTGATGTAATCTTTGATCGCTTCGCCTTCCTTTGGACTGAGAAAGATTGTGGGAAATGGGCTTCGGAGGAACTTCTTCAAGTCAGTGTTGTCGGTAATAAAAAGGCCTCCGGCAACAGTTGCGTTGTAAACATTATAAACTTGTTGGCCTAACGAATCATTTCTGTCCTGGCACACAACTATCTTCTTCCCCACCTGTCTCAATTTTTTCAAACTGTCACATGCATCAAGGAAAACAATTGGGAATTGGGTTGAAGATGAATTCCCCGGAAAAAGAGTAGACCCCGTGACGGAGCCTCCGTTGCCAAAATGCGCAGTTCCTCCAAAATCACGGTCGATTGTGCCGGCGGCAACGGTGAGAACCCATGGGATGCCATTGTGCAAGGTGCCAAAGAAAGGGCCCTCATTTCCTGCAGATGTGGACACAAAGACACCTTTCTCCAAGGCTGAAAATGTGGCTATGGCAACAGGGTCCTCATACAAAGCAACCCCATCAAGCCCAAGTGACAAGGACAAAACATCCACACCGTCTATAATCGCTTGCTCAATGGCAGCAATTATATCAGAAGACAAAGCACCCTCTTCCCAAAGAGCCTTGTACATGGCCACGTGAGCCCTCGGAGCCATGCCACTAGCTGTGCCCGGTGCATAACCAAAATAAGATGCCCCGGGCACATAATTTCCAGCTGCTGTGGATGAGGTGTGGGTCCCATGCCCTTCTGTGTCCCTTGTTGAATTCACAGAAATGGTCAAGTTGGGGTTTTGGGCAATGAGCCCTTTGTTAAAGAACCTTGCCCCAATCAACTTTTTGTTGCACAAAGAGGAGTTGAATTGAGTGCCACTCTCACATTCACCTTTCCATCTTGGTGGGATTTCTGACATTCCATCGTCACTAAAGCTCTCACTTTCTGGCCAAACACCAGTGTCCACCACTCCAATTATGACATCCTTGCCATAATCTGCAACCGGCCAAGCTCCAGATTTGGAACTGAGGCCAAGAAACTGAGAGGAGTGAGTTGTGTCTGGTTTTACTGGCAAGTCTTTGACTGAAGAAATGTAGCCTGGAGAGGTTTTTATGGCCTCGAGCTCAGAAAGAGAGAGACTTGCACTGAACCCATTTATGACATGAGTATAACTGTAAATAAGTTTAGAAGAGAGGGCAGAAGAAGAGGAGGTTGTGGTGGTGTTTGGCCTAAACTTGCTCAGTGCAGAGTTTACTGTGGCCAAGTACCATGAATGGTGATCAGCAAAGGCTTTTGGCATCATGGTTGAGTCCATGTGGATGATATAATTGTTGGGTTGAGCCAAAGTGGTAGAGATAATGGCAATGGCAAGCCAAAAACACAAGCGAACATGATGACCAATAGCCATTGAAATTGAGCACAAGGGAGGGAGGAAGAGAAAATTCAGAACACAATATTGAATTTGTAAAGTTCGTAATTTTTATAGAGAGTTTTAAGGAGCATGGGAACCAATCAATAAATAGAAGATAAATAAAGGAAAAAGAAGGTCGACAGCCAAGCTAACACGGATGGGAGCAGAAGAGGAGAGGAGAGGAGAGGAGAGTTGATAAGTTGTCTATTTTTTGTTTACTTTTGAGTTGAGGGCGGGACATTCAGCCACGTGACGTGTCCCGAGTTTGGGTCAGTTTGGCGTGCTTTTCTGTCTTTTAATTTCGAGCGGCACCAGTTTCTGGTTTCAAGTTTTCACTCTTCATCTTCACTCCAAAATGATGGTCAGTAAGTCATGTAATTTTTTTTTTTTTTTTTTTTTTTTTCCTCTACTGGTAAGTAGTTCATATGAGCCTGAATGACAATACAATACTAAACAACGAAGACTTAATTTTAGGAATGGGGATTAGTTTAGTTGGCCAAAATAGTAAGTTCATTCTTTTGCACCAAAATTCGAATCATTCTCATTTTAATTTTAAATTTAAATTAGATTAATTTAAAGTAGTTTATTCTATCTTTTATGTTCAAAAAATAACTTACTAGCAAATCAAATATGTGTATGCGTAATTTATAACATTTGATACATTACGAGTGTCGTATGATTACCTAAACGAGCAATTAGTTGTAACACAACTCAGGAAACAATGAATATATGAAAGGGAAAGAAACATGTTCCTAAACTCATACTAGGACCTGGTCCAATTGAAGTAACAAACAGTGTAGAAATGTAATTTCGATCTTTAGGTAGGAAAATGAGAAGAAAAGGAAAGAAAGGGAAAGAGAAGGGGATAAGGATTGGACGTGCCATAAGTTGAGTTAATGAACAGTGTAAGTTGCATCATGAGATTGATTTTTGTTGCGCCAAAGTAAGAAAAAGGAAGGGAGTTTTCTCACACACTAGTAAAGTGACATGAGAGTTCGAACATAAAACCACTAGTCTACAAGTTAATGCGACTAGACCTAATTAGCATTGCTCTTTGGTTGGTTGCTTGCTGCTATATGACAGCATTGTCATTATATGGATGGACCGCCACAAAAACAGGGGAATATGGTGAATTGGGTAACCACCGCATGCCTAAGGCAGCAAGTGGACGTAAATATCAATATGATTAACAAAATTAGAGTGAACCCATCATGTTTCTATCACTTTCAAAAAACAAAAAAAGAGAGAGAAATTTCCTGAGCATTTTTGTTTTTTCTCATGCTGGTTCAGATGTTCCTTTCAAAAAAAGTTGACATAAAATTTAGTCACTTTGGCACACCAATTACATTATGTTCCTTTCTCATGATGGCACGTTACCAATTACATTATTGGTTATTTTCATGTACAAGTAGGCCCGATAACACTACAAAAAAAGTGAGCAATAGTGACCCTTTTTTTTGGGTGACTATTGGCAGCAACAGTCACCTTTGTTGGTGAGTAAAACCCAATAGTAGCGCTACAGTTACGAATTTTGGGTTGGTGATATATGAAGCCGTAACTATTGTCTTTTGTCACGAATTTAACAGCTTTCGTGACAAATTTTAGTTGACTGCTGTAGTGCATGGGGCCCATAACACGTCAAATCAACTTTAGCCTTATATTTTAATATATCTACAATTTTACTTAAATCTTTATTTGTGTATTAAATTTGTATTTGATATATTTCTTTTTTGTTTTTTTATTTGGTGTATCTCTTCCTTTTCATTTTTCAATAATTGAGTAATAAATATACAGTAGTTGAATAATATACATACGTAGAATCACTACCATTCAATACACAAAGAAACAATTCAATAATTATATAATTTGATTGCAATTCCATTACAATTTTCAACCAAAAAAATTCATTACAATGTAGTCTTATGGCATCTTGAGTGTTGTCTGTCCTCATCATCTCCATCATCTAAAAATGAAAAACCAAAGCATAATCCAAAGTCAAACGCAAAAGAAAAACCAAAGTATAATCCAGAACTTGATTAACAAACGAAAAATCTAAAAAAACAAAATGACAGCCCATAATTCAAACCTAAAAATCAAACTCCAACTGGTAAAAATGAATTATATCTTGAGCGTTTGTTCTTTGTCCTCATCATCTTCATCATCTGAGAAAAAGAAAAACCAAATCTATAAACCAAGCAATAATCTATAACTTAAAAGTGCTTGGGAACTTACAAGGGTATTGGGAACTTGAATAAGTGTAAGGGTGAGTAACAGTTGTAATATATAATAAACCACATGCATCATAATCTTATATATATGATCACTTATCTGGGTTTAAAAATAATAAAAAAATATTTTTGGAAATTTTGCATGGTTTCATCCTTCCAAGTGAAGGGTGAGCTTGATGTTTTAGTTTCAATCAGACCAAAAAACCAGAGGATGAGAGCAGTTGCGTGTGTCTAAGGGAAAATGGCTGTTTTTACAGAGCACAATTGTAATGGACCGCCACCCTAGGATTTTCCTTTTGTACAGCCGAAAGGTTTCATCCTTCCAAGTGAAGCGTGAGCTTGATGTTTCAGTTTCACTCAGACCAAACCAGAGGCTGAGAGCAGTTGCTTGCGCCTAAGGGAATATGGTTGTTTTTATAGTGCACAATTGTAATGGACCGCCACTCTAGGTTTTTCCTTTTGTACGGCCAAAGTGCAACCGAGCAAAGCATAGAAGGTATTCTACAGAAGGAAAAAGCAACCTTATGAAAATGGGCGGTGCTATACTATATTTTTAAAAAGTTTAAAAAGCCTAATACAGCCGTACGGCTATACTATTTAAAAAACAATTTTAAAGCATAGTATAGCCGATCAGCTATACTATTTATGAATTTTTTTTTACAAAATAGAGTAGGGGTGGTTGCGGTTTAAAACCGCAAGTTCTCAAGCATTCACAAAAATATAAATTCACAACCTAAATAAATAAATACACAATCTCAAATTCTCAAGCATATATAAATTCACAATCTCCTCAACTTCTCAAGCATTCACAACCTAAAAAAAATTAAAGTTACAATTCCAAGCATTCCAATTAAAGTTAAACTTCTCAAGCATTCCAATTCTAAATCCTTTAAAGTTACAAACCAAAAGGAAAATGCAAAGCAAAATGAATTAAAGTTACAACTAAAAAGAAAAATCCAATTCAAAGTTAATTAAAGTTACAAACTAAAAGAAAAATGCAATGCACCAATGTTACAAACTAAAGTTACAAACTCAAGTGTTGGTGGTGAGTGGATTTGAAGAACCTCGTTATGTTGTTTGAGCACCAATGTTATCTACAAATAAAAAAGACCAGCCTAACGATTAGGTGCCCTCGTGTATAGCCGGGCGGCTATACTATTTCATATAAATATATATATATATGTACATACATATACAATATGAATATTGTACGTTTGCTTTTTTTTATTTTTTTAAAATGTGAATTTTACAGAGTCTTTAAGACGTGTACAGAATACGGATGTATTATTGAAAAATACGTGCATACGTGTAAGTGATAAATTCTTTAAATAAATTTTTGCCATCAAAAATCAAGTTTCAGTTGCTTGCCAACCTCAAAGCAAGCATGTTTGTTTTTCATGCTCTCTCTGTCTTCCTCCTTTGTCTTGGTTAACCCGATGGATATGAATCCAATAAAGGCATTGCCCAATTGCAAGGCACAACTCTTTTATGTTTTGGATCATGAACTTTTAACCTAGAATAATAGGAAAGGGATAAGAACTCACTAGTAAATTTCAGCTTTTGGTTGCATTTGAAATTTTACATAATCAATGTGAAAAAGCTGGAGCATGCCTGCAAACCCAGTTAATGTCATCTGGACCCGTAATCTACAAAATAAGTTATTTTTAGGCGACATATACCCCTTTGGTATTGTGAATGGATATCTGAAATGAAAACAAAAGGCATAAAAAAGAACAACTTCTGGGTGGCTTGACTTGGCATGCAGATTGGTTTTAACTTTTAACAGAGTGATGAGAACTCCTAAAGATTAGAGTTCAAAGAAAGGAAAAAGACAGAAAAGAAAATCCAGGCCAACAAGAAGCCAGACAAGGAGGACAATCCAATTTATCTAAATAGCAACCTATAGTACGCGTTTTGTTTCGGCTAATGCAGTGGACTATTTACCCTTTCAATGCAAACACAAGAAACCAAACAAAATCCAATATCATTCACAGTCAAGAACTTGACATATGGAAAATCGACCAGAAAGTTTTATTAATTAAACATGGACATTGAACATAACGTTCTCTGCAATTAAACAAAGAAGGTCAACATCATCCAACAAGCAACACAACATGGTTCCTATAAAGCTCAAAAATCCCTCCATCTCCTCTGCCATAAGACTCATAACTAGAAAGATGGGTTTGTACAATGTGATCAGTATTTTACTGTTAATGTTGCTGCAAATAACCAATGCAGCATCAAATGCTGAGGAATACCAGACATACATAATTCATATGGACCATTCTCACAAGCCTGCATATTTCTTGACGCACGAGGCATGGCACAGGTCCACCTTAAAATCATTGTCGTCAACATCTCCTGCAGATCGTGACGACAGTGAAATGTTGCTCTACTCATACAGCCATGTCATGCATGGATTCAGTGCCAGGCTCACACCCTCTCAGCTGTCTAAATTGGAGAGTTCTTCAGCTCATGTTGCCACGTATCCGGAATCTTTTGGCAAGATGTTCACAACACACAGCCCCAAGTTTCTTGGACTCAGACAAAATCTTGGCTTATGGCCTGCTGCCTCATATGGCCAAGATGTGATCATAGGGATCATTGATTCAGGAATTTGGCCAGAGAGTGAAAGTTTTGGTGACAAGGGAATGTCAGAAGTGCCAGAAAGATGGAAAGGCGCGTGTGAAAACGGAACAGCATTCACCCCATCTCTCTGCAACAAGAAACTCATTGGCGCTCGATCTTTTAGCAAAGGGCTTGAAGCTGCAGGAATAAGCATCTCCAAAGAATATGACTATGACTCGCCAAGAGACTTCCTTGGTCATGGAACCCACACATCATCAACAGCTGCAGGCAATCATGTACTCAGTGCAAGTCATTTTGGATATGCAAAAGGCACAGCACGAGGGGTGGCACCACGCGCACATGTTGCCATGTACAAGGTCTTGTGGGCATCAGATTCAGAAAAGAGTGCAGCTAGTGATGTGCTTGCTGGGATGGACCAGGCAATTTCTGATGGGGTTGATATCATGTCACTGTCTCTTGGCTTTGACTTCCTTCCTTACTACAATGATATCATCGCCATTGGTGCTCTTTCAGCAATTGAGAAGGGGATTGTTGTTGTCTGCGCAGCTGGGAATGATGGTTGGGCTGAAAATTCAACATACAATGGAGCACCCTGGATCACAACAGTAGGAGCTGGCACGCTTGATCGTAGTTTCACTGCAACATTGACTCTAGACAACGGCTTGACAGTGGAAGGAGAATCATACTTCCCAGAAAGCGTTTACATTTCTGATAAACCATTGTACTACGGGAAAGACAATGCAAGCAAAGCAATATGCTACTATGGGGCATTGGATCCTAAAGAAGTTGCTGGAAAGGTAGTCCTCTGTGATAACACCATGAAGACAGATGTTGATGGACAAATGGAAGAGGTTCGGAGTGCAGGTGCTTATGCTGGAATCTTCATGACAGATATGTCACTTTTAGACCCACAAGACTATGTCTTTCCAGCTCTAATTGTGCCAGTTTCTACTGGGGCTTTGATTAGAGAGTATGCAACCCAGGCCAATACAACAAAAGTTAAGACCTTGACCTTTGTGCACACCAATTTGGGGATAAAACCAGCACCACAAGTAGCATTCTTCTCTTCAAGAGGACCAGACCCGATCACTCCAGGCATTCTTAAACCAGACATTCTTGCTCCTGGGGTTGACGTGCTGGCTGCAGTTGCACCTAACAGGTTGTTCATAGAAGTAAACAACTATAATCTGGCGTCAGATTATCAACTGATGTCAGGGACATCAATGGCAGCACCCCATGTTGCTGGAGTGGCTGCTCTTCTAAAGGCTGTTCACCGCGAATGGAGCCCAGCAGCCATTCGATCAGCGATCATGACCACAGCATACTCCCTCGACAATACTAAGACCACCATAAAAGACCAATGGGGTGGTCTTCCAGCCACACCTTTGGAATTTGGTGCAGGCCACATCAACCCAAACAAAGCCATGAACCCTGGACTCGTCTATGACATGGATGTGCAAGATTACATTGAGTTTCTATGTGGTCTTGGATACACTGCTAAGCAAATGAGTGCTGTTATCAGGCGAAGTCAATGGAGCTGCCGCCAACAGCCTACTGAACTGAACTACCCTTCTTTTATGGCCATCTTTAATGGCACAGACGGTTCTCCGAAAGCCAAAAATTTTAGCAGGGTTGTGACAAACGTGGGAGACGGCACATCGATTTACAAAGCATTTTTGGAAGTTCCTAGTGGAATGAAGATTGCAGTAGAGCCTAGTAGTCTAACATTCACTGGGAAAAATCAGGAGCAAGGTTTTGTTTTGAGGGTTGAAATCGATAACAATGCTCCTAAGGTGACCTATGGTTATCTCAAATGGATTGATCAACAGAACCACATAGTGTCAAGCCCTGTAGCGGTCATTAATTACTAGAGTTCATGATACTATCAGCATATTCATGCATAGAAGGAAAAACAATTGAACTTCATAGCATCTTCCAGTTGTTAAACTGCTACTCTTTGGCAGTCTTTGAGCGAAGAGAAACAGAGAGTAGTCAAGATAAATATAGAGAAGAAAAATGTGGAATCTCATATTGTTTCCTGACTAATTTCTATTCTTATTTATCCTTTGAATAAAGTGGTGCGAACACAAGATTTCTGGGCAGTTAGATTCTAAATATACGAAGAGCATATCAATTATTCAGCTTCTTTGTTTTTCTTTTGTTGATCCATCCAAAGAAGGAAGAGAAATTATATTCTTGTAGAATATCTTTTTTCTTCTTGAATAATACCATGAAAAAGCTTCAATCTTTTCCTTTTCTAAAGTAACGGTAGCCTATAATTAAGGGCAAGGCTTGCTCTTTTTTGTCATGAGATGTTTCGTCCAGAGACATTCAACCTTCGCGGGCAGTCGTTGCCTTTAGTTACTTTCTCCCCGATTTGTCGTGTCGGTGGTCTCTGACAGTCAAACGCATAAATCATGCGAGCTAATGATACTATATTAAATTATTCTTTTCAGTAAAAAGAAAAAACCTGAAAATTCATAAAATCAACAAATATTAATTATAATTTATAAACACAAATATTATGAAATTTCCCAAAACTTAGGAAGGCATTGGCATATGGGCACATATGTCATTTCATCAAAAATTGGTTACCAGGCGACAACGGACAGCTGCGAGAGGTAGAGCCCCATGGAAGACAAGTCCTTTTTTTTAATGTGCTGTTTCTCTTTACTATCTGCATTTTTCTGTTTAAGCGACACGTCAAATACCACAGATTTTCAGTCTAAAAGCGAAACAAAAAGAAAACAAAATGCAAAACCACCAACAACGCTTTTGGTGTGGGGCCTACTGAACAAAGAACAAAAAGCCCCCTTCAGAAAAAAAACAGAAAGAGAAGGTCCCTCTGATGACTTTTACATTAACACCAAACCAAACCGGCATAAAGCATAATTATGGGGTCCAAAGGGTGTACACCTTTATGATTTATGCATACAACATTCATAGCTGTCAAGGTTTCTTCTGCAGCAAAAACAAACCCCACACCCTTAAAGCCTGTTACAGAATGCAATACAAACTCTTGTGAATTTGTAGGACCTAAGTTATTCCAAGTAAACCTAAACCTAGCATGAATGCTGTTGATATTGCCTCTTAACTGAAATACCCTAGTAACAATGCCTGCATGTTGTTCTTTGTCAGTCAAAAACTTCAATAATCAGAATTTACAACTTACCTATTGAATGAAAAAATCGGTTCATGTTAAAATATCAAACAAATTTAAGGCCATAGGATTGCGATGATTCGAGAATTACTATTTATGAAAATCCCCTTAGGGCCGAATTACCATAGAAGAGCCGGTGGAGTGAAAAACACTAATCTGGTTTATTTCAATTACATTGAGAGAAAGGAACGAAATGCTAGAGAATCCACCGAAGTGCAAGCTCATATTGACATGAATGGCTATACAGGGGAAGTAATTAACAGCTACATAATTTAACCTATCCCTAGACAGAAGCATAGGGGCAAAACAAGGTGAGTCAATTCACCTTACTTGTGAAACTGGTGACTGGTGAGGCTAATGCTCTTCTTCCAATTCTCGCTTTCTCCATAATGACTGGTTAGTTTGGGCACCACTCTCATATCCACTACTATCACCTGATTCAATCACGCGCTTGTCCATCCTTGAAGCATCATGCGGTGACCGTCCATATTCTCTTCCAGCCCTGCGGTCCTGAAATTATTCGCAGAAAAATTAATCATGGATACGAAATAAAATCCATGCAGGTAAACTTTGTTTTACATGCTTTCATGTGAAAAAGAAGAATAGGGCAAACCTCATTTTTCTATAAAAGTTCTTTAAATACAATTAGATCAATTAACAGTAAAAAATCTCACGTGGAGACTATAGACCTATCAATTCGTAATAATCTTATGTAACATGAGTTGCTTACACACAAAGCACAAACCAAAATTTAAGATGAAACCATATATATTTTTGGCGCATTTGCGATAACAAGATCTAGGGGACTCCAATTATTTATCTCAAAGATTTGCACATTATATCAAATCGACAATTTCTTAAAACACTGGATCTAGGTAAAAGAAATGCAGCACCCATGCAACTAATGTGAAATCTAAATTCCATGCCAATCCTTAATCATATAGAAATGCTTGTATTTTTACCTAAAGAAATAGAAAAAGGTTGTTGGTAGTTGCAGGATGCAAGTCCATGAAGACAAATAACGAAACACTTGACAGCAGTTTCAAACAAGGTTTTGCTTCATAAATCAGCTAGGAAATAGACATCTAGCTGGCAAGATTAATTTGGGGAAGAAATGAATGCAAACTTACATCTCGGAAAGGGAACTCATCGGCTTCAAGCATATGTACCACATGCCCCATTTTTGGCCTCTTTTGAGCATTCGGGTCCACGCAACGCAAGGCAACCAAAAGAGCACGCTTCAGTGCCCTTGAAGAAGGTTTCTCTGGTAACCTAGGATCCAAAACTCCCTCAGCAGTTCGATTTGTAACCATTGCTTTAAGCCACTCAACTAGGTTCACCTGAAGTTTGATCACCAATCAGTACCAGTTATTCTGGTTGGAAGACAATGTTATCAAGTAATCTTGATCATGAAAACAAACCTCTCCTTGAGGGCGGCTATAGTCCACTGGGTTTCTCCCAGAAATTATCTCCATTATGAGAATTCCGAAACTATAAACATCACTTCTTTCATTCAACATACCAGTACTAGCATATTCTGGAGCTACATATCTACAAAACAAAACCAAATATGTTATTCAGTTTTGCAAGAACAAGATCATGACTCCCCAGATACGAAGCAAGTAATAGGCAAGTAGGGAGGTTAAACTCACCCGAATGTTCCCATCACACGAGTTGTCACGTAACTCCTTTCTGAGCCCAGGAGCTTTGCTAAGCCAAAGTCAGATACTTTTGAATTCCACTGCTTATCAAGTAAGATGTTGCTAGACTTTATATCACGGTGAACGACCTTGGGCTCAAGCCCCTCATGCAAGTATGTCAACCTATAATGTTCGCAAAGTTTTAGTTACGATAAACAACAAAGATTCAAAAACAACTGAGGTCATTCAACTCAAGGAATACCCTTTCGCTGTCCCAAGTATTATATTCATACGAATTTCCCACGTAAGAGGGCTGGTTGGCCCAACATCTCCATGAAGCCATTGTTCCAAATTTCCATTGTCAACATACTCATATACAAGCATCCTATAAAAATTCACGTTTATTAGCGCAATCATTTCAGGAAATTATATTATACTTAATCCATAAAGAAGAAATCATCAGAAAGATTTTTAACAAATTAGCCATCAACAGAAGGTCTTGCATTAAACAAAAGATCGAAAGAAAATACTTTATAACAATGAAGGTAAAATTACCTATGAGCTCCTTCAGCACAATAACCAAGCAACCTTACTAAATTCTTATGGCGAACACGGCCAATTGCTTCAACTTCGACCTTAAACTCCTTCTCAGCTTGTCCCCTGAACCAAGCCAACTAAGCCATTAAGCTTTCTCACGGCCAACTCCCCAATACAAAGGTCATGCAGCAGCTGGAACATAAATAGTATATTTTTCCCAAATGCATGAAAATCTAACAAATTTAGTTCACTGCCCAAGCTAAGGTCTCAAATTTCCCAATTGGGTTCACGGTGAACATGATACTAATCTCGAATTACCTAGAACTAGTACAATCCATAGCAAAAGTTCAAAATAAACTCTGCAAAACACTAACTACACCATAAAGAAGCGAAATTTACATACTTGTTATTGAGCAAATTCTTGACAGCAACCATATGATTATCCTCAAAGATACCACGGTACACAATTCCATAGCCACCTTCACCAATCACATTCTCATCAGCAAACCCATTAGTAGCATCCTCGAGCTCTCTGAGAGTGTACCAATGGCCCCAACCCAAATGCGAAACTTCAGGCACAGCCATCAGCCCCTGGTCCCCAGAACGAGCCTCACCACTTCCATGCGAGGACCCGCCTCCCTTCTCCGGGTACGAAATCCGATGGTCCTTCCCAATCTCAATGTGAATTCTTTGTCGGCCACCACCCCCAGCGGGGCTCTCATGGTCCTCCGGCTGAAGAAGCAGCGCTTGGGCTCTGGCCAAGGGCTCCGAGTCAGCAACCGGGTCGGGGTGGTTCTGGTGCTGGATGGGATTCGGGTCGGGTACTGGGTTCCGAGCATGGTCGATTCGGATTTCTTGGATCTCCTTAGAGACGTTCGGGATGGTTGAATTCTGATTAAAGGTCTTGGCTTTCGAGGAACTACTGTTGCGCCGTGAAGTGAACCAGAGTGATATGAGGAAGAGAACCAGAACAATGGCTGCTCCTACACAAATTCCCAAAACAACCCACAAGTGCAAACCGAAAATGGAGGTCCGCTTTGAGAGCTGGTCGTTCAGAAACGAGTACCCAGACATTGTACTAGTCACTTCTTCTTCTTCACATGAAGAAGGAGAAAAAGTAAGAAGAAGAATGAGAAAAAAGAAAGAAGAAGAATGCTTAGAATGGAGACAGAGAGTCAGACAAAGAGAGAGTATTCAAGTGACAGGGGGGACTTTATCACGAGAGAAATTGAGAAATTGAGAAATTGGGCTGCTAAGCTCAGACTGAGTGGGGTTCAGAGAGAGAGAGGAGAGAGGAGCCAGCACAAATCATGATGAGAATCCTCCACCTCCACTAACCTTCTTGTTATGCTTATGTACAAGTGTAAATCTCTGTGCGCGTAATTATGGTATCTATTTCTGGCCTAACTTGTATTAACTATTGTGCTCTCCATTTTTATCCTATTTTGACTTCATCCAAAACATGTAACGTGTTAACATAACAATGTACCTAGCTATCGACAGTCTATTGTAATAAATATTATGCGGCCTTTTTTACGAGATCCACATGTATTTATGATTATAAAATTCAGCTTTTATTCTAGATCAGCTTTGACATATCGATTGGAATTATGCGAAATGTTATTTCTAGCCGTTAAATATCTATGTGACATTTTTGACACATTAATTGGAGATGCTCTTATGCACACAGATTCATTCTAAACTCGTGAATTTAAAAGGTAAATAAACTAGTTGTAGTTGTACCATATGCTTCGACTATAGAATTTGTTTAGTTATTCTAACAAAGTTGGGATACTCTATTAACTATGATTTTTAAATTCCCATTGATTATAATTATTTTGTTGTGGGCTATCGACTTATTGCTCATTGGATATGGTGCTGACTGGTTTTCTATCCAAAGATTCTAGTTTTGTTAATGGGGCCTTAAGTCTTGTCTGGTATACGATCCTTTTTATAACGCTTGAGGAAAGAATTAGGAAATCCGTGGCCAGGGAAGAAAATTATTATTGAAAGAAAGGATGGGAGGTGGTGCTTTATAAATTTAAGGGACGGCAGAATTTGATTCCTTACTATTAAATTCAAGCTTTTAGTTGCTTTTCTTCCAATGTTGGATTTTGTGTTTGACTCTGGCCGTGCAGGATATTATAAATAAGAGACCTTTTAAATTAATTTTTCACTTAATTATATTTTAATTGAGCCTGAGTTATGTGTCATTGGGATTAGGACTGCATTGTTTTCCATCTCTTAACTGGACGCTAGTGTTGTGTGAAGTGGACTCGAAGACCAGAGAGGCCGGTAGCTGGCGAAAGATCTTGCCTTGTGCTGGAGAATCTCAATTTTCCCACAAGAATTTGAGATTTTGTTCTTTTCTTTTTCTTTTTCTGTTGGAAGGGAGTGAGGTTAGAAATGTGAATGGGTTAGGGTTAGGGTAATTGGTAAGAATTATGATTCCCCCATTGCATATTCGACTCCCTCTACTGTTAAGTGGCAAAAAATGAAGAAGTTAAGTGAATTACAGACATGCTTTTGAAATCTATTTTTTCCAAAATATTTTTGCAATGTTAATATAGGGTAATTTTCTGTCATTCTCCGAGGTCGTTGTTTAGCATTTGTCAACATTTTTCATGCACCATAAGTCATCAAAGTTAGGTTTGGAAGTAAATGATTGGCACTTTTTTTTTCTTTTCTGTTTTTGGTGAGTGGCACATCTTAAGTTTGATGCCATTGCCATCTCATTCTAAAGCGTGGGCGCTGTACGTTTTTTTTTTTTTTTTTTTTTTTTTTTTGATTGAAAACAAAAAACAAAAAATGAACATGTTGATGTGACTAAACAGTGTAGCATCCATGTGAATGTGCCATTTGTTCAAGGGGAAGTCTAGTGGCAGCTGCTGCCAGCAGTCATATAGTAGGGACACGTATGAGTTTCTGAGGTGGATTGGATTTAGTCCCAATCTCTGCACTAAACATACTTAATTTGAGCTAATTGGGTTCATCGAGTAAACTCAATTTTTTGATAATGGAGAGGTCGCAAGGCCCAAAACAAACAGAAGAACTAGCCCATTGGACTTATACACACGGCTCATGGTCCAAAAACACCAGCAAGATCATTCAGAATAGTTGACCAAAGGTACACAAGTGAAAGCAATTTTCTACAATATATATCAAGTATGTTCAACAGGACAAGAGCCACAAATTTATTTCACCTGCTGCTAGTTTGAATGTGTCCTCCACTGATAATGCCTCAGGGAAATGATCACAAGATCCACCCGCCTGATTCAGAAAGAAGAGTATAAAGCCAGCAGATTAATTAATCAAGCGATCATTATAATTAAAAGTAATATTTTGGGTTACTAATTAAGCATGAATTCTTAGACTTACATGAGCATGGATCATGTACATGCAACGATATTGATCCGAGGAGATGTGAGCAGAGACCACATCCAGTTCATGCTTCTCTAGAATGTACAAGATGGTTGTCAAGAGCCCTGGTTTTCTCGGCGAACAAACACTGAACTGAGCATCAGGGCCGCAAATGTTCACGACAACAGTTGGCGAAAACCACGTCTCGAAGCAAGCGGGAGAAAGAGAAGCTGGGAATGCATTTGTGACCATCAAGTTCTTTGATGGATGTAGATGATCAGCCAAAAACGCTTCCCTTGTCTCACCAGCTAGCTCTGTGTTTGATGCTATCAATGCACTAGTGCTCTGCCTCTGGAGTTTGTCAAGCTTTTGTTTTTGTTTTGTTTGAAGAGTTTTTTCCAGGGACTTGATATACCTCACTGCCTCATCAACAATGGTGGACTTATCTGCCTGCATACACATCATTGAAACATAACATATATATTTAGACTCGCATTTATATGATCTAAAAGAAACTTTGAGTTTGAAGATTACATGCCTTAGCTGGAAGCTGAGGAAGCAGAGCATGAAGGCTAGAGAACATGTCCCTCATCTTCTTCCTTCTTTCCCTCTCAGTCCAAGTGTGCATGCCATGCTCTGATTCATTACCACAACCACTTGCAGCCTTGCCACTACTTTCTTTGATCACCCCTTTCTCCATTAATGCAGAGCTTGAATTAAGATATGAGTTCACATTCACCCCCATCTTTTCTAGCTTCAACAACTCTCCACCACCACAAGTGCCTAAATTGGAATTGGGAGATCCCAAAACAGAGTTTTGCTGTAAGCAAGACATTGGGTATTGGCTAAATTATCTTATAGATAGGGGGAAAAGGTGGCTTGGGGAGTTTCAGAATTGAGAAAATATATAAAGGACTTGGTTTAAAAGTTGAATGGGACGTTTTCACAAACAGGTGGAAGGTGACAAAGGTGGTGATGGTAGGCTTTTTGTTGAGCTTTGAGGATTATGATTAGGATTTTGGGCTACGCAACAAAATACAATCATGAGACGAATGCCGTTATTTTGGCGTCCAAACAAAAAACGGAAGCTAATTTTAGAGACTACTTCTTAAGCCGGGCCCTCCAGCCTCCACTTTAATTTACTTATTCACCCTCCTTCCCGCCTTTTATTACCGAATCACCATCCCTCCCTCCCGTTTCCTTTTTTTTCGTTAGTGTCTCACTCTCAAAGTCTCAGCGGGTACATTTTTGTTTTTTTTTGGTTGCCAATTAAAAAATATAATGAAATCCTAATCATAGATTAATGGTTTGCCTATTAGACTATTTTAGAGAGTTATATTTTTTTGGTGCTAATTTTGTACATTTTTATAGAATAGAAGTTGACAGACAATGGAAGTCCAGTATAGAATAGGACTAATAAAAGGCTATAATCAATATATTTTTCTTTTTTCCGGTTTCAAGCATTTCAATTAGGTTAGATATCAACTTCCCAATTAAAATAAACACAATTCATTATTTAACGCAATACTATTCTTTAGACATTATGGATTAAAGCATAATTTATGAGTTAGGTCTTGATTAATATTTTATTCGTTTTATGGATCAACGAAAAATAATGAATTCGAACTTTGAACATCTTTTAACATTAAAAAGAGAAATAGTAATATAAGATTACCTATAATCATGTAATTCATTTCGTTACAAAAATTCATGGACACTTGCAACTTCAATGTTATTATCATAATCTGCCTAAGCTCACATGAGTGAAAACTCAACAAGGTATTTGAGAAAATAAAAATAGAAGACATGAACCTTCTCCACAAGTGGCATGTTGGTAAATTGCGGTGAAGTTGGAGGACGAATAAATTGCAGTTGGCATGAAACGGCCGTTATGACGGATAGGTCATGGGTGTATCAAAAGGGAAGAAAATTCTGACACCAAAACTGCAGCCAAAGAAAAGCATCCCATCCTTTTCATATATTGTCTCATTGCAGAGAATGAGACACTCTTCTGATCTTCCATAGAAAACGCTTTCTTCTTTACCTGTAACGCTATCGCTACTCATCAGCCTTGTCCCCATTTGATGCTTACCCGAGTTCTCAAACATTGGCATTCCAATGGCATTTCTGATAATAGGTCATATGCCACTGTATATAATTAAGGTTTTTTGGAAAAAGAAAATAAAAATCACGAAGGACAGCAATTGAGATTTGGGATATCCATCCAAAGCTACAAAAGACCATGGCTTTATAAATGGCAAATACCAAGACTGGTGAGTATTTTTATACAAGTACAAGTTAAGAAGAATCAACAGTACAAATCCCACAATTGTGTCGATCTGTTACACTAGAAAAATATGAAATATGTAACCTGATCAAGTTTGAAAAAGTCAGCAGTTTGAAGGACCATGGTTGTTTCTTGGTTGAAGAAAAGAACCGTATGAAAACAGGCTGCAATGTCATACATCCGGCCGCTTTGTGGACAATATGTCGACATGTGATGAAGAGTTCTTCCCAGTCTCGCTGGTATCTAATTTTGCTTGTGGTTCACCGTCTCTGAAGAGTTCCTTCACATGGCAAGAAAACGAACAGGGTTAGTTCCCCAAATTCTAATATATTACTTCTGAAATTCATGCTAGAGTTACCTTAGAAGATGAGGGGACACTGAAGGGCCTGTAGAGAGCTTGAATCGATGGTTCAAACCCAAATGTGGCTTCTGAAGTGGGGACATTTGCAACTGAAGGTAAGACCATTGGCTGGTTTGAGATTGTGCATCCAGGGGAAATATTAAACGCAGATTGCATCGGATTCTCTTCATTCTCATAAAATGGACTTATTCCTCTGCTAGATTTTGGAAATTTATTACTTCCTTCTTCAAGGCCTAATCCCATATGAGGCAACTGCATAGGCTGCATGACTCCTGGTAAGCACATTGGATGCAAGCTCAATCCATTTTTCATCGTTAACATCTGCAAATATAATCAGAAGCAAAAAGTATATCAGCTTTAGAATACTAAATAAATTTCCTTCCAAGACTCTTTCAGCATTATGAAAGAGGGAGTGATGAAGGAAATTTTAAAGAAACAACATTTCGAGCAACAGTCTCATACACAAGACAACCTAATTTAGCTGTGCATCCCAGAAATCTTTCAAAGGAATCCCAATTACTGTTAGATGTCAACTAAAAAACTTTGTCATCCTCGCGTAGAAAATAAAATTGTGCATCATCAGAGAACATAGGTGGTCATAGGTCGGAAGATGAGTATAATGGGTTCTTCAGTGGATGAAAGCAACACTTTATGTTGTCAAACGAAGATGCCAGAACAATGTTAATATAACAATGCATACCACATAGCATATTATACAGGGTCCTGATCTATTTTACTCAAGATTTTATATGATTATTTCGGCAACCCCTGCCACATGTAGCTACATTTTATGTAATTTTTCATTGAGTTTGAGAAGTCTACCAAGTTTCCAGACAAGAAAAGTTGGGACATTTGCTGTTTATTAAGAATTACTGCAGCAGCACAGTTTAATCAGGTTTACATTAAGTGCTTCACCAAGAGTAATTTAAACTTTAGTTCATTTTAAACCGAGTCAGCTAGAATCAAACCAATTGTCACTCAGTTCCACTTCAGAGCAAAGTTCTGTCTTTAATTGTGTCGCATCTTATTGCCACACCAAGCAGCAAAAGTAGCAATCAGTAAAATCCATTTTATATTTGAATTTAGACAGCATTTAGACAGCGGTATATCAAAAGATCCCAATTGCTGATAATCTTAATCAGAATTATATTCCCAAAACAGTGAAAACGATCTCACCTGTACTTGAAGTTGGAGCTGCTTCAAATATTCAATTGCTTCATCCAGCATTGAAGCCTTATCCGTCTAACAAAAACAAGACAGCAATGAAATTATTTGAAAAATAAAGCACAAAAAAGGCTGTAGAAGTTTTTGTTTAAGAGTTACCTTGTTCGAATTTGGAATCAGGTTCTGCAAGGCTTTCATTTTCTCATTGATCCTACTCCTCCTTCTCTGTCCACCAATCAAAATTTCATTTGTCACATGCTCAAATCTTAAACCTTTACACAAGGAGAAAAGACCCAACCTTTTCCGACATATTATGGACCTCCGCAGCTCTGCTCCTCTTGGATAAACTACGTGGCGGAGCTGGGTTCAACGGCACCTCTGACCGGTCGTGACCCTTCTAATTCCACCAAAAGCCCCCAAAGGTTTCAAATTTCCACGCAATTAAGGTTGAACAAACTGATACAAATAGAGCTAAGACAACAAAAATGCCATCTTTGTCTTTTTTTACTGTCTTTTGAATTGGGCCAAAAAAGAAGTGCGGCAACAGAATTCAAAAGTTGCTTCCTTTAAATGTTCTACCTAATTTACTTAGCAACCAAACAGAATTTAGAAAGAAGAAAAAAACAAAGAAATACCTCACTATCATAGCTAAAGTCACCGAGATCATTCTCAGACGAAATCCTCCTCCCCTTCAAGGACGTGTTCGCGTCAGACTCCATACCTTCTTTTACCTCTGCCTGGAAATAGCCACCGGAATCGGTGAAATCGAAACCGGATGAAGACTCGACAACCGCAGCAGCGGAGTTCCCTTCCAAGACTCGCCGGTCCTCCGATCGGGCGAACCGGTGATAATCTTCATGCCTAGTCTCCGAAATCAAGACCTCGGACGACGTCGTAACGTGGTGCGGCGCCACTGAGGAATGCAGTAGATGCGTGTAAGTGGGCTTAAAGGGCATGCAAGACGAGGAAGAGGAAGCGGAGGAGCCGTGGCCGTGGAGGAGTTGGCTGAGAATGTTCGAGATTTCTTCGGAGTCTGGAGCTGTCCCGTACAGATCGGCCATAGTTGAAAAAACCTAAGAGGACGAGAAATTCAACAAAGTGCAGTCATCGATACTCAGCCGGAGGAAGGAGGGGAGGTTCTCAGTTTGTTAGCTTCGTCATCGCTCCTTTGCTTTCTCTCCACTTTTTCTTGGTGGCTTTGGCTTCTCTCTCTTTCTCTCTCTTTTTCTGTGCAGTCAGTCCTTAAATCTTTAACAAAGGTTTTAAACATCTAAAGCTCGCAATTTGATTATTCTCCCGCGCTAATTGTCAATTTCTCAGATACAGTATCTTGTTCAGAAATTCCCATTTATTTAATTGTTTTATTTACTTTTGTTTTTGAGCTCCCATTGTTTATGGTATATTGCAGATTGCGTCCCTTGTTTTTTGTTATTTACCAGAATGGATCATTTTCGTAATAAATTGTTGTGTGACGCATCAATCATGATCTTTATTTTAAACTACTCTTAAGGTAGGGCAAACTTGTACATTCAACGATTATTGAACTCGTTTTCTCGTAAGAATTTTCAAAATCATAATCATGAAACATAAGAACATGAGAATATAAAGATTGTTGGAGATATTCATTCATGAAATTTAAATTATTATTTTTAAATCTATAAAGATAATATAAATAAATTGGAAGATAAGATATTTAATAACTACTAGTTACGACTCACAACACGTTATCTCTTCTCGAATTTAAGACCTATAGCTGGTTGGCTCAAACGAACTATTTTTTTGTTGTCGACGTTTTTCTATATTTTACCTAGGAAATTTCAGTTAGGTCCCTCTGAGCTGTTAACTTGTTATCGTTAATTTGTCAAAAAGACAAAAAACCCAATAGGAAAAATTCAAATAAACTTTTTTCGTGTGTGCATTTCATAATTTTTGTTACTTGCAATAAAAATAAATAAATAAATAAATGTGCGTTGTTCAGCGTTCTAATGGGTTAAAAGTCAAACACATCATATCATGTCGTTCATCACCGTCTTATCCAACCAAGGAAAAATTTATGAAGGGGAACTAAAAGTGCAATTCCCGAGGTGCCCTTTTGGTGGCGTGTTATTGTGTTCCTACTAGCTCTGCATCACGCGATTTCATTTTCAAAGGCCTACTTCTTCTGTCTCTGTCTTGTGCCTCGTCTTTTTTCCTTTACAGGAAATCTACCTTCCAACCCTAAAAGTGACCCAAGAAACTAACAAAGGAAACAGAGAAGAATTTCCACTGATTGACTGATATGGGCATTTTGATTCATGAACTTGATTGAAGCTTCTGCCTTGTTTCATGGTCTGCTTTGGCTACCTTAGTTGTTCAAAGCTAAGAAGCTTCATGCATCAAGTACAGGACAAAAAGATGAGCTTCATTGACATTTTCTGTAAAACATCAAAATGGGGACCCTAGAAGTGAAGACTGATCGAAGACCTTACTGCATTGCGTAGTTTGAACAGAAACTTGGAACAATCATATGCTTCAGCACCATGAAGTTGCAAAGAAAAGGCTCAAAAGAGTAAGCATAGATGTTGATACTAGTTTGTTTTCTATCAATCCCTCCAAAAACGGCTATGAGATTTTGAAATCTTAAGAGAGATGTAACGAAAAAATCTGCAGCACAAATGGGGTCAAACCATTACAAAACATAAAAACCTAATCATTCATTGATAAAATGAAAAGTCAGTGCCAGTTTTGCTTTTCCAACTTTGAAATTTGCTGCCTCCAATAAGAGGCCTGGTTTTAAATAAAAATAAAAAATAATAGTAATTTTCCGCTTCGACTCTTGGTGAAGTAGTTCTTTGGACTAACTTCAATTTGACAACCACGGAACGGGGAGGCATTGAGGCATTGGGGTCTCGGTGAGCCAACATATGGGCAGCCCGATTCCGTAAGCAACCCTCTTTTAACCTAATTTGAAGAAAAACTAGCCTGCAAAAACATTGATGTCGTCGACTCATGTTGCGAGGGCTGTAGTTTTACAGATGGGGCACAAATTCTTGTGCTTCAGCCATTGTTTTATGCAGTCGCTGTGGAAATCATGGCCGCATTCAAGCATTCCAAGATCTTCTCCGTCATTATAATCCTCCTGCATATAACAGTATAAATAAGTCAAGCAATATAAAACATCATGTAATGTAACACAGAGATGCAGCAATATGCGGTCATTACCTGACATACACAACATGGCTCTGTCTCTGCCTGAGATCCTACTGCAATATACTTCTTATGTTTCAAGCGAAATGATATGGTTTCTTCACTTAATCCCGTGCTCACATTTCCGATGCGCTCTTCCAGAGCCAATAACTCCTACATTAATCATAAAGTTTGTTTTGTCTTAGTAATCTCATTTATACCAATGCCGAACCAAATGTTTTTTTTTTCTTTGTGTGGGGAAGTATCAGTTACCTCGTAAGACATATTATCAACATCAAGTCGCATATCCCTATGCCGGTCGTGAATATCAGCCACCCCAAAAAGAACCGACTGATCAAGAATCATAACATCCTGATATAAAGAAGCATAAGTCAAATGTCAGAACACCCAAAAAGAAATTATCACATCTGTTAACAGCATTTAGTTATAATATTCTTATACAAGAGAATAGATACATTGAGTTCCCAAATTCACAAGGACAAGACATATATTCCCTTAAACTTCCAAAACCTGTGTAGAGAATAAAGTATTTGCGCTTTACCAAGACATAGATTCTTTTTCAAAACTGTAATTACACTGATGTATACACAAATAAAATTCTAACCTCAAATCGCAAGCTTTCACCCCTACGCATGAGACCCAAGACATTGCAAATTTGCTGAAAAGAGAAGAAAAACTTCATCAGTTCTAGATGATCATCCATAACTAGTAAAATAATATGAACTTCAAAGTATTAGACTAACAAAAAAACTTGGATAAAAGAACATGAGAAATTTACATTTATTATGAATACTCATGAAGAGACTAAACATACAGACACGTATGTATCTGCCTGCAAAGAGATACAACCTATATGAATGTATATTATATTGCTTTGAGCTTATATGTGAAACAGATTAAAGAAGGTCCCATTCTACGAACTTACATTTTTCAATAACTTGATGCCCCATATTATGATTTCTAAAACTTGAACCAATTAAATAAGTTGAAAAAGCATATATCTTCACCATCTGATAACATTCAATATCAGAACCAAGTAATATTTTGGTAAGACCGGGGGAAAACTGATGACTAGGGGCAAACAGGTGATTACTTAATCCATGCATCATTGCTGTCATAATTATAATCAGACATTTGATGGTAAAAGAATCAACAGGTGATTAAGAACAATTGTGAGTACTCCTGATATTCATCAGAATGCTTTAAATAATGTATAAATAAATATATATATATATATATTTCTAAAGAAAAACCTCACGGCCAGAGAAAGAGAGTTCTAAAACATACCTCAGATACAAGCCTGTTACTTCCTTCGCCAGCACCAGCCAAAGTCCGTAACGAATAGGGAACCCCAAGTCCACCATCACCATGTCTCTCCATCCAAGATGCTGACCTTGGGTGAGAATGATGATGACCCTGGTTACCAGCACCAGATGAATTACCTATCTCAGCTGATGATGGAGGAGCCGAACGCAGTGGCAAATAATTGGTGCCCTGGCTCCCAGACTCATTACCAGTAGCAGAAAACAATGATCGACGAACATATTCAGATAATCTTCGAGGAAATTGTGGATGCGAATTGTGATGAGGAACCCACGTAGGTGCAGATGCTGGATGAACACTTGAACTTGAGCCAGTCCGGGATGAAGAAGCAACATTTCCAGGAATACTTGCATTTCCACCGGTTAAATTTCTATTGGATGCACCTGCAGGATGCCGAGCGGAATTTCTCAATTCAGTTGCTGGTACAAAAATAGGATGATCCAAAATGTGTCTTGCCATGCTTCTTGAGTTCACTTCTTCACGCGGTGGAGCATCCCTGTCTCCAAAAACCACAGAATTGGATAAGCTGCCAGTTCTTGAGCTAGAACCTCCTCCACTCCATCTTAATGATTGCACATTTTGTGGCAAAGCAGGAACATGGATGACAACTGGCTGGTTCTGTGAACTCATATTATCTAGTGCTGGTGCTGGTCTCAGGTCCATATTATGATCAACTGGAAGAAGACTTGGTGAATGCTGGGAAGACGAGACACCAGAATGCCTAACAGCCCTCCCTGTTGAGAACCTAGCAGCGGGTATAGAATTTTGTTGATTTGAAGGGTTGATTCTCACACGGAAGTTCCTATGAGAGCCTTCTGAACTTCTTCCAGCATTTGAATCAGGAAGGCTGTCAGAAGTGAGCTCTCTCCCTCCTGCCCCAAGTCTTGGATTCCCCTGTTCTGCAGGGGCAGATATGCTTAGGCTGCCGCCTGCATTATAGTGAGCAGGAATAGAAGGCCTTCCACCACTTTCTGTATGCTGAAAGTAACTACAACTTCCACTTACAGAAGACTGTCCTATATTTCCCTCAATAGCCTTTCTTTTACAAGATACACGACGACCCTCCAATGAACAACCTGGTCTGCCATCATTCTCTCCAACTAAAAATCCAGCACTTCCAGAAGGAAGCATAAAAGGATCAGAACTACTAGGAGGTCGAATTCGCTCATTTTCAGATACATTATACTTGTATGTATTCGGACATTCCATGACTTGACTATTATCACCACCATGACCCGCAAAACCTGCATTCAAGTTCAGATTCTGTGGAATTGCATCAGAACTGGAACTTTGTGTAAAAATAGTATTCACATTGTTGTCCAGTGAAAGGTTATTAGTTGGTTCATAACGCCGCTCCTCTAACCTTGAAGCGGCTTCAGCACTTGGATCCACTGAAGAAGACCATCCAAGTTCTGGTTTCCGCTCATCACGGTTTACCTCAGTCTGTGAATTGCTAGAACTAGGTTCACCTAAGCACCATCTGCTCAAGTGCTGTCGTTCATGTCCCATAGAATTCACAAACCCGACATTCATATCACCGGGCGATTGAACATAGTCTGGCATCCGATTTTCTGCAGGATTCCGTGTGGTATTCCAGCAAATCTGCTGATCTATAGCATCACTTGATGTACTTCCATGGTCAAAATCTAGCATTTCAGGCAAGGAACCAATTGTACCCCTCTGCCCTTGCATTAGGGCTAATATGAATCTCCTTGTAAAATATATGTAAAGAACTTGAAGATATCTTCAGTACAAACAATACGTTATGTGCACCTTGGCGGACCTGGCACAACAAAGTAGAAGAAAGGTTATAAACATTGAAGAGCTTTAGAGTAAGTTAGAGGTACACAATTATGTTATAAGAGTAAGCTATCTTTTCTTTTTCTCTTTTTCATTGGTAAGTGAAGCACAAATCTTCTACACGGGCCTATGTGGAGGCGTGAAAATGAATGCCTAATTGGAGGAAGAGGCTAGAGTGTGAGCAATGCCTTTTTTACTTCTTATTTCTTTTAACCCCTTGCTAATATTCTTGTTTTACTTAAAGCCAAGAAATACCAGAATATGCATGAAACCACATAGGTACAGAAAGTACAAACCCCTACTTGAAAATATCATATCCTCCATTACTGGCTACTGATGCTTTAGGGTGATAGATGAAAACTACTATCTGTATTTGCACTGCCACTAGAACACCTACTTGACCAAATGGGAAGACCCACAGTGAGCTTTGATTAATGATGAGGTAATGACTAATCAACCTGTGCTATCCTGACCTGGTAGCAGTTGTTGAACACCAGGATAAAATGTTCTTTATCATGTTGCATCAGTAAAAGGAGTGAATGAACGAATGTGCAACAAGCATCCCAAAATGCATAAACACAAGACACATTTCCAAATATCACAAAACCCGCTTATTAAACCCTTACCAGGCAATTGAATTCACAAAAAACTAGGCACCCACCAGTCAAAAGATCAAAGTTGAAAGCACAACTAGGTCATATAATTGAAAGGTGCAAGCTTTCAAACAGGCAACTGACCACACACACAGCACATGATGAATAATCGTCAGTATAATTAGAGATGGATTGATCAAACCCATTTACTGGTAAAATTTCAAGATCGGTTTCCCCCACTGACAAGGTCAAATATGGATGGCCGGAAAACCATATTCCAAAATCTCATTTCAAAGCAGCTGATATGAAAAGTGATTCACCTAATTAAACAAATGACGACCCAGAAACAGATATCAAATATTAAGGACACAGAAGAACAAAAAACCGATAAGAAAGTAAGAATCTTTGGGGTTGTTAGGAAAGGTATAAGGGCTTCATACATACCCTTGCCTTTATATTTTCAGCTCCGTGGATTAAACATAACAAGCACAGAAAGAACAAAACAAAGCTGAAAACCCATAAGCCAAATATGAAGTCTCTCAAATCCAGTCTTATCAGCAACCGATCGATTGAAACCACAAAGTAAAGGAATAAATCTAAAAACCATACATACCCAGATGAAGAAACCGATCTATGTAAAGAATATGGAGCAGAAAACCAAAGAAGCAGCCCGGAGATTCCGGGTAGATGATGAAAAGACCTCTCTTTTCTTTATTTCTCTGGAGAAAAATAAATAGGTGAGAAAACAAAACAAAACAAAACCCACTGAGAGCAATGGGGTTGAGAGAAAGGGAGAGGCTTTGGCCCTTTGGGTGGATGAAATGAAATGTAGAAAGAGAAAAGGAGAAGGAAAGAGAGATTAAAGAGGACGGTAATCTTTAATTTACGAAATAACCCAAAGAGAGAGAGAGAGAGAGAACCAAGGAGAGTAATGGTCATACAGAGCAGTTTCCTAACAAAGTAATGAATAAACATAAAAATTTTAAATTTTAAAATAAAATAAAATAAAAACGAACAACATCACCTACTAGGTGTTGTGTTGCGGGGAGGGTTTCTAAAGGTGCGATATGTTGGAGACTTGGAGTTGGGGGGCCGCTTACCAAATGGCTCACGCAGGTTGTCCTGATTTCTTTCTTTTTTGGTGTTGAACTTTGAAAGCTTAAAACTTTGGGTTTTTAGTTTTGGTTTTAGTTTTAGTTTGAGTTATACTCTCTCTCTTTCTCTCTCTCTCTCTCTCTCTAAAACCCAACAAATAAAAAGACCAATTGGCGTCCCATTTGCAGCCCCACAACTCGCTCTTTCACGCCAAGCACCTGTTGCCCTCTCATATCAATATTATCACACACCCTCTCACGCCTCACCATCACACTTTCACATGCCCTGCTCTGCTGCTGGCAGCTGCTGCTTCTCCCTTTTCCCTTTGCATTTTTCTTGAGGAGCCCTTTCTGACTTTGTGAGAGGGCATTGAGCTGTGTTTGAGAGTTGCCCCACACAAAATTTTAGTTTTTTTTTCTCCTTAATTTTTTAAAAAAAAACTTGCATGAAGAAAAAAAAAAGTTAATTCGTATGAGCACACGTGGCATGCTATGATATCGTGGGTCCCAACTCCTCTGGATGACTTTGGATTATGCTCACCTTCCTAAGGATCTGGCTTGGTGTGCTTTTATGTAGGACTAAAAAATTTTGACCAACTATTCTCGGCACTCTGTTTCCCATTTACATGGTTGGAAGATTTTTTTTATAAAAAAAAACCCCAAAATCAATTATCTTTTGGGTAAGAAGCAATAATAGTGGGATCCCAAAACAGAATTCTACCCATATGGGTCATTTTAATTATTCTGTCGGTACAATTTTAGTGCCAAATGGGTATGGTTGTTCTTGATGCCTCGATCATTTTGGAGACAGCAAGAGCTTTAAATTAACATTAAAAAAATTTCCTTTTTGCCTTTAAGAGACAATAGGAGGAGGTGAGGAGATGAGTCTTTTGTGTGTGTTAACTTTGGTTAAAAAGAGGTGTGAATGGAAGAAAGACCTTCAAATGTGTGTATGCGTCCCTATTAACAAGTATCCAAGCAGAGGTTCTCTTCTTCAACTTGTTTTTGTAAATCGCCTAGCCTACCGTTCATATCTCAATCGTGGGCCTCTTTATTTTACGTTTGTTTTGGTCTTATTTGTGCTTTTGTTTTTCTATTCTCTCTTACCTTTCAAAGCTGCTTGCTTTTTTATCTTGGTATAGTTTTCCTTTATTTTATTTTATTTTATTGTGTGCGTGCGTGTGTTTTAATTTGAGGCCCCGAAAATAAGCGCAATGGCTTTTTTGAAAACCATTATTATTATTAATATTAATTAATACATATCTTATTTACTAATGAGATAAGCTTGACGATTCCTCCACCAAAGAGAACATTAGAAATTTTGGTGCTTTTTAGACGATGGAGAAAACTTGACAGGCTAAAACTCTAGCTACGGAACACGCCAAGGGGACTAAGATTAAGCCGAGCCCAGAACAATATATATATATATATATATATAATTTTTGAATAGTCTATGATAAAAATTAGGTTCAATTATGCATCAAAATTTCAAGACAAGGCATAATGAGTTTTGTGCAATTTGACACGTGCAATTAAACAAAATTACTTGAGGCTAGTAGTGGGGTTATGTGGTGAGATATAGACAGACGGCCAGTTGAATTGGGAAGGGTTGTGGTGGTGGTTGGCTGAGAATGGGACCTAATCTCTGCAATTACACCCTTAAATCTTTTCTTTTTTTCCTGAAAGGTGGGTGGTGTAGTTATTGAATCAAAATGAATTCTCTAAGTCCAAGGGAACAAAACCCATGACCCTTATGACTTAATGATAATGCACATGGGAGAAGTTTGGGTCTCAGTTTTGTATATGGACACATGAAGAGAGGCCGACTAGGGGCAAAGTAGCTTTGAGGGAGCAAGATTGCCTCAAAGCAAGGCAATGAATTCTCAAAGAAATAAATTTCTCATGACAAGATGATGAAAATTGATCCAAATTACCACATAAATGGGCACCGCACAGATGCACATGGTAAACTAATGGCATGAACAAAACAAAGGGCTTGGAGAATCCTTGTTTCAACGTCTATCTCTCTTTTTTTTTCTCTCTCTTTTTGTGTCATTTATCCGAGAAGGAGAGAGATAAAGAGAGATAGACAATAAACGGAGATGGGAAAATTTTTCTTGCTAAAGAGGGATGTCAGTGCTGGGGGTAGATGCGAAAATGGACACATCTAGAAATTAGAGGTGCATCAACATCGACGCAGGTCCACTCGCAAATTTACAGGGTCAGAATAAGCAATCACCAATTTTGACTTGTGAGGTTAAATTATCATATACATGGCATACTGCAATTTGAATAAATTGCAAATTAATTCGTAGTACACATTTGTCAGCTTTTAGCTTGAACAACTTCTAAAGTTGATCAGAAACGATAGTGGAATTAGCAATCGTGTTCAATTTCTTAAATCGCAATCAATGCAGACCAAACAACCCCCAGTTTTTGGATCTCACAGTATAAAGTAGACCTATTTTTTCATTAAATTTTACATTAAAATTTAATTTGATCATTAAGAAAAGAAAATTAACCAAATTAGTCACCGGATTTTCTTAAGTTTATAATTTATAAATATTCCATTTTCTACAGTTAAGGGCAGTTTTTATTTTTATATTTTTTAGGAAGCACCTTTGGTTTTCTTCCTTTATGCTATTAGGATTTAACAAATTTGGAGAAATCTTTAGTTGAAATTGAAATTGTGTGTATGGGAGAAATAAAAAGCCAAACCAAATGAAAATGAAATCAATAACTTACCAATATATTTTGGTTGATGTTTTGTCACCTTGATAATGTCTCATTTCTATCCAAAGTCACAATATGGTTCTCACTCAATCAATTCAGGTTTCAATATAGAATCCAATTCGTGACCTTATACCTCACAATTCCGATTTCAACCCAAGATTTCTCCAAATTTGTTAAACCCTAATAATACAAATATACCCTAACTTGTTGAGTTAAAGGAGGAAAATTGAATGCATTTCGTAAAAAATAAAAATAAAAACTGCACTTAACGAAATGTCTATAAATTGTGAATTTATGGAAACACAATGATTAATTTGGCTAAATTTTGTTCTCAATCACAAAATTTCTAAACTAGAGGGGATACATATATAGATAGCTACATTTTGGCTTAACCTAAAGGTCAACACTGAATAGTGTCTAGATCATGAGCGCATGTGTTAGTTCTAGAAGAGACAGACCCGTTCAAAAAAAGCAAACACATTTAGACCCCCATGATTTCTCATATCATAGCTACCAAGAATTCGGCAAAAAAAGAGAGTGCAGTAAAAAATATTGAAAGGAAAGGACAAACTAAAAAGCTACATAGGCTCAATTTTATGCGACTTTCAATAAGCAGGCCTCAATTTGTTTGACTTTGGAGCACCATTTGTTCTGGGGAGACGAAAAGTATTCCCAAGATTATATTTTCGTTGCAGACCCCAATAAACAGGTGCTGTTAACAGGAGAGCAAAGCCCAAAGCCTTGGCCGAGGGTGAACAGAGAAAGAAACATGTACATGGCAACAAAACCTAACAGCTAGGCACAAAAGGCTGAAACCAGGGAACCTTAAATAGGCAACAAAATGTTAGAAACCCAAGCATGTTGGAGAAGAGAAGATGAAGTTAGGGGGCAATTTGTACAAGCGTACTTGCAGCCCCTGCCTCTGAAAATGTAGTTGTTTAAACTGTATTTTAGACTACCTGAGCATCTGAAAATGTGACATTGTAAGTATTATGCAAACGAACTTACTAACAAAAACTAGAATCCAGATCAACTAAAACCATAGGCAACTTCCCACAACTATGCATCAAGAGATTGCATAGTAAAAGGACAATTTATCAAATGAATGTCATCATTATGTCCAAATTACTCAATCTTTGTACTGAAATAGAATCGAATAAATAAAAACCAGTAGTTTAGAGTGCAACGTAGGCCTTGCGAAGGGAAGGCGCTAGACGATGGAAAAATCTAATTTTTCCGTAAGTTCAAAGTATCCACAGGAGGGTACAAGGCAGTAGGTTTGAAACCCAGTGAAGCAGCTGATACTAATAGCAATAGCTTCGATATTGAATTTACCATCATCAGACATATTTTAGTCTTTCTTGTTCCAGTGAAGCCCTTGCCTCTTTTTGGGCAAAGAGCAAATCTGCATCCCCAAACCAAAGCAAAATGAATATTTCCTCGCATTGACTGAAAATAAAATACAGAAAAGCAAATGTAACAATTACCTATACAGGCGTTGACATGCCATTCATCCTTCTCAACTTCACAACCAACAGCATGTTTCATCATTTAATGTTTCGTAAAGGGTTTTCAGTACTTAGACCCTTCTCATCCTTTGTACCGTATCTAAACACAGTATCAGGAAAATTGTTTCAAGTGACAATTTAGCTCCTCAGAATAGTTGCTTCAGCTGATAATTTAGCCTTAAAATTAAGGTAAACATCCACCACTATGAGAGTCAGTCTTTAAGACTCTGTTTAATAAGGACGATCCAATTGCTTTAACAGCTAAATTGGATGATCAATCGTTGAGATCATCCAACTCTATGAAATCACCCTCTACAATGGAAAGTAAATGCTCAGTTGCCAAATCATCAAGAAATATCGGATTACTACCACCAAGCACAGATGATGGGACCTGCACACCAGCCACGAGTCATACAACAGAAAGCAATCTAAATAATTTAGGGGAAATAAGACTGAAATTAAAAACAGGAGAAGATTAAGCATGTAATATTGCAGGATATCTAACATGTATATACTAGTATTACTCCAGTGCTAGAATCTCAAAAGCCACCTTGTCTTGCCAACGTCAGACACTGACTAATACAATATTTTTAGGACACGAAGTTTATAAATAACTGGACAATTTATGAGAATTTAAAAAATGACAGTTTTGAGATTGTTAAGACTCCAACCATAGGTTGATGCTTTTCATCTGTTTGGAATCATGTGGATATTTCTGACGGCAAACCTTCAATCATAAAACAAGCATCAGAAAAATGTCTGACGCTAAGAAAATTAATCACTCAACTTCAACTTTGGACAAGTTATACATATCAAGATATAAATTTCACAACTTTTTTTCAAGCCATTTATTGACACCACCTATAATATAGCAAGCACCAATGATGAAATTTATTGAACATCTATTAGACCACGCATGTAAACGATCCCAAGTAGTTGGGATATGACTCTGATGTTGTTGAAGGATCCCAAGTAGTTGGGATATGACTCTGATGTTGTTGAAGGATAGTTTATCAAGCATGTAAATGGTGATAGTAGCCAAATTTAAAGTAATAACAAGAGAGTTTGCTTAGAATACATTACCTGTCCATTAGGCTGAAGTCTTGATATAGAAACTGGCCCATTCTTGACTCGGTCATTTATCTCACAGTCCAGTCTCATTGGAAAACTTAATATCTCATTCTTCCTATGCGCAGAATTGTCACCATGTACTTCAGTTTCAACAATATGGGGAGTATGAAATCCATCATGCTGAATTCCAATGTGACGAACTGTGCAAGCACTTTCTTCAGCACAAGAACTTACCCCATTATATGATAATCTATTTCCACGACGAGATCTGACAAATACTCGGCACAGGACAAAAGAAGCCTGCACATGGACAGACATAGGACACGTTACTCATGTGCACACACGCCATTATTTAGCACTGAAATAAATTGTATAGCATAAGGCACAATGCTTAATAACAATAGAGCTCCGCTAGACCATGTGGTTGAACATCATGAAGAATATATTTGCAACAGAGAGTTTCAATACCTACACTTCTAATTGTGTCTCAACAATGCAAACAAATTCTTCACCGTTAAACAGCCTCTTGGTTTCTAATGAGGCAATTTCGATAACTAATATACTAAGCAAAGAAACCTAAAATTCTTCACAACTCATCAGACATGGAAAATTATTCGTTCAAATCAAATCTTCAGCAATGAAATAAATAAATAAAATGAAGGTAACATTTTCTTAATTAATATTCAGCATATATGATGTAAATAAATAACCAAATTACCCAATACGAAAGCAAATATTAATAATTTCGATAAAAATCTCGAATGCCAATAAGTCAATGCTCATTGATCCAGATTAAATTTGAGAAAAAAAAACGAGAATTAATGAAAAAAAAAGTACCTTTACATGATCGACCTGAGCATACTGATAGAGAACCCAATCAGTCCGTACAGCAGTGTTGGGCGAATTTCCCAAATAAAATACAAAGCTCGTCCTCCTCCCCAACACCGCCTTCCCTCCACGGCCCACCACGTCCCTATCCCTCCCTTTCCTCCTCCAATACCCGCTCTTCGCTCTCCTCTCCTTCAAAACCCTAACCGTGTAGCAAAACCAGTGCCTCTTCCTCCCCGCGTGACCGTACGAATAGCAAGCGCTGTCAGGTAAGTCAAATGGATCGTGGCCGTACAAGTCGAGCTCTCTGATCAAATCGTAGCCGCCGGATTGGGCCGGGTCCGCGTCGTTCTTGTTCGAGAGGTAGCAGCAGAGGAGCTGCTCTTCGGAGGGGTAGAATCGGCAACCGGGAGGAAGCGAACGCAACGACGTCGCTTTAGGATCTCCCATGCGTAAATGGAGATCGTCAGCTTGTTTAGGTTTTTTCAGTTTTTTTCCGGTTCGGGCTGTGAGGTTTATGAATCTGGGACTGCGAAGGGGTTTATGAAAATGGGCTGTGAGGGGTTTATGAAGGCGAGGAGAGAGCGCAAGTAGCGTACCCTTGAAGCTTTCTCGTTACTCTTCGCCAGTGTGGTGATCCCCTACAACTCCGGTGTACGTGCTCCCGCCTATTTCAACCGTCAGATGGCGCCGCATTTTCATTGAGGATTACGTGTACGTTGAAAATGAAACGACTTGTCGTAAGTTGGATCTTGGATTCGATGTCATAAATTACATGCCTAAAAAAGAAACAAAAAAACATTGAAAATTCCAAATACGAAGTTTAATTATTGGGTTGGGTCGGACTTGTAAGTTGTACGAGGTGACATAATTTGCACGTCCGCCACGTGTTGGTCAAAATCCAGCAAGGTAGGAAAGAGCAAGTATTTTGGGAGGCTGAAAAGAAAAGTGATTCTTGGCTTTCTTATAAAGTCAGTCAACTTGCCAACTGTTTTCGAAGGAGGAAGTATTAAAATATTTAATTTATTAATATAATTTTCTACACTTCCTGATATATAATTCAAAATTAAATACAGCAGTTTCTGGGTGTTCTACACTTCCTAATATATGTGGATGTATTTACGGATTTTGGGAATTAAGAGGGGTGGTAATTTTCGACACGACCCAATACATGATTTGAAATTCGCATGAAAAATTAGCGGGTCAAACCGCACAATTAAATTTTTGGATCATTTTTGAGTCAATTCATCATGACTCGTTAAATAAATGAGTGATTTTTGAGTCAACCCACTAAAATACCTTTGTAACCCGTTTAACAAAATTGGTCAAAGCGAGTCAACCTACCAACCTGCTAAAATACGAATGTAACCCTCTAACCTGCTAAAATACTAGGGTAACCCGCTAACCCACTAACTCATTCCTTTGTTTATTCTTTATTTTTCTTTTTGTTTTATGTATTTTAGTTGCTACCACTTAGCGTGTCAACCCAATACACGACTCAAAGCTCGCACGGAAAATTAGAGGATCAACCCGACTAGACACGTTTATTAAAAGGATTGAATTTGAGTTGAGCATTCTTTACACATAAAATCGTGACACGACATGACTCATTGTCAACATTATAATTAATATTTATAGAGGTTGGCCCCTTTGTGCGTATAAATTGGATAAAGTTGTTATGGGCTGGAACCTATATTTTAAAATTTTATGGTTGGGCTGGAGTCTAGACAATGGGCCAGGAGGGCTTTCACAAAACTTCGTCTCCACAGTGATGTGGAAATTGAAGGTTAAAGGCTTGCCTGAAGTATGTTATCTCAATTAAAATGAATTATGAGCACATATGTTAGTAGGCCAAAAAATTGCGCGGGCCATTTGGTACCCAAGTGGCAAGTACATATCTTTTCTATTATGCTTTTTATTTTCTTAAGAAAAAAGAAAGGATTTTTAAATCTTGTCGTGGTCATATCAAAACACCACATGCGAGGCATTGATCCTTTTGTCAATATTTCTAGTTGCTTTAGTTTAGTCTCCCAATGGAGATAAGCTTCTTGTGGAATATTATCTGATTTTAAGGGTCCAGCTCTGATATAGATTGGTGGAAGGAAACAAAAACCATTGATACACTGGAATATTATACAAAAACCTAAACCTCAAATTTACCACAAAATTGACACCATGAAATTGAAGGCTATACTGAGTCGATAGGTGTTGCTTCTCCTCTACGCAAGCTTTGCTTACAACAATTTGAAACTAATAACGGGTTACAGAGGCGGCTTCCATGAATTCATGGTCACATTCAATAGCATCCATTGCATCAGGTACAAGACAAACCTCCAAGTCTATGCTTCCTCTTTCGCCTCCCTGGTAAGATGACACTTTGCCGCTAAACTTATTTGCATATCCACTTCGAAGCGCCAATGCTTTTCCCATTCCAAATTCGTTTCCGTACATGTTGAACCATGGGGAGCTTCCCATCATCACAATGCGCGGATCCAAAAACTGGCCTATTTGGTACACCATTCGAGACTGCAACCAAGCATCAATGAACTCTCGTATCGACTTGTCATCGTGGTTAACGACAGCCTCATGCAACTTCCACGCTGCCCATCCAAGCCCATGTTCAAGCAATTCACCAGCGGTCACAACTTCTGATTTGATCAGGTGAACTGAGTTCCCAAAGTAATCTCCAGACAATGCTGGGTCTAATCTTGCTCTGTTATTCGCAGCCAACCTGTAATGTATGTGTTAAATATCAATATTAACAAATATTGATGGAAATTCGAAGTGAAATGTATTATAATTTGGAGAATAAGATCATACCTGCAGCTGGTTGACTGGCTCGGAGGTAGACGCCGCACCCGGGTAATGCAGCGCCAGAGAAGGGCAGACAAGGACTGGAAGGAAGAGATTTTGGTTGTGTTAGCCTCTGCATTGGCCTTTGCTTTGAGTTTGGCTAAGGCTTCTGAGGAGAAGTGAAACATTCTCTCTCTGAGTTTGGGAGCTTCAAATCTGCCAATGAACTCATCTGGGTGCGTGTAAGGGAGGCTGATGATTGGATCGTGACCTTCTGGTAACCACCGCTTGAGGACTGGTGGTCTTGAGATATTGGGTATGATATTATTGTTTTGACTGGCATGTGTTTGTGTTTGTGCCTGAAATATTTCAGACCAAGTGTTGAAGAAATGCCAGTAAGAGGTACCATCAGCAAGGCAGTGGTTCATGGAAAGCCCTATGAAGATGCCATCCACCAGCTCCGTGACCTGAGCTGTTAGCAAAGACATGGTGTGCCCGTCATGATTGACTGCTCTGTCATGGTCAAAAAACGCCTGAACAACCAAAGGCACATCAGTTGGTGAAAGGATGTCAGAGATGGACATGTCCAGAGTTGCATAGATGAATTTTGCTCCAGGGCTGTTGTTGCAATCTATATAAATCAAATAGAGAGGTGGGTTTTCTTCTTTCTTTGTTGCAAGGCGACCTGCAAGTGGGTAGAAATGAACAAGGGCCAGGGAGAGAGAGTGCTTGAGTTTTTCAGCAGAGCATTAATGAAATCTGCCTTCTTGTGATCATTCATGGCTTCTGGAGGCTTGGCAAAAAGAAGACCTTTTTGGATATAGTGGGCAGAGAGCATGGCAAGATCGGTGGGTGCCAAGTACAAGGGCTGCTTTGATTCATCTGAAGCATGCTGTGGCTGGACAAAGCACTCTGAGATGTGTTTTACACTCTGGGAACTCATTGTCTGATTTGCCTGAGTGGATTTTCTTTGTATTTCCTCTTTGCTTAGCAGCTGCTCTGGGTTTGTATGCAGGTTCTCGATCCAGAATTTATGGTTGTGTAGTTTCTATGTTAATTTGTCATCGATGACGGGTCAGTCAAGGGTTAAATGAACAGTCCATCACGCAAGGTAGGTTGACATTTCTTTACCTTTTTTATTTATTGTCATTTAAAAACATAGCATTTTAAGCTTGTCCTCATGCCAGGCAACCACATGCTTGCCACTTTGGCTTTTGCCTCTATATTATTATTATGTGGATAATTATAAAAAAATGTGACATAATCATCCATTGTACCTGTTGCTCATAACAATACTTTTATGTTTAAAATAGCAATAAGAGCATTTTTGAGGAGATGTCAAATACCAAATATTAAATTTAAATTTGATAATTTATGTGGCAATTTGACATTTACATAGTTTTACACTTCATTCAATATGTCAAATAAATAATTATTATAACAGTCAAATCATTCAAAATAAAAAATAATAAAAATAAAGAAATTTAAAAAATAATAAAATATTCATTTGACATTTTGCTTTTAAGATGTCAAAAGTAACGGCTGAACCTCCAGCCTTATTTCCACATCAGCTTTGACAATTCGGTTGGAGTGATGTGAAATGTTATTTCTAGCCGTTAAATGTCAATATGACACTTTTGACATATCGGTTGGAAATGCTCTAATTTGATTGATTTTGGCTGAACGGCTAAGGGGGGTGTATTCAATTAGGATTGTATACGATTTTGAAAGATTTTTTTTTAAGTGACAGATTTCCTGGAATTGTATAACTCCTATAGGTTTTACCTGAATTTTTAATAAATTTGTATAGGCTTTTATGATAAACTTCCATACTTTTATATGGACTTTTGTTATAGATTCAGATATATTTGCATAGACTTCCCAATACTAATTTATCACTTTTTCTTCCCAACACTATTTTCTTTAAACTATCTTGACCTAGCCACTAGTCGACCATCCCTTTTTTTATTTCCAAATTCTTCCTCTACTTGTGCACAACAATAAATTTTCCTTTGAAATTTCCATGAGTTGGAAAATTTCATACCTAAACAATGAATTTCAAATTGAATTTCCCTTTGAAATTTCCACGATTTGGAAATTTCCCTTTGATTTTGTTCACGAACAGCAAACTCTTCGTCCAAAAATTCAATTTAAAAAAAAACCACCCTTTATCCAAAAAGCAAGGGCCCTATCATCTGGTAGTGTTATGGGTGATGGAAATATATCTCGACCTTCCGCCGCCTTGATGTTGGCTTCACACCGAGAGATCTCTAAAGGGAACTTATCGGAGATCGAGAAATCTCTAGCCGAGCTTTCCTCCCAGCAACTCCAATTGGTTGATTTGAAGAAATCACTAATGGAGGAGCCTTGCTTAATACAAGACGCTTGTAACCACCCAAGGTCAGTGCATGGCTTAGTGCATTGTTTGCCAAACGATGGAAAATTTTCTAACACAGAGAGAAAAAAAAAACGTCATATGAAATCTTTGGGGTGGAGGTTGGACGGGGTGTATTCAATAAGGATTCTATAGCGTTTAAAAAGATTTTAAAAATCCGGGTGTATTCAATTTGGATTTATACAAACTTTTAAAAAGTCTATAACAGTTTGGTGTATTCAATCTACACTTGTTTGAATACACCCAAATTGTTATAGACTTTTTAAAAGTTCATACAAATTCAAATTGAATACACCCGGATTTTTAAAATCTTTTTAAACGCTCTAGAATCCTAATTGAATACAACCCCCTAAGGATTTGGTTAAATGTGTAATTCCATGTACACCTTATTCATATCTTTTGAAATAAGTGCTTATTAATGAAATATTCTTTTCATTTTTTCTCTCTTCCTTCCACACACCTTTCTATCATTCTTAACTCTACTTAAACATTGTGCAAATTGCGTGATCCTTATTCATATAATCACTTGTCACTAATAACGGGGTACAGAGGCAGCTTCCATGAACTCACCGTCACATTCAAGAGCACTCATTGCATCAGGTGGAAGACAAACCTCCAAGTCTATGCTTCCTTCTTCACGGCCTTCGTACGATGACACTTTGCCGCTAAACTTATGTGCATAACCACTTCTAAGCGCTAGTGCTTTTCCCATTCCAAACTGATTTCCGTACATGTTGAACCTTGGTGAACTCCCCATCATCACACTGAGTGGATCAAAGAAACTCACTTGGTACACAGCTGGAGACTTCAGCCAGCCATCAACATGTTCCCTTATCCACTTGTCATTGTGGTTAACTACAGCTTCGTGCAACTTCCACGCTGCCCATCCAAGCCCGTGTTCAAGCAACTCACCAGCTGGGACAATTTCTGATCTAATCGGGTGAATTGAGTTCCCAAAATAATCTCCAGACAATGGTGGCTCTAATCTTCCTCTTAGATTCGCAGCCAACCTGCAACCAAGGTATTAAATATCAATGTTAATGAAAATATCAAGAAACAGAAAACTATTTGGGAATTCTTCTGAGTGGAATGTATTGAAAGAAACATGCCTGCAGCTGGTTCCTTGATCTCGGGGTAAACCACGCGCACGAGTAATAGACCTCCACATCAGGGCAGACAAGGACTTGAAGGAAGAGATTTTGGTGGTATTAGACTCTGCATTGGCCTTTGCTTTGAGTTTGGCTATGGATTCCGAGGAGAAGTGAAACATTCTCTCCCTGAGTTTGGGAGCTTCATATCGGCCAATGAACTCATCCGAGTGTTTGAAAGGGAGATTGATAATTGGGCCATGACCATCTGGAAACCAGCGCTTGAGGACTGGTGGTCTTGAGATATTGGGTACAAAATTATTATGATCTCCTTGTGCTTGTGCTTGAAAGATCTCAGACCAAATGTTGAAGAAATGCCAGTAAGAGGTTCCATCACCAAGACAGTGATTCATGGAAAGCCCTATGAAAATGCCATCTACCAGCTCTGTGACCTGAATGGTTAGCAAGGACATGGTGTGCCCATCATGGTTGACCGCCCTGTCATGATCAAAAAACGATTGAACCACCAAAGGCACATCAGTTGGTGAAAGAATGTCAGAAATTGACATGTCCAGAGTTGCATATATGAATTTGGCTCCAGGGCTGTTGTTGCAATCTACATATACCAAATACAAAGGTGGGTCTTCGTTCTTCTCGGTCACAAAGCGACCTGCCAATGGGTAGAAATGAACAAGTGCAGTGGAAAGAGAGTGTTTGAGCCTTTCCAACAGAGAATTGGTGAAATCCTCCTGTCCCAGTTTTGCTTCTGGTGGTTTGGAAAAGAGAAGGCCCTTTTGAATGTAGTGCACAGAGAGCATGGCCAGATCACCGGGGGTCAAGTAGAAGGGCTGCTTTGATTCTTCTGAGGCATGGTGTGGCTGGACAAAGCATTCTGAAATGTATTTGACACTTGGGGAATTCATTTTACAGAAAAAAAACTCACTCGCAGTGAGCTGTTTCAATTTCTTGATATTTCCATCTCTGCTTAGCTGCTTTGGTTTTATATGCAGTTGAAGACGTGGTGATCAAGTGTTAATTTGCCCCAGTAGAGTATGCAAAGAAGAGAAGACTCAGTCACCAACTTTGAACATATTGGTCCATTGCCCCAGTAGAGTATGCAAAGAAGAGAAGACTCAGTCACCAACTTTGAAAATATTGGTCCAAGGAAACAAAGTACCAACTACCAACTAATATATGTATCATCTTTCCTCCATTCCGACTTTGTAAAGGTTGGTAGGTAAGAATTTGAATATAAGATTTTTTTTTGTTTTTATTACGTATATGCTCTTTCCTGCTCCTTTCCTTTTACCAAACCAAACAAAACTACAAAAGGATAAAGTCATATCTTTCTTGCTTTTTGTTTTTGGGTTACATATCTTTTAATATTGATTATTAAATTACTTTAATGCCCTATTGAGTGTTTTGGGTATTTTTATGAGATTTTGAGGTTGGGCTTGTTTTAAGAAATTTATGGTAGTTTTGTAATTTATAAGAAGTTAAGGCCTCTTTGTTATGTTGTAAATGGGTTTTGGGTATGTTTCTAAAGTTCATTTCATATGAGGTATTTTTATAATTTGGGCCCCCATATTGGGTATATTAGTAAATCTCCCATAAAACTATGTTGAATTGAATCTGTATTCTTTAAGATTTTAATAATTGTTTTATTTCCCATTCACCTTTATATAACCTCATCAATCAAAATTTCCCATTTGTAATTAAAATTCTAATCTTACCAACATGACAAATGCCATGGAACTGTTCATCAAATTCAATATTGTTGACTGTAATTGAACATTGTGCATATGTTGCACGGATACAGATATAAGTATGGTTATATGATACGATATGATACACTGATACGACAAATTTCCAAAAATTAAGATACGGGTATGATTATACGATACACCGATACGGAAAATCTCCAAAAACTAAGATATGGGTATGACACCGATACAGCGATTAAAAAATATATATATATATAAATAATAAAAATAGAAAAATTGATATTTCATCCTCATTCTCCCCATTATTATTACTAGTATTCCCATCACTAGAAGCTAGAGCCATTACCCACACTATTCATTTCCTGTGAATCAAATGAAGTTTGATAAAAATAAAAACAATTAATAATTTAATACATACACAGAACAATTAGTAGGCTACGGGCCACTAGGCATCCCCACCCCAATATTACCCATATAACTATTATCTAATTAACAACACAGCAAGCTTATTAAAAGAATAAGAAGAAAACCTGAAGCTGCGTAAGAAACCCACCCAAACAAATGAATCTGAGATGGTGATGGCGATTGCTGGTGGGTTCTCTCTACTTCCTTCTTCCTCCTTCTTCTTTTTCGATTGCCGTGCGAATCGCCCAAAAGACCTAGCTAGCCTCTCGACAGAGGCAGAGTCTTTATTCTAAGTTTGAAGTCTACATTTTAACACAAAAATCTTCAATAGCTAGCCTCTTGGAGCAGTATCATAAAGTCAACAGGCCAAAAAAGTCTACAATAAGCCACGTGGCATATCAGATACATATCAGAGCATACCCCCCAAAAACTGATTTGTGGAGAATGGCAACATCCAAGAATTTGGAGCACTTTATTCTACAATTTGGTTAATAATGTGGTTAAGAGACAAAGAAGCGGAATTCCTTGTCACATTCAAAGAGCGCTTATTGTTTCCGGACAAAGAAGCAGAATCCCTTCGACTCGCCAATTCATTTTGAAAAAGCTACAATCACTCCAACATCAAACGAAAACTTCTGCCAAAGACTCCCCCACATAGCGAGCAAACACCAGATGCCACGCTTCTCATTTATGAGACAAGGTTGTCATTCAGAGAATGAAGATAGTTGATCAGCGCTGCTGTTAGTCTGCTGTTGGGCAACATTTCTCAGGACCTCCATGGCCTCTGCCACTTTTGCCTTCAAAGCCTCCGGTGACTCGAGCAAATGCAAAACTTCAGTCAGGTCCATCTCCAGAAGCATGACTGTCACCTTAGCTGCTGACTCGTGCTCCAACTGGTCAACTAGGGGATATAAAGCCTCACCAAGCATCTGTCCACCTAAGGTATGTTAACATTTCTTTACATTTTTTTCTTGTCATTTAAAAACATAACGTTTTAAGCATGTCCTCTGCCAGGCAACCACATGCTTGCCACTTTGGCTTTTGCCTCTATATTATTATTATGTGGATAATTATGTGACACAATCATCCATTGTATCTTGTTAGTCATAACAATATTTGTATGTTTAAAATAGCACTAAGTTACTAACAAATGATTTGATTGATTTTGGCTGAACGGCTAAGGATTTGGTTGAATGTGTAATTCCATATACATCTTATTCATATCTTTTGAACTAAGTGCTTATTAATGGAATATTCTTGTTCTGTTCCATTTTTTTTCTCACTCTTCCTTCCACACACCTTTCTATCATTCCACTACCAAATTAAGCATATGCATATTCATATTATTCTCAACTCTACTTAAACATTGTGCAGATTGCATGATCCTTATTCATATGATCACTTGTCACTAATAAAGGGGTACAGAGGCAGCTTCCATGAACTCACTGTCGCATTCAAGAACACTCATTGCATCAGGTGGAAGACACACCTCCAAGTCTATGCTTCCTTCTTCACGGCCTTCGTACGATGACACTTTCCCACTAAACTTATTTGCATAACCACTTCTAGGCGCTAGTGCTTTTCCCATTCCAAACTGATTTCCATACATGTTGAACCTTGGTGAACTCCCCATCATCACACTGAATGGATCGAAGAAACTCAGTTGGTAAACAGCTGGAGACTTCAGCCAGCCATCAACATTTTCCCTTATCAACTTGTCATTGTGGTTAACTACAGCTTCGTGCAACTTCCACGCTGCCCATCCAAGCCCGTGTTCAAGCAACTCACCAGCGGGGACAATTTCTGATCTAATCGGGTGAATTGAGTTCCCAAAATAATCTCCAGACAATGGTGGCTCTAATCTTCCTCTGTTATTCGCAGCCAACCTGCAACCAAGGTATTAAATATCGGTGTTAATGAAAATATCAAGAAACAGAAAACTATTTGGGAATTCTTCTGAGTGGAATGTATTGAAGGAAACATGCCTGCAGCTGGTTCCTTGATCTTGGGGTAAACCATGCGCACGAGTAATAGACCTCCACATCAGGGCAGACAAGGACTGGAAGGAAGAGATTTTGGTGGTATTAGACTCTGCATTGGCCTTTGCTTTGAGTTTGGCTATGGATTCCGAGGTGAAGTGAAACATTCTCTCCCTGAGTTTGGGAGCTTCATATCCGCCAATGAACTCATCTGAGTGTTTGAAAGGGAGATTGATAATTGGGCCATGACCATCTGGAAACCAGCGCTTGAGGACTGGTGGTCTTGAGATATTGGGAACAAAATTATTATGATCTCCTTGTGCTTGTGCTTGAAAGATCTCAGACCAAATGTTGAAGAAATGCCAGTAAGAGGTTCCATCACCAAGACAGTGATTCATGGAAAGCCCTATGAAAATGCCATCTACCAGCTCTGTGACCTGAATGGTTAGCAAGGACATGGTGTGCCCATCATGGTTGACCGCCCTGTCATGATCAAAAAACGAGTGAACCACCAAAGGCACATCAGTTGGTGAAAGAATGTCAGAAATTGACATGTCCAGAGTTGCATATATGAATTTGGCTCCAGGGCTGTTGTTGCAATCTACATATACCAAATACAAAGGTGGGTCTTCGTTCTTCTCGGTCACAAAGCGACCTGCCAATGGGTAGAAATGAACAAGTGCAGTGGAAAGAGAGTGTTTGAGCCTTTCCAACAGAGAATTGGTGAAATCCTCCTGTCCCAGTTTTGCTTCTGGTGGTTTGGAAAAGAGAAGGCCCTTTTGAATGTAGTGCACAGAGAGCATGGCCAGATCACCGGGGGTCAAGTAGAAGGGCTGCTTTGATTCTTCTGAGGCATGGTGTGGCTGGACAAAGCATTCTGAAATGTATTTGACACTTGGGGAATTCATTTTACAGAAAGAAAAAAAACTCACTCGCAGTGAGCTGTTTCAATTTCTTGATATTTCCATCTCTGCTTAGCTGGTTTTATATGCAGTTGCAGACGTGGGCTGCAGTTCCTGGATATATAATTGTTTAGTGCCAATGTTAATTTGCCCCAGTAGTATATGCAAAGATGAGAAGACTGATTCACCAACTCTGAACATATTGGTCCAAGGAAACCAAGTACCAACTACCAACTAATATACTTATCATCTATCCTTCACAAATTAACCACACAACAGCTTATTAAGGAATATATACAGCCATTCCCACCCCAATATTACCTATAACTATTATCTAATTAACAACACAGCAGCTTATTAAAAGAATAAGAAGAAAACCTTGAGCTGCGTAAGAAACCCACCCAACCCATGAATCTGAGATGGCGATGGGTGCGACGGGCGATTGCTGGTGAGTTCTCTCTCTTCCTTCTTTTTCTTTTCTGGTTGCTGTCTAAATCGCCCAAAAGACCTAGCTAGCCTCTCGACAGAGGCAAGTTTTTTATTCTAAGTCGGGGAATGCTAACAACCATCTCTCTAACCTTCTTTTTTGGACTTTCTCCCTTCTCCTAATGACATGTGTTATTTTCCCTACACTTAAAACAATGACATTAATGCATTAGACAATATATCTTTTGTTTCCAAATTTACCCTTATTAAATTAATTAACTTTATATTTCCTTCAATTTACAACTTAACTTAAACAATCAAATTTAACAAATAAACACTAAAAGTTCAATCAAATAAATATTTGTAAATAAAAACGAATTATACTTCCCTAAAACAAAACCTTTTTTTTTCCAAACATAAGTTTTTCAATAAAACTGTTAAAATTTATGGAAATAAAAAAAAACAGATAAATATTTTTTTAAATTAATGAACATTCTAATTGAATGAAAAAAAAAAAAAACAAAAAAAAAAAAAACAAAAAAAAAAAAAAACCAAAACCCACCCATCTCTCTCTCTCTCTCTCTCTCTCTCTCTCTCTCTCTCTAACCCAAAACCCAGTCCCCTCCCTTGGCCGAAACAACGCCCCCATCCTTACCCAATCATCATCATTTCTCTCCAATCCAAAACTCCACTGTGCATTGTGCTTCTCATTCTCTCTCCTCCTTCGATTCCATACCTAAAAACCCATCTCCTCTTCGCTCACCAAAAAAAGAGTAAACAGATTCTTTAATAAAAAAATAATAAAAAAACTAACGTTAATTTTGTGGGAGATGTTAAAATTTTCTCTTAATTTTTTTAACAAAGTGGAAACAAAAGCTAGTTTGTCCAATGCATTCCATGAGGGTAAATTTGGGAAATAAAAGATGCATCGTCAAATGTAATAATGACATTGTTTTAAGTGTAGATAAAGTAACACATGTCACGAAGAGAATGGAGAAGGTCCAATAGAGAAGGTTGCTAGCATTCCCCTTCTAAGAGCATCCACAATGATGCTCTCTATTTCTTAGCTAAAATTTGGCTAAGAATATAAAAAAACTATTTTAGGAGCTCTCTAAAAAATTTCAACTACAACCACACTCCCTAATTTGGAGAGTCATAAATGCTATAACTCTTTTTTGATTGGTCCATCTCTATTAAAAAAATAAAATAAAAAATAGTTAGCATTAAATAAATGTTTGAAATACTCCTTAAATAAAGCAGAATTAAATTATAGGGAGCCACAGTGTGGTTGGAGTTGCATTTTCACGATTCCTCCCTAAAATTTGTCTAAGTAGGTGATTTTGGGAGCTCATTGTGGATGCTCTAAGTCTCAATTGCTAGCATTCCCCTAGCCATATCGTGAAGTCAACAAGCCATAAAAGTATCGTAATGTATCGGGAAGTCAACAAGCCAAAAAAGTATCGTAAAGTCAACATGCCAGAAAAGTCAACATGCCAGAAAAGTCTCCGATCCACCACATGTCATATCGGATATGGTTTAGAGATTTGTGGACAATGGCAACATCCAAGAATTTGCAACACTTTATTCTACAAACTGGTCAGTAATGTGGTTAAAAGACTAGCAAAGAATCAGAATTCCTTGTCGCATTCAAAGAGCGCTTTTGTTCCGGGCAAAGGCACACCTCCAAGTTCCCTTCGACTCGCCAATTCATTTCCATTATTTTAGACCCACCCATTCCACAAGTCGTAATAGACTTCGGAATATTACCAGAATTAATCTGATAAATAGTGAAAGGCTAAAAAGAATCCAGGGGAAAATTTAAATTTGAAAACAAAACGATTAAAATAAGAAAAGACAAGAAAAAAAGATTTTAAGAAAATGTCTAAAGTCATTAAATTAACCAAAACCATGAATCCATGATGCAAGCCAAATGTAGCAATGGTAAGAATCCTACACAACCAAAAACCAAAAACAAAACAAATATTGCAGGAGGAAATTAAGTCTAGGTTCTAATTTTGAAAAAGCTACAATCACTCCAACATCAAACGAAAACTTCTGCCAAAGACTTCCCCACATAGCGAGGAAACACCAGATGCCACAATTCTCACTTATGAGACAAGGTTGTCATTCAGAGACAATGAAGATAGTTGATCAGCGCTGCTGTTAGCCTGCTGTTGGGCAACATTTCTCAGGACCTCCATGGCCTCTGCCACTTTTGCCTTCAAAGCCTCCGGTGACTCGAGCAAATGCAAAACTTCAGTCTGGTCCATCTCCAAAAGCATGCCTGTCACCTTAGCTGCTGACTCGTGCTCCAACTGGTCAACTAGGGGATATAAAGCCTCACCAAGCATCTGTCCACCCAATAACAGATAAATCAAATCACTAAGTGCATTGAATGATCCATCCAGTGTGCTATTTATACTCTGTCAGTGAGGACTATAACCAAAATCTTTTTTATCTGGCATTAACTTGGGAAACACGTGCATCTAAAGCACCTTTTACTAAACCTACGTGCCTATGACTTCGTTTCTCAGGAAAGGCTGTGTAGATCAAAACATCGCCTCAAGTATCAAGACAAAAAGGAAATGCGCTTACCGTCCTTTGCTGCTCAGTTGAAGCATTTGCAAGGGCTGTGGCCAAGGCCGGAACACCCTGCCCTCCTGCAGCATCTCGCATTGGGATGCCACCCATGTCATATGGTACTGAAAGCATACCACTGGGAACTCCCGAAAATGGAACTTCCTGCATGTTGCGACCAGGTGGATAGCGATACACGCGTCCCCTAGGAAGCATCTGAAACACAGAGAAAGGCGAACATAAATAAATGTAATAAAAGAAAATCACATATAAACATCAAGATGAAACTCGTATGTTTCAACTGACATGCTGCTGCATCATTGGGACTGGCTGCTGGTTTTGTTGCACAGGACCGGCCCCACGTCGACCTCCAGGGCGTTGGCCCTGAGGACCCTGCTGGACCATTGGAACAAAGAAGTTTGGCATTGGAGCACCACCAGGCCTTATTCCAGGCACAAGTTGTTGTTGGTAACCAAATCCAGCCTACATAATTAAAAAACAAAAATATTGACACTCATCAAAATTGATAAAGAAAATCAACCATATTAAAAAGACAATGCAATAAATAATTACTTGTGGAGGAATTATCGATGGAGGTGCCTGCCCATACAAAAATTGTTGTCCTAGACCTGGAGCACCAGGAGGGTACATTGGCATACGAGGAGCCACTGAAGGTGCCATTGCAACTGGCCTCATTTGAGAAAACTGAGCCTGTCAAAAATTAAATACAAACATAAGGATAAAAAGAAAGAAAGAACACCACAAAGTTCAATCGAAATTTGGGAACACTCCCAGTAGACCATACCTGCAATCTTGCTCTTCTCTCTTCTTTCCTTTGGGCAAGTGCAACATACAGAGGTTTGCTAACAACCATTTTGCCATTCATCTCAGCAAGCTGGAAGTACACAGTTGAGGTAGATAAATTGTAATTTCTGATGACATATTTTTCTGATTTTATTATTTTAAAACAACTGAGTTAAAAGACATACAGCTCGAGATGCTTCTTCAGTAGTTGAAAAGGCAACAAAACCAGAACCTCTACTATTTCCATCAGGATCCCGCATAACCTGTGAAATCAGGAGAAGAAAACCATGTTATTCCAGGTCACTGCCACCACATTTTTAAATGGAACTCTGAAATAGAAAGAGGTTCACGGACCTTGCATGAAGAAACCGTACCATACTCTGAGAATAATTCCTTCAGTTTTTCATCACTAATGCTATCGTCCAAGTTTTTGATATACAAATTGACACCTTGAAATTTATCGCTAGCTTCCTTCATACTCTGCTCAAATCTCTCCTTCAGTTCAAGTTCTCTCTCATACTTTTTCTGGGCTTTCCCAACATACCACTCCTTCTCATCAAATTTCTTTCCATTCAGATTGTCAACAGCCTTCGCAGCTGCATCTGGATCCTCAAAGTTGACAAAACCAAAACACCTTGACTTGCCATCCCCATCCCTCATCACTACAACACTGGTAATTTGTCCATGCTCACCAAAAATTTTCTTCAAATCATCTTCTGTTGTAGATTCTGATATATTTTTCACATAGACATTATTGAATTTTGTCTTATTCCAAGCGCCATCTCTCTCCTGCTTGCGAAGAAAGTGTCCCACAAATACTGGCTTATCATTAATCAGCATGCCATTTAACTTATCTATTGCACTCTGAGCAGCTTCTTCACTATCAAACTGCACAAAACCATAGCCCTTCGACTGGCCAGTGCCATCAGTGGCTATCTTGCAAGAAAGAATATTTCCGAAAGAAGAAAATGTATCATGCAATGCTTTGTGGTCAATTGCCTTGTCCAGATTCTGCACACATGTAAAATAACAAAGTAGGCATAAGACCAAAATAGACATAACAACACCAAACTTCATTGGAGGGAAAGGAATCTGAGTCATTACACAAGAAAACATAGATACCTTGATAAATATATTTCCGGTTCCACTCTTTCTAATACTAGGGTCCCGGTGAGAATACATAATCCTGATGGATTTGTTGTTCAGGGGAGTGAAGTTCAGAACATCCAGTGCCCTCGCAGCTGTATAGTTAGAGAAATCAAATCAAATACAGCATAAACAATAACCGATGGGCAGCAGGGGGCAGGAGCCGTGACCCTTTATGCATTAGTGAAGTTACACATAAAATAAATTTTTAAAAAAGATAAAATTTTGTCTAAGTTCCAAATAAAAGCCACCACACAACGCACACATAAACCCCTCCAGCATAATCAATACACAAACTAACCTATCCCATGGGAAAAATAACAGAAGACAATTTCCAAAATATTAACATCACCTAAATGTGCGACTTATCAAACTCGTCAACATAAAGCATCGAACTGCCAAGTTCAACCAATGTAAATTCTCTAATGTCGAATTCAAGAATTCATTTCCACCAATCAAACCATAAACAACCAATAATTTTTCATTTCGTCCAGTATTCATATCAATAACGCAAGATTCAACATGCAAAGCGAACAACTTAGGCTAATAAAAGCACTTAGGCCAACAATATTGCAATAATCAACTAAAAATTAAAATGAAATTTTTGCGAAAGACTAACCATCTTGAGGGTTGCTATAATTGACGTAGCCATAGCCGAGAGATCGGCGAGTACTCAGGTCTCTGCAGACCCTCACCGACACGACCTGGCCGACCTGGTTGAACAGATCGTAAAGCTGCGAGTCGGTCACATTCTGGTCCAGATCCCCAACGTACAGCGACGTCGATACGAACTGGCCCGGAGCGCCACCGGCGTTGGCGGCGACGCCGTTCGGTCCGGTCACCGGAGGCTGATGCTGAACTTGAATCTGAGCCATCACACCAAAATCACAAAACCCTCACTTCAAATTGGTTCTCTTTTTAAGATTTTTCAGTTCGGGTTATAATAAACCCTAGAGATAACAGACAACGAGAAACGAAAGTTCAATGGACCGGCAGCGATAAAGTTGAAAAAAACCTAAGAACCGGAAGTGATAATCTGGCAGATTTTTTGGTTTTTTTCTGAGGATACAGAGGAGAGGGGGCAAAAATCGGGGATAAGACGGTCCGAAATTCGAACCGGTACGACGGAAATATAAAACGAACGGGAAAACTGAAATTTTTTTTTTTTGGGTTTTTGGGGTGAGGAGGGCAGAGTAAAAAACTGCACCGCACCGGCTGAGGAGTTAACTGCATAGCTTATATATGTGAGTCGGCGCGCCTGCGGGCTTGGGGAAACCCTAATTTGATTTTGGAAACTAAACATGGGCCGTCAGATCAGTGTTTCGGATTTTTAACGGCTGCAACGGTCAGGCAGAATCTGTATGATGACGTAGTGAGAGGACATGTGATGCGCTAGGCCCACGAAATGGATTAGGTAAGAATATGAAATGTTTGAGTTCACGTGATGTATTCAGCTTGGCCCATAACTAAGAAAAAAGGCCAACTTGCAAAACTAATGGGCTTTTTGACCCTTGTGGGGGTTTGTGTGGCAGTTGGGTCTGATGCATCTAAATTGGAGAGTTTGGGTTGGACCAAGAACGCTTCAAACTTCTTTTCTTTTTTTCACCTTGCATTTTCATGTTCTTGTCGATTGCCCAAAAACAGTAATTATATTGAATACGAGTCATTTTATAGTGAGGGCCTTATATATGGCTTTTAAGTGAGATCTTATCTCTTAACTGTTGGATCAGTTTAACCAATTTGATCCAATGATCAAGAAATAAGAGTAAGAGTTTAGATGAATACCAACTAGCATTTGGTCTAGTGATATATATTTGTGATGAGCCGGACACTTAAATATGAATAGCTCTATTGCGTTATGTAGCTTTACAAATATAGAAAATTAGTTAAATACACATTCCTAGACATAGTTCTATAAAGAAACCCTATATTATTTAATGTATGTAAACACACCCAAAATAAACCCAAAAACTAACAGCTGTTGATTTCTTAAATCCAACATCAATGTTTGATTACTGTTTTGCCCTTTTGCTTTGTCTATTAATCAACTTAATCTTCATCAACCAGCATCTCGAACTTTCTTCTTCTTCTTCAACAATGGCGAGGTTCATTGAGCTCTGCTTCCGGCTTTTCTCCTAGTCCAATTCTCCATTGTATTTTCTTCGTCTCCTCCACAACTCTTGCCGACTCCATCGCTGCAACCCGTCGCCAATTCACCTTTGCCCAAAACTCCATCGCCGATTTCCCTTCCTTCATTTATGTTAGATGCTCCAGTTAACGCACCACATCCTTCTTCACCTCCGCCGCCACCGCAATCATCTCCGTCTCAATGTCCGTTGGCAGACGACAAGCCTCCAGTTCCTTCTCCAGCGCTGTCAAATCTGAGCGATGTCAACCACAACAACCTCGGACAGAGATGGAGCTAAGAACTCATCTGGAGGAATGAGCCATTCAAAGAAAGCAGATATTGTACTTGAGATGATCGTTGGATAACATTCGTCGATCTCAGTACGGATACGCCGCCATGATAGAATTGCTATGAAGAACTACTCATAGTCTCGTATGCGCAAAAGCTCTTGAAGGTTATTGTGAAAATTTTAATTTCTTTTATTTTGTTGTTGTTGTTAATTTATGTGTTTGCTTATTGCATGATTGAATTGAGGTTTTGGCGATGGTGATATGGTGATTCAATTTTGGGATGAGTTCTTGGCATAAAATACTAATTAGTCAATATGAGTCATTGATGTATTGCCTTTTCTACTTTAGAATTATATAATAATTGGAATTAGTGATTTAGAATTCATTATGCTTGTTTTTCTCACTGTTGTTGACTTGTTTGGCTCTATCTGTGTATGTTATCTAATGTTTGTGAGCAAATTGCCATCTAAGTTTAGTTTTGTGTAACCTTATTTTGTAGGCTTATGAGGCAGATTTCAGCATCTCTTGATATATCACATGCCATTTCTTGTCCTGAAAAAAAAAATTTGTGATATTTGTTTAAGGCAATGCTCATTTTGCAGCAATGTGATTGCATCAATGGGTCTGCAAGTCATTTGGAGTTTAGTGTTGGCATTGCTAGATGCATATTCCTTGGTGAAAAAGAAGGTCCTCCACAACCTTGTATTGGTTAGCATCTACAAATCCTTGACTTCCTTAGATGAAAATCTTGTGTGTCCATATAGTGCTTGCCATTTACTAGCTTACTATTTTCCTTTTCTAACAGTTTACAGCAACATTGTCTCTTGCAGCAGCTTCTACCTCATTTGGCATAATTGTGTTGTACTTTAGTGACTTGAGCCACTGCAATTTTGGAGAGGAATGCCAAAAATACCATATGGCAGTTGCATTGGTGTACCTGAGCTAGGTAATAGTTGCAATTTCTTCCCTAATTATGCTCTAGCTATTGGCAGCATGTTAGACCACTTGTTTGTGCATGCCATAGGATTCATTTCATCTCATTGTAGCCCTTCTCTGTTACATATATATATATATATATATTTCTTTTCTTTTTTTCTTCAGAACATAAATAAGAAATTAATGTGTCAATAGAAAAGGAAACAAACTGGATAGAACATAGTAGTACAATATTAAAAACTTACTTTCATTATGTTGTCTTTTCACTGGAAGAAGTGGGATTAGAGTTGGGAAATAATTGTATCAAACTGGAATTATAAATTGGATATACATTTACTTGTAAAGTTGAAGGATTAGCAAAAGGAATTACTTCTGTTGAATTTCTCCAAATTGATGATGATGTGAATTAGTTAGTGTCCGAAAAATCCTCATGAGTTTGTAATGTTATTAAGGAGAAAGGCAGAAAGTGTAAGCTTTTTTCCTTCGAGTTTTCCACTATGAGTTAGCTAACAATGATTTTGCATACAATAACTTAAACTATATATCTGTATTGTTCGTGTGGCATCTTGCCACTAGATCTTCATTTTCTTTTCTAATACAAATTGAACAAAAGAAAAGAAATTTGATAATTACTATTCTTGGATTTAGATTCTCAGTGATCTAGGTTCTTTGTAATTTTAATGCGCAAAACATTGTTTAGTGTTGACTTGGTTTTGATGTTTGGTACTGTTTGGATTTTTATATTATCTATTATGCAAATGAAATGATGTAATTGTTAACTTCCAATAAGTGGTATGAACAATTGTTATACTGTTCATACTCTGCAACTAAGTTGATTTCTATGACATGGTATTAACAGTATACTTATATGACATAGTATTAACAGTTAACAGTATACTTCTATGACATAGTATTAACAGATTTTCAGTAACAAAGCATGTTCTATATTTTACTCTATATATAGCTATGCACTTGAAGTTTATTATATGCATAATGTGATTTTTACTAAGAAGATAGTTCTATGACATTGTATTAACAGTGTACTTTTTTTTTTCTTACAGATGTATTTCCTTTTGCATTTGCGATTGTTTCTGGTGAAATTGTGGACAATTAGATGTGGTTTCTGCAAAGGACATCGGATGTCTTGCTGAGCTTTTTTGGTTTTTAGTTTTTAGTTTAGTTTTTTGTATGAAATGATATTAACAATGTACTTATATGAGATTGTATTAACAATGTACTCTATAATATGGTATTAACAATGTATTTCGGGCTTGTTTTGGGTGTTTTTTGAGTTTTTTGTGTTTGACTTGTTTTAAATTAATCAGTGGCAGTCATGTAATTTATAGGAACTTCAACACTAATTTCCTATGTAGTAAATGATTTTTGGTATGTTTCTAAAGTGCATTCTATATAGATTTTTTTTTATAATTTCAACCCATATTTTAGGTATACTACTAAAACTCCCTTACAAATATTGGCTGGTTATAAAAATAATTTATAAATATTTTAACTTTCTTTTAGTTCCAAAGATACATACATAGTAATACAGATACTTGTCGTGACAAATTTTGGTCCATGAAAGAAGCAGGTTTGATCAGTCCTCTCTAATCGATGTATGGCAAGTCAATTTATGCGGTCATATGATTGGAAGAATCGCCGCATGAAAACATTACTACATTCATATAGCTGACAGAAATTGTTGGGATTTAATTTCATGTCTGGAAAACATGGGCGTCTTGTTGACCAATATTGGCCTTCTTTTTTGAAGTTTGGGATTTTGATAGACCAGGCCCCTTCTTATACTCTTTTGATGCATGCATAAACGAAGTTTATTGGTACACCGAAAAAAAGGTTGATTGACAGAGTCAACTTGTGGGAATTGCCATGATTGCCATAATATATGCATGGCCCATCAAGATCTTGCGTATAGTTGTACAAACCAGTTGCAATATATTGTGTTAGCGGACATCTAAGATAATCTACTTGATTTTATTATAGTTAATCAGTTGCAATTAATATATATATCTAATTAGCTCTCCCTCCACCGTATGTATTCAAAAGCTGTTGCATGCATGCAAAAGACAAACTTTCATTCTAGGATTGGGAACGTACGATTGATTACTATCATCACCTGCCATGAATGTTTGGTTGTGGTCCTCAAACTCCATAATAATTAATATCTATTTTAAGAACCTAATTAACTACAAGTTTGAAATTAGCATTCGTGTAAAGGACTCTTCAAGAAAGATTTTGGGTTCGAATCCTAACATCTGTGTATTTAATGCGTGTCAGTTTAATCTCACGGACTACAGTTTAGTTAATGACCATGATCCCATCAAATTCCACTAGCAAGGAGTTTTAAAAAACTTAAAAGAAAAAGGGGAAGCAATGATGAAAAACCAGTAGTAACGCACGTCTCTCGTAATAATCAATGATAATGATAGGGTACTTTATGTGAAAGTCATATAAGTGGCGAATTTTATAACATTATAATTTTTTGACATTGGCGCTAGAGGACGTTTCTCTTTTCCAATTTTGAAATGCAAGATCAAAACGAAGAGTTGATAGTCTTCTTAGTAGGTTAAAAAAGAAGAAGAAGAAGGTGCGTGGACTTCAGTGTCCATATCTAGCTTCCCGCGCGCTTTTAACCTAAAAAAGCTTCGATTCAACATTTCAAGTCCCTGTGGTCAAAACAGTGACACCCACCATCGCCAGAGATAGAGAAAGAGAGCTTGAAATAAAGAGCACTTAGTGACAATTGACAAACCCTTTTGGCTCCAAAAGGCATCTAGTGGTAGCATAGATCTAGAGAGGGAGAGAGATAGATCAGTACAAAGAGACACTTGCTTGCCTTTCTTCTTTCCCGAAACCAATAAGAAAAAGAAGAAGGAATTAAACCTAAAGGAAAGCACATGATATAATGTCAAAGTAAGCACATCGATCCATGATCATCTCTCCTCTCATCTCCCTTCCGGATGTAATGGGAAGAGCTCCAAAGTTCTACCTCTACCTCCCTCCACGACTTCGTCCGCCTTACAAACTACACTATCTTCTACAGAGCAATCAAATCCCCAGCTCCTACACTTTCTCTTGTACGGACTATCTTCCTCTCTTTCCCCTACTACTTCTCCCAGCTGCAACAAAAATATATGTACAAAATTTAGAAACAAAAAAAACAACCAAGTAAAAGAAGAAGAAAACCGGCTTAACTTTGTAACTAAGTATAGTGTAACTTACGTTGGTAATTACAGGAGTTGGTGTTCTGGGAGAATGGCTGAGGCCGAGGCTGTTGCGTTTTTGCTTCTGCCTCTCGCGTGCTTTGTGGTTTTGGAACCAGTAAAACACATTCTTGCCTTCTATCTTGCCGTACTTGCCAAGCTGAGCTGTTATTTGTTCTATCTGCTGTGCATTAGGAGTGCGCATGCCTCCCCTATACAGCATTTCTAGTATTCCTATCTGTTCTTGCGTTGGGTTCCAACGCGTCCCTCCTGGGTGCGTCTCTACCTGCACCGTCAACACTTCTTCTTAATAATTATTCTTTGAAACCATTTATACTTTTTGTTTAATAATGTCCATCATACTTGACACATGTTATAATTATAAGTATTAACGTTAGAGAGATGTACTATGTTGTCAGACTATATATCAAAAGTATTGATAATTGTTCAAATGCGTTCGCCAAATTTACAGTATGACAATTAGATGTTTGGTTATAAGTTAACGTGTTGTGGACATGGAAGTACTGTATGCTTGCAAGAAAAATTCAGCATACCTGGGGGTGGGGGGAATCTTTCTTCTCCTGATGATCAGAGGATCCTAGTTTTCTAGGGCCACTTTCAGGTCTGATGAAGCTCTTGAGGTCGAAAGGAGCAAGGGCAGTGGTAGTGGTGTCGCCTGCGGTGGTGTTGGCCAGTTTGGGAGCGAGAGGGCGTAGGCGTTTGGTGCAGCCAAGAGTGAGGGAGGGTTCGTGTTCCCAGAGTCCACGTGCGAACTGGTGCACCTTCATGCTGCTTATTCCCATATGTGGTGGGTGGTGGTGGGCTGAATGATAGAGGTAAAGCAGCAATTATATAGGGAGGGCCGAACACAGACACAGAAGCTCATGATATCAGAGAATTAAAGGTGACAAAGTGGGAAATGAGGTGGTGCTTGGAACAAGCGAGACCAAATGATGAGGTGCGGTTGACTTGGGATTTTCCACACTAAAAAAATATGAAAAAGAGAAAGCACAGAGAGAGAGAGAGAGAGAGAGAGAGAGAGAGACAATAATTAATAGGGCAAGCAAAGCAAAGCAAAGCAACAATATCAATATGTATGAGAAATGAGAGTATGAGTATGTGAAGGGTTAGCTAGCTATGAGCGTGTGGGTGTGTAGCTAAGCTGTGTATGTGCGTTTGGGTTGGCCCGTCAAATCGGGTCGTTTTTTTCTTGCTTTCATGATAAGGTGTCCATGCTTTTCGGTGGCCTCTTTGGCTCTCTCTCCAGCTTTTTTTCACCATAAAGCGAGGGGGCTCATAAGAGGGAGGAGAATAATAATATAAAGAAAAAAGATTCCTCCAATCCCAAAACTTGAAAATGGGAACTAGCCTTTGCCCTTTTGCCATTTGCCCTTTTGCCATTTGCATGCCCTTTGCTTTTCAAATTTCAAGATACGACATATCATATAATAAACAAATATAACCAAAACAACTGAACTCAATATGAATGAATGCCGTCGTATCTAAGTCTTAATTTTCACTCTTTTAGTCGTATACAACGTTGAAAAAACTTACACACAACTCCAACCTAACCTATCTTATCCCTATCTTACTCACTGCATGCCAAGCCACAGCCAAATAGCCAATATATCCTTCTGGCTCTTTCTTTTGGGAACTGTACGTAGTTCCATTTTCCCAAATTGTATAAATAAAAAAACCCTCACAAGTTCCCAGCCCCACTTTCTGCCCAAATTCAATTTTTGTTTGCCAATACCTTGACACCGCCAAAGCCAATAGGAGGGAGCAACATTTCCTGTATAAATATATTTATATATCTATACCATTTGTTTTTAATAATCAAAGCGATAAAATTTTATTGATGAAAGAACAAGATCTAGAAGATTAGGCGAGTATCTCTATACATAAGGGCTCGGTCGTCAAATTAACCAATAACTTATCCTTTTTACACATAGACCTCTCTTCTAATATATATATATCTAAAGTATATATATACATGTGTATATACGATTTTATAAACGCATGGATGTGTGATGAACTATAAAATTCCCAGTCCAGCATAGAATGATGAGTTTAGGGTAAAATTGATTAACTGGCTTTACAGGCAGGGGGGGTCTAGTTAATTACTGCGGTCAATCAGGCACACAGTTAATTGTTGGAGAGTAGGTAATTGAGCATTACACGTGTGGTCGATTGGGCAGAGATATACTTGATTCAACTAGGAACACATTACACGTGTACAGTCAAGAATCATGATCACAGACACCTGCGTGTGCATGCGGTTGAGACGAAGTTCCATTAATTTGATGTTGCATGAGGGCCCAAAAAGTACGGAGTTTGTGAATGAAATCTAGTTTCTTTCTTGTATGAATGAATATGCTTCAGAGACATAATTTGCAGTGCTTTAATTATGCGGATTTGGAACAACACGCGTACGTCGTGGAAGCCATTTTTCTCCAGAAAAAAAGATTTACCATCAACTGTGTCAGTGTCACTGCTCTGCAAAAGCACAACAACTGCAGAGAATATTCAACTATTGTTCATAAAAAACAAAAACGAAAACAAAAAAACACTATTGTTCACGGAATTAGGTTAGTAAAAGTCAGTTCGTACCCTTAAGCTAAGCTGGTATTAGAAACAATACCAAATGTGAATGTGGATATATATAATTGAAATTAAAGGCAATGACAATGAGGCATGACAAATAATATTATCTTAATTTTATGCACCGATGTCGACAAAATCTTTCTTAATACCCTATAAATTAGGGTTCATGTGCCAAGATCGGTTGCATGATGTGACACTCTTCCCTTATCTCCCAACCTTAATTAGACTATATGTGAAGAATTTTCTTTCTGTTTTTTTTTATAAAAAATTTGAAGTAAAAGTCTTGGATGAATCAGCCTGGAGGGAATTAGTTAAGCTGATTTCCCCCTTATGGTAATTACCCAGCTTCTATTTGCCAAAAGCTGCATCATTATGTGCAATTCAAAAGCAACACTAAAACTGAAACAAAATTTAACTGCAAAACTCAAAACAGCATGAAATTTCTGTAGTTTTAACGTTCACATTCACATTTCCTGTGAGTAATGCAACACTTGTTTTACTGTGCTTTATCTATGCGTGTGACATTTTGTTTCTGGGTTATAAATATGGACAAATTAACTTTAATAGTTACTACAAGATTATCAAAAAAACTTTAAGCTACCACATGTTCGGTTTAGTTTGCGGACCAGCTAATTTCGTTGTTGTGAACTCGTGGTGGACTTTAACATGGACAACAAATCTCAACCAAATCTGCACTTTAGCCATTCTCCAACATACGACAGTTTCATTACATGAACTAATTGTTTTATTATTAAATTTCTTATATATCGCTCCTCAAAGTCGTGCTAGGTAGAAATTGCCAGATATATACATATGTTAGGATTAAGATAGCTTAGATTCCTTCAGATACAACAAAGACAATATAATTGCTCGAGAAATCGTATTTCTTTTTATGGAAGTGTTTCTAGGTAGATAATAAAAAATGGAATTGTTTAAGCAGAAAAACTTACTTGCAACAAAAATATCACTGTTTTACCATTCTCGACCAATAATACTATAACACGTGGAAAAGTTATCTCGCGTATTATTGATAAGGGATAGCAAAAAGTAATATTCCCGTTGCATGAAAGCAAACACCCTGTTTAAGGTGTACCATCCGATATACATGAGACGGGTGGAAAGATTCATGTTTAAGTATAATATTATAATCAACATCAATATAATATATATGATTGAATGACTTTATCTTTAATGATACATTAGCAATCTGGAATGGCATTACCTTGAAAATATTTTGGCAGTACTGACTATAATTAGTAAGTTATGTGAAAAATCAAGATGTACTGGTTTTTTTTTAAAAAAATAAAAAATAAAAAATAAAAAAATAAAAAAATAAAAAATAAAAGATTTATTTAGGGACTAGTTGTAATTAGCCCTTATCAGGGGACAGTGAGCCTGACCCTCTTGACCCTCTCGTCTTTGATTTGATGAAAACAAAATTGAATTATGTAAGCAAGGTAGGAATATTTACTTGTACTATGTGGTGGCTAAAACAAGAGTGACAGAAGAGGTAAGTTTGCGTGTACTTTTGCATGGTGAAAAATGAAAATTGGATACTCCCACAAGTGGAAGATCGTTTTTGAAAGGTGAGGTGACCAATTACTTGTAATTTCATTGGACACTTGTCATTCTACTTTGACGTATATGCGTGCGATAATCATACCATCGTTGAAATTAATTAAAAGATTATGAGCTAATAATCTAATAGCTAATGGCTATTAGCTACACATGAGTCACACGTAAGCATAAATATATATATAAATTTCTTGTATCATTACATCCTATCAGCTCCCTTCAATCACGACAGCATAAATAATTTCCTCACTTAACATAAATTTGCTCCTACTTCCTACTTAGGTAGGTGTCCATCATTCTGCACCTAACCCGTTCTATGTCGATCCATAAAACCAAAAATTACTATTTTTAAGGTTGCTTTAGATAATTACATGCATGCAAGTAACAAGGACCACTCATTGAACCTTTTTAATTTTACCCTCCTGCTGCAGATATTTTAAGCTAAGCAATTAGTTAACACAGGATTAGGACATTTCCCCTTCAAACTTGTCAAGCTAATAATTTGAATTATTCGTGGGCCTTACGTTTGAAGAAGCAGAGAAATTGAACACGTAGCAGAGATAATGTTTCCCAACATACAAACGATTGGCCTTATTTTTAACGACTATCTCGAAAGCTTTTCTTTGAATTACCAAATGAAGGGCCAGCAGGATGCATGATGCTCATTGATATTGGCCAAAAATGTCACATCCAATCAAGCATTATTACTATTATTATTATTATTATTATTATGATCTGCGGACATCCCAATTCATGAAAACATATACTGATCAGATCAGAGATCAGATCAGATGGCCATAGGAATAGGAAGAGGATGATGACTTTGCTAATTAATTAAGTAGCACAAGATTCATATAAATAATTTGATTTGAAGGGTTATTTTGTCGGTCAAAGAAAAAGAGGAGATGCAAACAAATTGGGGTGATGAAGTTGGGTGCCATGATAGGAGTGGGAACCCACGCAGTGGAAGAAGCGGTGGGAATCCATCATTAGCCAAGACAATGCCATCATTTGCACGTGTCAATGGACCACATTCAACTCCCATCAATCTCTTGTTTATTTCTCACTCCCTCTACTCTCACACTAAAAACCAAACTGTAGCTTTAAAATCAAAACTCTTTCCTCCCTATTTTGACTCTTCTATCAAAGGGTTGCTGACGGATGAATGCATCAACAGTTGATAATTACTTATATATTGGTGCATGTACATCAATATATTAGTACGGTTGTCATGCACTCGTAGACTATTTCCCTTAACCTTTAGAGGAAGGCATTAATAGTTTGGTTTACTAACTAGTTATTGCTACATGTTTTTGTTTATACCCTTTCCCTTTGCTTTGTTTTCCTTCTTTTTTTTTATCTTTGTTATCTTCAAATTATATGTACATGGAGTTGTAGAGTAGTGATAGATAAAGGTCATGTGTCAGCTACTTTTGTGCTTAATGACTTTTAGATTTTCTATTCCTTATCTAGGGTTGGAAGCCTTTTTAACTTGGAAATTGATGGAAAGGGATTGTTGTGATCGATGCAATTGTCACTGACTAAACCTTCCACTCTCTCTCTCTATCTCTATTATGCCAAATAAAGTGAGAATTGGAGAAGCCATCATTGTTGGGATTGAAATATATTCCCAACTAGATTTAGATGGGGCATCTTTATACACACTGAGCTCATGACTTTATGGATCTGCAGTGTTTCTTTTTCATACTCTTTATCTTTTTCAAAATATATATATTATATAAATTTTTCTCTCAAGAGAGAAAGAAGAAAGAAAGTTGAGGGGGGTGGGATGAAGAACATGATCGCATGGTGAGAACGGTCGTGCCATGTAAGGGAAAGTGGGTGCAAATGTGTAGGAAAAGTGAGTTTTGTATGGGGGAGGGAGAAGTAAATGGATGACAGTCCAAACACAATTAATTGAATTGATGGCACTGAAAGATCCTCACTGTACAAACTTTTCTTCATATATTCTTTTTTTCCCTCTCCCTTTTTCTTTTTCTTCCATTGGGTTTGTTTTTTAACCTCTCTTTCTTTCTCTTTCTTTTTCTCTGCTAGCTTTGCGGTGTTGGTGTTTTGCACAAACTCTCGAAGAGTTAATATTTTGACAGCTCTCTCTCTCTCTCTCTCTCTCTCTCTCTCTCTCTCTCTCTCTCTCTCTGTCTTGTAAAAAGTCTCTTTCTCTGTCATCTTCTTCTTCTCCTTGGAGACTCCATATGCGACTGTGCAGCTGTCACACTCTTTTCTTAAAGCGTCTGAAATCAATGTCCAATTAGGCGCCCTACAAATGCCACGTGACCCTCGTCCATTAGTTGAATGAATTTCGCATGAATGGAGCTGCTCACTTGCACCAGCAATAGTCTTTTACATTCTTGTTTTGGTCGACCAATAGTCTTTTACACTAGTGCATAGCAAAACTGAACCTATAATAAAACTAAAATTTCAACCCAATGAAGAAAACGAATCAAAAATTTGGACTCCATGAACAAAAACTAGAACATAACGAACAATCGAACCATCTGAAACAAAGTACACAAAACTTACCAAACCCACAATGAAGAAAACCCTATAAGAAACTTTGTTTAGTTACAGACTACAGTACTACAGTAGTAGGCATACAGTATGTTGAGGTTGCAAGGACTTGTCTTAAGATGGAATTAATGAAGAACCAATGCAAAGGCCCAAATCATGAAATACTTAATGTTGGATACGGTGAGAATTATGTGGGGTCTTGTCTTGGAGTTCATTTGGGCATCAAATATTCTCAGTTGTTTTGTTGGGTCGATAGCCTCCAGGCCTACACCCGGTTTCAATTATTTATTTATTTTTTGCTGTAATAATTTAATGGTATCTAATGCTTTTCATTCAACCAACACGTGAACTAGAGCCGTGTGATGATGATGATGATTGGTTTATGGGTATGGATATATATATATATATATATATATATATATTCAAAGTCTAATTTTGATGGCTGTAGACAAATTCATGGTATTTAAATTTGTTACGTACGGTACATTGACTGCTACTATAAATTATGGCACACATGCATTGTTTCTACATTTTACTTTTGGGAATTGAATTGAATCATGTGCACCCTAGCTAATATGTCCACGATAATCTTGATTTTTCCGTTTTACATGTTGAACATGAAATAAAATAATGGCTTGGCTCTCCGTGATTTAAAGATCATGTCAAAGTTTTCTGTAAATTCACAAAATTTGGTCAGCTAGGATGACAAGGTGCCTTGTCTTGTCTCAGGATTCTTTGATTCACCATCCACTATCTATCCGGACACACATTTGAGTGGCAAACAACAATTGAGGCTTCAAAAAAAGGAAAAAACAACACCGAATTTATATGATATTCTGATTCTGCCGTGGACACTGCTCATCAGTTCACAGCTAATGGCTAATTGCTTTCACACTTTTTTTTTGTTTTTTTTTTTTTTTTTTTTTTTTTTTTCCTTTTACTTCTTTATTTTTGCCCGTTTAATATTATCTTATAGAAGTTCCCTCCGGGTACTTCTGATAAAATTGGAACGATACAAAAGAAGATAAATAGCATAGTCCCTACGCAAGGATGACACGCATAAATCAAAAAATGGTCTTTTCTTATAGAAAAGTCCTTGTAAGTAATTAATGTTTTCATGCACCCATGGAATTTTGAACCGCTCTTGGGCAAAGCTCCACCATGAAATCTTGAAGATGAAAATACCTCAAAACAGATGGTGTGTCCTTATACTTGGTTTTGTCAGTTTGTTGTGTATTGATTGCCTTGGATGTTAAGGAGCAGTTGATAGGAACAGGCATATGCTGATTCTTTCGAGTTCTAGTGTGTTCAAGGTTTGGCACTAAGTTTCTGTCACTCTCTTGGGGGTCATTTTCTGTATTCAGATCTTTCTGCTGCTTCTTAACTTCTGTCTTGTAGCTTGGTAGCTTGCATTATTGTGAGGAATGGGTTGCTGTGACATTTTAAAAAAAAAAAAAAAAAAAAAAAAAAAAAAAAAAGCAATGCAAAAGCTGGCCCTTTGTATATTTCAGGTGATGAGGAGGCTATATTTTGACTGCAACATTTTGGAATAAATTGCAACTTGCAGCTTTCTTTTTCACTTTTACTTGTGACAGTTAAAAAAGATATCCAACACCACAGATAGGAAACACACTTATCTCTCAATCACTTAATCCTTGGATTGGATTGGACATAAGGCTGTGAGCTTTTGTTTGGACTTCGGACAAGTCTAGACTTGTTGAAGGCCAAATGAATATTATTATATGATCCTCTTAGCCCTCTTTGTTACCCAAAAAAAATAAAAATTATATGATCCTCTCTGCTTAGTCTTAGCTTTTGTTGGTGGGAAAGCACTATCTTCTTTTTGCCACATAGCTGAACTACTTCATCTAACAAAAGATCTCAATATCTTTGGGCTCGATTTGGTTTGGCTTTTACTTGTGAAGCAAGGTTCATGTCTTGAGTTAATAAAGCAGAAATTCCAGAGTGATTAGGGTTTGAAGAAATTCTTAAATCATTCTTTCATTCTGTCATGGCTTTAAAGATATTTGTTTTGGATACAGTGGTGCTGTTTTGATTGAGAAGCAAACTGAGCTTTTCTATATAGAAATGTGGTTTTATGAATCAAAAAGTGCATGTTTATCTGTAAAGGAGACCCTGTCATCTGGCTACACACGCCACCGAAATGCCCCTTTTCTATAAAGTCAAGTTATGTGGTGAGGCATTTCGAATAGAGAAGGAAAGATAAGATATTATAAAAGACATAGGCTTAAAGACATACTATAATCAGGTTTAAGCAGAACTTGGCATTACCAGTTTAAAAATATTCTTGCAGGAACTAATTTTTCGGTAATTTTACATGCCCCGCCAATCTAACATTACGTGTTAAGACAATAATTCATCTAATTAATAATTTAGATTGAGAATTCGACGACATAATATGAAAATTTCCCCACCACTTCATAGGGTTACTTGAAGCGAAAATTACGCTAGTTTAGAGCTCATGAACTTTTGATAGTAATATTTCTGTCAAATCTTTTGACTAAGACATCCCACCGCCAATGGATAATTACCCACAAAAGCATCTGTGGATTAAAAAACTAGTGAACTTTGATTTTAATAAACAAAAGTCATATGTTAACTACAAAGAAAGAATGTTGAAGGTTACGAAGATTTCTTGGAAGTCATACGCTTCATGAGATTTATGTTTAAGGTTTAATATTATAAGTACGATTTAATCATTTGGCAAAAAGACAATCTAAGCAGATTTATAATCAAGATGAAGGGAAACTATAACAAGCCCTGCAAGATCCATAAATACCGTAGATTAATTTTATTCCAATAAGAAATTAAAACAAGGAGACAAAGTCAAATTTTGATTACAAGACAGTTGGGCAGCCGCAGATTTTGGCAGCAAAAGAGAAAATAGAATCGTCCCACACGTATCATAAACTCGGTTTTAATTTGGCCTCCATACAGATCACAGCCCAAGATTACTATATTACTAATTATTCATTAATCACCTCTAATACAAAACAAGAAAAAAAGAAAGGGCTCACCGTCCACCGTCCACCGTCCATCATCCATCATCATCAGATTAAAAAAAAAAAAAAAAAAAAAAAAAAAAAAAAAAAAAAAAAAAAAAACATAAGTCGTTGCCACTCCCCAAAAATGGAGTGTGTGAGTCTAATGACAGGGACAACCTATTTGATTGAGGAGGACCATCTTGCTTTCCTCCTTCATCATACTTCACACCACAAGCACGTCATCACCAAGCAGCTCTTCTTCTTGGTGCCCCAACTCCTCCTTATCTCCTTATCTACTTGTGTTTTTTGTTTGGCAACTCAACAAGATCGTACCAGTACTGTAACCAAACGTAGGCCACACCAATGTTGCTTTCTTTCTCTCTGTTTTGTTTCTCTTGGTAAAATTTGGGGGGCCCAAAACCCCAATTGCCCTAGCAAAGCAAGCTGCGCTAGCATCAAGCCAATGACCCTTCTAGGCCTAGCCACCGTATCCACACCTAACAAATTTCTTCTCTAAACACAAATGAGAACGAAAAATTATTGCGTGTGACAGTAACACCACGTTGTCTTCTGGGTAAGAGAACATATCAAAAGACAGTAAAACCACGTTGTCTTATGGGTAAGATAACATATCAAAATAACTTGATTGCGCAAACCATAAAAATCAAGAGTGGAAAAATTCAAGAAAGCAAATACTGAAATGAATTTGAACTCCTTGTCATCCTTGATGACCAGTAACTAAGAAGTTTTGCTCTTCAGCTGGTTTGTTGTTGATGTTACAATTGAAGAGAAAGAGAAACTATACCAATCAAACAGAACCCTTTTGATTCTGTTCTCTGAACAGACCCAAAAATACCTTTCTCGTCTCTCTATTTTCTCTATATTTTCACTTATTGCACACGTAGACTAGCTTAGTGATGATCAACTAAGATCATGAATATAAATATATAAATATAAAAACTCAAAAGAAAAAAGAAAAAAAAGAGAGCTAGAAATTAAGAAAATAATATAAACAGTTGGTGATCGATCAGCCTCATATCTCTCTAAAGACCTTTTTTTTCAATTAATTTTCATCAGAGTTTTCTGGGTCGGGATACTTATTTAAATCAGGCTTCTGGGAATTCACCAGGCTCGACGTCGTTTTCGACTGCGATATTGGTGAGCGGTGAGCAGTTTCGACGGCGTCGACCTTTGCCCCAACCTCCGTAGCCTTCTTTCGTATCGAAGCGGCCGACATGTCGTGTAGCTGCTGGCCGTCTTCTTGGAACACAAGTTCCGGGAAGTTGAGGCGCGCAGAAGGGCCTCTGAGGTAGAAAACGGCGGTGTCGTATGCTCGGGCTGCGGCAACCGGGGTCGTGTAAGAACCAAGCCAGATTCGAGACCTCTTGTTGGGTTCTCTAATCTCAGCCACCCACTTGCCCCACTTCCTCATCCTTATCCCTCTGTATTGTTTTTCTTGATGACGATGATCATGGTTGCCTCCTACTTGTTGCTGTTGCTGCTGGTTTTGCCTCTGCTTGCGCTTCTCTATGCTTGTTGTTGTGGTTGTTGAAGACGAAGAAGATGAAGAACAACAATACTCTCCTTCCATCCCGAGAAAAGTTAGAAGTTACCTAATATTAATCAAAACCCTTTTAATCTGCTGATGTTCTTCTTGTTGTGGTTGCTTTAGAAACTAACTAAATAATCCCAAAACACAAAAACGAAAAAAACCAAATGAAAATAATCAGAAAACACTTGCAATTCCTGAGAGCAAAGGTTATATTATATTCACAGGGAAATATATACAAACAGATAGAGGGCATAAAGATAGATTAGTTTCGTACTTGGCTGCTAGTCTGTCGTCCGGGCACGGCCGCCACGTTGATGTATCTTGAAGATAAATCCAAAAATGGCCGACATATTCCATCAGCTCCCACCCTTTCTCTCTCTCCCTCCCCTTCTCACTCAGCTCTGTGTCTAAAACGCTACGTTTTATACCAGCTTCTCTCTCGTCTTTCTCCTCTCGTTTTTCTCTTCTGTTTCTCCTTTAGTGAGTACGAAAAGGCATTTTGTAGTTTATTTTTATGCAAAAGTGGGGCCCACGTAAGCGGTTTTGTGGGCATGTGAGAGCCGACGTGGATGGATGTTTACACCTCTTGTACGCAATCCACTTAGCGCAAATTACAAATTTACATTATTTTGTGAGCTCAGGTTTTGTTTGTCAAACTGAAATAACTGGACCATACTCATGTTGTTGTTGTATCTTTCTTCTTCACTTATTTTTTTTTTCACTTTTCAAAAAGTCACTTTTAGTCTCGGTAGTTTGTCATTTTTACTATTTTGATGTTTTTCGTTTTAATTTGGTCAATTTTTTTCCTAGTGATTTCAATTTGAAACAATTCTCAATTTCTATCAAATTTTTAAAACTCTTTTTTCAGACAAAAGTCACTTTTGGCCCATTGACATCTAACAGAAGTTAAAAAAAAAAGCTTTTTCTTCTTTACTCTTTTTTTATATTCTAATTACTCTATCTAATATACGGAAATAAGATTGAACTCGGATGTAAATGAGTGAACATACTATCTTAACAAACTTTCTATGTCTTCGCACGGTTCTTTTGTTTACAATTGATATTGAGGGAATGAGAAATTGAACTTAAAACCTCAAGATATAGAGATAAATACCCTTAACTAGTTTTAACTAAAAATTCCTGTTTTTATTTTTATGAAGGCTAAAAGATCCTTGTTCTTTTTTCTTCACGCTTGGTTTTGCTTTATGTTTTTTCTTTTTCAACTTGTTTGTTGCCACTTGCGATTAAAAGTAACAATCAGGACCATGAAAGAGGTGGGCATAGAGGTCGGTGATGGATATAGACAGATGGCAACATCAACAAGTGGAATTGTAGAAAATAGGAAAAAGATAGAGTTGATAACTATAAAATCAGTTCGGTTCAAGTTATTTCCCCCGAAGACCTGTCACTTGTTTTCTATGTAGTAATGTTTCCCGTATTAATGATAATTGATGGATTATTAAAATTCCTTTTTTTTTTAATTTCCAAAATACTGCCTCCACAAAATTTTGTTTTATAATATCATAGGCTAGCTAATGGCAGGGGCCACCTAAAAAGAAATGATTTTAGATACGTGTCAGCTGTGCAGTGGTTTGTGGATAATTATTGCTGGGTGGTCAAATTGAATATTGACTTCAACGCCATGAAAAAGGTTCAGGGTGCAATGGCACCGCCTTACCAAATAAAACAATAAAATATAATCGACCAGCAGTGGGATGAGGTATTCTCTGTCACTCATTCATATCTCGTATTTGGAGTTGGAGAAGGCACCACGACGCTGTGAGCTACCCTGCCAAATTCCAACCTGTAGACCTCCTTTTTATTTATTTATATTTCAAGTTTTAGATTCTGAAGTTTTCTCGAAAAGCAAAGGGTATCTAGTCGATTAGAAAATAGTCTTAACTTGTAGAATAGTGATTTTAGATTCGAACTTCCATAACCTATTGGTAGTGTGTGCAAAAAAACTTATCTCTCCATGTAATTTAGACTATGCCTTATATATATATATATTAAAAAGTCTTCTAAAAAAATAAAAGATTTTAATAAAGAAATAAATAAATATTTTGTTTGGGTTGTTCTAGGCCCTAATGTAGAAGCCCATAGGGTGCGACGAATCTTAACCGTTAAAATGGGCCATACGCAAGTCCCCCACCACCAGCTGAGAACAAAATTGGATTATTATGTCACTATAACAAAAAAATATATATATAAATATAAAGATATGATGGCCCATGGGACATGGGACGATGTTTTTTCTTGGACACCCGCCATACAACCAACGGATGACATTTCCATGGGATGCCGAAGTTGATTTTATAAGATGAAATGACATTTCATTTCCTTGCATCCATCCATTCATTCATAATTCATTATCGTTTTCGTTTTGGTGGTTGGAAAAGCAGAGCAAACGACGAGAAACATGGAAAACTTCAAGTTTAAGCTTGGCCTAAATGGACATCAAGACGCATATGTTATTTTTTACAATCTTCTTCTTTTTTTAAATTCTTTTTTTTTGGATGTCGACAAAGTTGTTGGCATTTAGAAATGAAACTCATCGGGCGACGTGGACAAGTTTGCCTACTTTTTATTTATTTTTATTTGAGAGAGATTGTATATATAGTGGGACGTGGGGCTCGCCAACTCGGGAGATTCAGACTTGAGTCGGCAGCAAAGAAACTAACGGGAAAAAAACAAGGGATATTGCCTCCTTCCCAAAACAATAATAACATGAAAACACCAGATAATATTATTTAAATAATAAGTAAATGATTGTAATAGGTTTCTTCAGGTTGTCTCTGCCTGCGTATCAGTTTCTGTCATGGACAGGAATATCTTGCTTGTCATGTAAGCATATCATAATCACGCTTGTTACTATTCTAACATTCAGTCACTAACAAAATTAACAAAAAAAATGCACATTTGTATTATTATTATTCCAAATGAAATGGCTACTAATTACACAGCAGTTCACAGAGTCAACTTACAACACAAACTATAGTATCGAAAATCTTTACGCTTGTTCCAAATAAATTGCTGATTAACTCATCTGACCTCTGTATTAGGATCCAGAAGCTTATATGGCCAGAAACCTCCACCAGGCTGATAAGGCCTTCTGCTACTCATGCTGATAGAATTCCATGACACAATTAATGTTGGGTGAACCAAATTGTAGGAAGGAACTATCAGTGTTTGCATATCAGTATCAAAATTTCATACTTGAAATATAGAAATGCCATTTGGCTGCTACACTAGAGTTGCCCCTAACAACAAAAACAAGTTAAAACTCAAACTATATAGATGTAGGGTCTTTCAATCTATAATGTTGAGTGAAGCTTCTACGAAGAGAAAGGAATTGTTGTATATGCATGTAGGCTCTTACAAAGTATACGATCTATCAAAGCGTTATGTGATTAGGTATCCAATTTCTGTCTCAGCAAAATTATAATAATTCCAGGTTTTAGTTATTACAACAATTGTATGTATGTACTTCCAAGTGATTCCAGATATGGAGAAGGAACAACATTTGAAACCTGTACATACAAAGCATTTGACAACATCATCCCAACAATATTTATCTTTATCTAATTAGCAAAAGAAACTTCAGTGAAAAAAATAAAACCTTTGGGATTGAGGGGAAATGGAAATGCCTGCAGTTGGTAAAATGCAACTGATCAGCCATGTATTGCAATTTTATATTTCTACGTATCCATATCCCACAAAATGGCATGTCTAAGAATAAGCATGATTCAAAAGCTCAAACAACAAAAGAAATGCAATGTTATAATAAACATAGATAGCTAATTGTGATAGAATTTAGTTAGTGGATTACTAATTATTAGGGCAGAACCATAAGCACTAGTATTCATTTCATACTAAGCTAAAGGAAATGTAAACGAAAGAAATTTGGAACCTTCAAATTGTGTATGATGAAGAAGGAAATTCTGGGCATACATATCCTGTGAATTCTTAAATGAAGAAACTATAAACACTTTACATGGTGAAAAAACCCAAGTGCATCCTTGCCATGAATAACCAATTAGAATAGCCATTCCTTCCTCATCTCCTTGTATATTCCTATACACCCCCAATGCATATTTGCTCAACCTCAGAAAAAACTAAACCAGTGCCACAATTGAATCAAAATGGCCTCAAAGTATCAGTTCAATCACATGCCTGATCCAACAACCAACTAAGTTTGCCATATCAAAAAAATCCATCTTCCTCATCTGTTTCCTCATCCTCACTATCCAGCAAATAGTCCTCACTATCTTCACTATCCCTATCGTCTTCTACCCAATCTCCTTCTTCCAATTCCCCTTCCGAAAATGCCGAAATCCTCATTCCACTAGACAGGGACCTAGTAACAACAAGTTCATCAACCACATTGTCCAATTCACTGCCACCATCGAAACCCGAATGCGAAAACAACCCATCACCCTTATCATCATCATCCTCATCAAAGAACTCACTTATCCTCCTTTTGGGTACCAAATCCTTCTCTGAAACCTCTCCATTTTCGACCCCAATCCAAGGCACCCAAACATCCGCGTGCCTTCCCAAAGCTCTGTCAAAATCCCCCACCACCACAGTCCCCAAGTTGGCCTCTCTAGCCTTCCTCAACATCTCCGAAAAATCTGAATCGTCCGAAACCAAGAACAACCAGTCAATCCCACGGCTCATAGAATGCTGCATTTGCCTCTTCAATGCCCAATCAGCAGCCTGAGGCTTGTCCTCCACAGTCTTCACAAAAACACCCGCTCTTCTTAACTCCGAGGCCAACCCATACCCGACCTTGGGCTTGATCAAAGACCTCGCAGCCTCATTGTACTTGTGGTTCCCAGATACAAACCTCTCCTTAAAACGCTGCCGTTTCTTCCCTTTCAGAGACCTCATTCGATTCAGCTTCTTCTGTCTCTCCCTCTCGTGCAGCTGCTTGAAGTGCTTTTTCAAATCCAAATTGGACTTGCACTTTCGACCACATACTCCACAAATGTAAGGCTCAGAAGGAACGACTAAACCCTTGCGCTCCAATATGTCTAATTGTTTGCGCTCGCGGCGTTGTTCGATGACCCACTGAGGCAAATGATCGAACGCGTGACGGTTGGCGTAGGCTGACGACTCTACGACCTCACCGAAGCGCTGGGCCACCTGTTTCAGGGCCATTGCTGCCTGGTACGGCGGCCCGCGAGGGGGTTTGTTGTCCAAGTCCCATAAGATCACCACCTTCTTCTGCTTCGGCGTGTATATGCCTTGCTTGTTCTGCACCATGTCAATTTCGGAGTTTGCTGCTGCCTTGATAGCAACATAGCTCCGAGTCCTTATGCTTAAGGTGGTGATGGGTTGGGGTTGAAACGAGCGTTTTGAGTTGAAGAAGGGAGAGCGGGAGGAATGGAGGGAAATTAGAGGGAAGGGTTTATAGGGGAAGGTGTGTATTGGGTTGCAGAGGAGGTTCATGGTTCATTTATGGCGGTCACTCTGTCACTGTAAGTGAGAGCGCGCCTTCGTCTTGTTGCTTGGTTATTTTGGTTGCTTTCTGCAACTCTGTTATCCGTTTGGGATATTACATGGGTATATCCGAATTGATCCATTGGGATTTCAACAATGGGCCTTCTTGGCAATTTAGTCTGAAAAATTAAGCGTACAGTTATATGAATGGGCTTTCTTAGTTGCCAATGTTAACCGTGAGGCTATAGTGATGTGTTATAACGAGGGTTTATTATTAGACGGCTAAATTGAACTCCTCAATACACTCCTATTTGAAATTTCATTTAGCATTGCACAATTCTTATTGTGTTGCATATTTCTTTAAGACGAAATGCATTCGAAAAATCTCGCTTTTTAACTCAATTTTCTTAACATTAATCCTATTTATTGACTGACAAATTATAGTAGTTGTCGACAATTTCCTTTTTACTCATTGATCATGAATCTAGTGGTTTTTGCTAAAAATGTTTACTCATTATATGATGATGTAGTTTTGACGTCTAGTGGAATGTCATTTGGTTTGGTTTCCCGAGTCCTAGATTATCCTCCTAAGAAACCCTAGCCAATCATAGCTAGTGGCAACTCTGTCTGTGAGAAGAGAGACAAATGAAATGGATGAGCTCTTACTTAGATGGTTTTGCTTGGAAATGTTGTGCCATGAAAAGGCTTTACTATTTTCAGGTCATTATCCTCAATGGTGGCTTTCATTCTTTTTCTTGCCCTTTATCAGTATACACTTTCTCTTTTCCTTTTTTGAAAGGTTCTTTTGCCATTTTCAAGCTCAGAAAAGAAGAAGAAGAGAGAATTGCTTCATATCATCCAATTACGGATCGTCCATAACAATCTTTCCATCACAAATTACTTTATTTTCTGTGTTTAAATGGTTTATACAGAACTTTTTTTGAACATGGGTTTTTGTAATTTTTTTTAGTACAAGTGATAGGGAAGGGGGGGTTTATATATATATACAAATAATCATGGGGTGTCTTGAGGTTTCGAACCTCTGCCCACATGAGTGGAAATGAAAGAACTCAACTAACTGAGCTATATCCCAATAGCAAGTTTTGTCATCCAAATAAAGATTTATTAAAAAATTATAGACTCCAATATGTATAATTTGGTGAGTCCTTCAAGATTGTTCTACGGGCACTAAGGATTATTTCCTCCTTGATTCATGGCAGTTTTCTTCAGAATTATTATTAATACAGTCTTTATCCTCAACGATTACCAGCCCCCAAAAGCAAGGCAATTATATAATATAATTGAGATGATAACTAATTATTTATTATGTCTGTTATTTAAATTTTGCTGATGAATGATAAGGAATTAAGTGAACAACTTTGGTGGGTCTTGTGTAGTTGAGTAGCTACCGATCCCGGTTTGCATTAACATACCTGAATAATGAAATTAGCTAGTACGGTCCCAATACTTAATTATGTAGACCCCAAAGCTTGGTTTTATAGTAAGTAAAGATAAAATCCTGTTTAGTACCAAGCAAATATTTATCAAGAAAAGTTCTTTTTTTAAGTCTTTAGTTAGAAGCTTTGCATGTTACTAACTTTCACTTTAGCTTTCATCCTCAAAACTTGAATCTCTTCCTTTTGGCTTGGAATGGCAGCAGCAGCTGTTAGAGTCACCACATCAAGATCAAAGCAAGGATTTTGGTTTGAATTTTCAAACGTCCCTTTTGAGACAATTATAATAAAATATGGTCGTAAGTGGGCAGCTGATGTGCTAGTGTAGTAGTGTGCCATCGACATTGCACATAAAAGTTTTAGTGGTTTTGAATGGAAGGATTAGGGTTATCTCCATGAATATATTTAGTTGACCACCATTAAAGAAAGAAAGAAAGGAAGGAGGGTCACTACTATAAATACAGTTTAGTGCTATGCATGTTGAATGCACCATCACCATCTATTCCACCCACTACCAGTATGCATGACCAAAACACTAGCTAGATAAAACCCAAATGAGACAAATAAACTATATTATAACTTTACGCTTGGATGTGGAATTTATAAATATTTGCCCGTAAATTTATTTCTCTTATTCAAATGCAGAGTAAAAGTTCACTTCTTGTCATCCCTTTTTTCATATAGCGTATCTCCTAAGGTAGAAAGGAAATTAATGAGTGGATTTGGTTCCAAAACAGAGTAGATAGTACTAAATAATCCAACCATGGAAAAATATTTCATGAAAATTGAGACCTACCATATTTTTGAGTCCAATCACTGAAACAAAGAAAAAAAGTTTGATTTCCATAGATTACCTTTACCTATATCCCTGATCTTACGGCCTCTGTCTGTTCTTGTAATCTCAAATTACCTTTTGGCATTGTGGTTGAAGCCTTTTAAGATGACTTACTGACTTTTCATTTTGCGGATAAGCATACTTAGCTCCCATAAGCATAAAGGTATCAAAATGAAACTAACTGCCATTCGACAAGTAACTACCAACCGCTATAAATTTCTGCAGTTTCTTTCACCTTTTTGTAATTTTATTTTATTTTAACATCCCCCATCCCTGCATCATGCATGCACCCAAAACTCTCAATGTCCCCTCTCATAATCCGAATACCAGACAAGAAAAAATAGCCCAAAAGAAAAGAATATTTAACCCCCTCAGTAAATTTTTTTTTGACCTTTTGGCTTTCTAGAAGTGCATGCCAAATAAAAACACAAAACATATCCTGATTCTTAAGCATCCCTCTGTCTCTACCTCCTTTGAGTAAAAAAAAGAAAAACCATAATGAATAAAAAATCAACGCGTTTTTTTTTAATGACGAAAGACTGTCGGTTCCCATAAATTAATTAAAGAAATTAAAAGTCTCTGCCCTTGAAAAACGTTTAGCCCATCCATCAGGACAGGACTCACATAAGATGTGCCATGCCACAATTTGCCTTTGCCATTGCCATTGCCATGTTTTAATGTTTTCTCTTTCTTCTTATTATCATGTGCCTCTGTTTTGTTTGCTTAGACCACCCTCTTCCTTCCTGCCTTTCTTGAACCAGTCCTAGTCCACGCCTGCCTTCCTTGTAATTTCTCTGCTCTTATCAGAACCAACCTTTGCCTTTTCTTTTCATTTTTTGATTCGTTTCACAAAAAAGAACATAACTTTGATTAGCCCATTTGGGTGGAGATTCAAAAGATGTTTGGATTGGTACATGGTGTGGTGGTGCTGGTGTGCATACCAATTGTTGCAGTCATTGTTGGTCTCGTCTCATGGCGATGGAATTGTTACAGGAAAAATAGACAAAGTGTTGGTGGCAGAACGGAAAATACTAGACCTGAGGGCTTGCAAGCTGGGATTGCAAAGCTTCATCATCATCAGCCAGCTGGTTTAGAAAGCAAGAGACCAACAGGAAACGATTACTATCGACGTGGGGTTTCAGGGAAGCCTCTGTTTAGTTGGGCTAATCATCCAACGTCCATCACTGATGCTGTAGAAAATGGATGGTCTCGATTCGCTTTCACAAGTTTCATGTCATCCCCTTCAACAAAATTAAGGCTTTTGGGTTTGTGCACGGTTGGTGATCAGAGAATAAGGGAGACAGAACCGGAGATAAGCTGGGAAGTGTGTCAAGGTTCAGCTGATTTCATGCAGAAGATTAGGCTAAATTCTGGGTTGAAAAAGGTGTTGAATTTAGGCAGTTCTAATTCTACGGCTGCTGCCTCTGTGATCAGGACAGCCCTGCCTCTGCCAGGCCCTGCCTTGGGGAACAACTCTTTCCCGCAAGAAACTTATTTTGAGATCACAATTTTGTATTCTCGTGGGGATGAATTGAGCGAGTCAAATGGCAAGGTGAAGGAAGGTGAGAAGACTAAACTCATTCAAGAGACTAAAGAAGAAAACCCAGGTTCAGATTCTTTGGTTCATGTCACTAGCAGTCAAAGAATCAGCAGAATTGAGGAATTGAAGCTTAGTGTTAAAGAGGATCATCATAATCATGGCAAAGGTGAGGCTATTTTGTTGTCAGTTGGGCTCACTGTCGGAGGCTCTCTTCCTCTCAAACTTCCAGGCAGCTACCCCGGAAGCATCGGATTCGGCTCCAATGGTTCAGTCCATCTTGATGGTAATTTAAATTTCCCTTATCTCTTGCATTGAATTTTACCCAAGATGATGATGATGAACAGATGACCACTGTGTTCTTTGCAATGTGCATTGTCTCTGGACAGCTGAGTATGATAGTTTTCTAGTTTTGGGTTTATTTTGGCCCAAAAAGAAACAAAAGAGAGAGTGGCAAACCACCAAAATGAAATAAATCTCTCACCCAAAGAATCTCTGACAGCACAGCGGGATGTCATGGATTATAATGGAAATTAATGTTAGTATGGACCCAGTGCATGGTGCCATCCTTGGTTGTATCTGAAGTAGGTTTGGAGTTGCTGATAAAACTTTTAACCAAAAAAATAAAAGGTAGAATATTAGTAGGTGTAGTTTACTCCTATTTTTATGAACATTACAATTACTTTTAACATGGGTTCTTTTCTTTCAGGGATTAAACTTGTCTTTGAATCAGAAAAAGCAACATGGGGAACAACAGACAAAGTTATTGGGTGTGGGTTTGATCCTAGACAAAAGAAAGTATACTTCACTGTAGAATCAGAGCTGGTCCATGTGATCCATTGCAAGTCAGAGGAATTTAGCACTCCCCTCTATCCAATTCTCGCAGCAAACACTGACATGACAGTCTTGGTCAATTTGGGACAAAGTGTCTTCAAGTATGCACCAGCCAATGCCCAAAGGACACCCAATCCTTGCTTTGTTGGCCCTCTTGTGAGATCCTCAGCTGCTGCTTTTTATGAAGACAGCATGGAGCTCTTCTCAATGGAAAGACTTGACTCTCAGTGGCTCAACAGATGTACAACCAAAGGCAGCCAAAACCCAAGTGCTGCAAACCATGAACTGGAGTTTGATGAGGAATCTGAGGCTGATTATTTGAGATTGTCCTGGAGAGTTGTGGTAGATCCCCACACATAGTATCATAGAAACAAAGATATATACATACAAATATCACTAACCAGTGCCAGAAGTATCAGCAAGGATAGATTTTTTCCTCTGATTTTGGCAATCGGCTATATGCAATGCTTGTGGGAGTGAGATGGATTTGCTGTCCTGTCTGTGATTTACATCTGTAGATTCTGCGTTAGCTTGCTCGTCATGAAAATATATAGATAGAAATAGGGTCATACACCGAAATTCTTATTATTTTTTTCTCTCCTTTTGATTTTGTTGGTCTGTATCTTTTTGCTTTCTGCAGGAGAACATTTTCTTTTCTTCCCCTTTGTATATATAATATATTCCAAAACTCAATCTTTTATTCAAGTTGTAACTGAGCTTTGATATGCCTTGGATTGTATTACAGAAGCCACATGATATTCATTGGCAATCACGTGTACATCAATCAATGGTTGGAATTTGCTTGATAATAAAAAAGTTTCACATTGACATTGCCATGCTTTCTGCAAAACCAGTCAGCTCGATTCCTAAACCCTGACAGGAATTTACATGTTGGGTTGCATACTCGTTGATTGTAAGATCAACTTGCCCACAAGACAGAAACAAAATTAAAGAAATCATGGCAGACTACGTGCAAATTTAGTGACATTGACAGGGGGTTGATATGGATGCCTGATGATTCTTAAGGACGTTCAAATGCTTGACAAAAGTGCGAGTGAGAGAATTTGATAAAATAAAAAATGTGCAAGTGAGAGAAAGGACATGAGATAGGCAGGAGGTGGGGCTTGGAGTGCATTGTAGACTTGCTGCAACGTAGCTGACAATTTGATGAATGAGGTTGACAGAAGTGGGGAAAGAAACAAAAGAAATGAATTTTATGAAACAGGACCAATAAAATTTCTCTAGAAAAGAAAAGTCCAAATCCCATTTCTGTTGATCAAGTCAGTTGACTAAGGCCAGATTGATTTAAGTCAGTTGACCAAGGGCAGATGAGATCCATTCAAGTTCGTTATTCTCTCCTCTACATTAGAGTAGTTACTATCGATTGTATAAAATAATAAGAGTAGTTACTATCGATTTTATAAAATAAAATTAAAAACTGGTCTGCTCCAATTGTAACAGTAATTTGGGCTTGTTGCCGAGTCTTCTTCAAGAAGTGAGGTCATAGCATACACTCATGGCACATATGACACTCAACTTGTGCTTTCTTAAGGTAAATCTACCTGAACAGCAAAGTGAAAATCCCTCTGTTTTCTTATTCAAATGGATGACATTCAAAGGAATTGGATTGCATTATGCATTCCAATCTTTGCTCACAGAAAGAGGCCACAAACCCATTCTCCCTGTTCTGATTCGAAAACTCCGCCGAATATGATTTTCCAAATAACAATGGCAACAATAAACAATCATCAGAAGGGCATTAGTCAATATCATCGCTACATCAAAAACTGAGTTTTGAAGTTTTAAGGTGCATAAGAGCTTCAACTGTCCACGAATTTTTTTTGTTCTTTCACATATTACAATGAGGAATAACCATGATACATACGATGGCAGCACGTCCACTGCCAAAACAGCAACGACCATAAATATTTATATAAAAAAAACTATCAAGTGAAATTTGCAAATTGCAAGTCAACTGAGAACCCACTTATAAGGTTGATCAAGTCTTGCAGAGAGCGGTGGGCATGAATTTCTTGAACTAATCAATGAGTTGATAATCATATATAGTAAAAGCACACATCAAAGAACAGGTGGATATTGCTTTGCCTGCTGCCGCACTCTTCGCTTGTACTCAGCCGGTTCCTGCACATTGGGGTCAAAATTGCTCAAACAGAGGTCAAGTTTCACAAGCTGTCACAACAGAGAATAAGCGGCAACTAGAATTCAATGTGAAGTATAAACCTGGATGAAGAGCTGATAACCATCAGTTTGTGCTGGATCAGCAGGGTTGGGTTGATCTAGCAAATCCTGAATGCCTACTAGGATTTGCTTCACTGTAATGGCTGGCCTCCACCCCTGAAAAATATGTTCACACTAAAATGAATTCACCAACTACCACAATCTCCATCGACTGGTTAGAGCCGTGCTGATTACTTACACTGTCCTCGTTGAGAATCGAAAGGCAAACAGTTCCAGAAGGATAGACATTGGGGTGGAAAAAACCCTGTGGGAACTTGCACTTGGGGGGCTTGCTGGGGTAATCCTCACTGAAGTGAAGTGTAAGTGGAAAGTAGCCACCTTCCCAATCAGTCTGCAATAGCAACAAGATCAATACAAAAATAAAAAAGATATTAAGAAAATTTCTGATATGAATGTTACACCAGCAACCAGTAACCACTATCATGAAAATAAACTTTCCCAATGTCAGTCTCTATGAAGCAAAAGATGTGAACTTATCTTCGGTAGAATGTGTTCAATAAGTTGCTATAATTAAATTAACACTCCTCCCACCTCCAGTACTCATTCAATTATTATTAGACCCTCTTATATAGTTTTCAGATACTCTACTAGAATAAGTAGAATAAAATCTCTGACGGCTTTGATCATACGTATCAGAAAACCCATAAAATTTGAAACCTGATCTAATGTAACACAACAAATTCTAAATTAAAATCTCAAAAGGCCCCAACTTTAGCTATATCTTTGATTGTCCTGCAAAATTCTCAGAGGAAATAGAAGAAGAGGACTCACAGAGCTCTTGCCAGGGATGATGCACTGCCAGATCATCAAATTGATGGCGCCATCTGGACCAGTCTCTGGCTTCGCCACAAAGCCCTAATTTTAAAGCATAAAAAAAGGGTAAGGCGTTGAAATTGAAATTTTAAAATAATTTGATAACAATAAAAATGGAAAATTAGGTGATGGTTGTAAGTACGGACATGGGGGTGATTCTTACGCCAGGCTTTTCGCTCCTCGGCGAGACGACCGCGCGCGATCCCTCCGGACATTCTCTCTCTTTCTCTCTCTGTGATGTGTTGTGTGTGTGGAGCGAGGAAGAAGCAAACAAGACCTGTTCTGTTCTGGCTAGGAAACAATCAATCAAATGTAGTTTCTCTCTCTTTCTTCTACGTTGTCAAATTTCAATGATAATCCACGAAGTTATAGATTGAGTAAAGTACAAGAATTCGAGAAACTTCCATGCGCCAGAGCAGTAAGACCCGTACCGTACTACCATAGAGTCATTCTTACGCGGATCCTGCTCCTTTTGTCGGTCCAAAAGCGCGGGTGTGTGGGAATTTTTTCTTTTAATTTTTATTTTCCTTTTAAAGTAAAACAAAAATACGCAGATGTGGGCTGGGCCAAGTAAGTGTGCCCGTCCTGTCATCCGAATTCGATATTTCTCTCTGTACATTATAATAATTTAGAATATTATTTTATCAAAAAACTAGGTTATAGGTGATAGTCACTCTGCTATACTAGTTTGACCGTCACACTCAAGTAATTTTTGGGCTTCGTACCTCAGTTCATAAGACATCCGAGGGGAGTGAGAGGTAGGATATCAATACATTCAATTCACATGTAACAGAGTCCCAGATATTAATTCCTTAAACACATTCGAATATCCAAAAGGTAGAATGATTACCATTTCCTTCTTCTTTTTTGGTCAACCGATTACCATTTCCTTCATTCCCACTAAAAGGGTAAAGAATTCATAAGACCACGCCAAGAACAACAAATGTACACGAGTGACATGAAAATTTCCACAGCATTGCGAACAAATAAAAAATACACCTGTGTTCTAGACTGACTTTATGCTAATTTCGTTCACATGTCAAAAAAGGGACAAAAAACAATGCAATTTTAATTTAATCATATCTCTATCGCATAAATTATCCACACTCGAAGGCCTTTGTTTGTTAGTCTGCATTACAAAACTGTTCAACCATCGAAGGGCATCTTCACAAAGACACTGGGTGTGCTCCTGCATCCAGATCCTGTTGAAGTGCATGTGTGAGCGAGAGAAATCAGGCGTCCACCAGTCAAATATGATCCTTCAGCACCGAATCTGCAACCCTTTTTAGCGATTCTGATGCCTTGAGCAGATCAGATTCCAAATGGGCAGCAGAAACAAACAATCTAATTCCTACGGGCAGACGGCATTTATCAAGGGTCGACCTTTTGGAGGTCACCACAAAAATGGAATATTCCTTCAACAACTGCAGAACCACAACCATTGTGAATAAGAAATAAGAGTAGCTGAAATTTATTCAGCTAAGTGTAATTAAGATACAACCATTTACTTACACGGTCAGAAATATCTTCAAGGAGTTGTAGGTCACTCTTCACGGAACCTGTTGACTTCTCTAGTCTAAGAAAAACAATGGGTGATTCAGGATTGCTCGCTAATGAGAGGCCAAGTATACCTGACAAACCTGCACATCACAGCACATTTCTCAATCAAGAGCATCACAGTGTAAGGCAGGTGGTAAATGATCTACCAAAGTAACAGGGATGCCAAGGCAATTGATCATCGATGAGTAAACCACAGTGATGAAAACTATCCAGATAGGGAATACAAAGCAACAAACTACGCATGTGAAGAGGAGATCAAGAACAGACCTTTCCATAATACAGCAATGTTTTTCTTCAGCTTTGTTATCAGATCAGGGTTTTCCTCAAGGACATCAATGGCAGTAATGGCACCACTTGCAAGATATGGGGGCAAAGAAGCAGAAAAGACGTACCCAGAACTGCTCAATCGCTGCCAAAGACCATACCCCGAAATTTTATTGTTTTGGAGATTTTGGAAGATAAATTTTTTTAATAAAGTGTGTGTGTCTGCATGTACATACAAGTGTGGCATCTACCAGCACAATGATGATCTACTAACTGGTTAGTAGTATAAATTCCAGTAACCAAAATTCAGTTTCATAAATTTCAATGACCATACTTGGTGATCAGTGACTCTAGCACTTCCAGTGCAGAATCCTCCTTCTGTGGCTAATGCATGTCCCATTGCAGCAGTAATAATATCAATTTTTTCTACCTGCAATAGCACACCACCAGAAATCACAAACACATAACAGATCAACAGTTAAGGGAGATTGAAAAAAAAAGAAGGATTTCTGAAAAATACCGGAACCCCACAGAATTCAGTGAGACCTCTTCCAGCTTTTCCAAGCACACCAAATGAGTTGCTCTCATCCAATACAACACGAAACCTATATTTCTCCTTCAATTTAACAATCTCGTCCAAGGGGGCTATTTGGCCAGAATTCTGCAAATTTTATATTAGAATAATAAATACATAAAAGTCAAAATAATTCCAATAGGAATCAGAATACTTATAATTGCATCAGCTACTTCAATTCTCAGGAAAACTCGAGACAAAATGCAAACATGCCAATGGAAACATTCATTGCTAAAAAGACACTTTGTTCAATTTCTAAAATGGCCCTTGCTTTTAAATTGCATTTTCGTCTTGCCGCTAATATAAAAACAATAATTAATTAAATGAAATTTGATACACTTAATAGACTGAGATACCTGGTACACAGCTTCAACCACGATGTAGCGCCGCAATTTCTTAGCCCGCTGATTCTTCAAAGTGATTTTCTCCAGAGTATTTCTTAAAGATTCCATGTCATTGTGCTTGAAGTACACAATTGTACTTCTAGAAAGATATAGACCATTTTGAATTCCCCAATGGACTCCTTCATCCCTAGAAAAGGAGAACCATAAACCGCTTTGCATGTAAATTCATATTTAAACAGAAATTTTCAAGAAAGCTTTTTAGCAGCATAAGCTCCATGAATGGTAGGAGCAGGAAAGTACAGCACCAGAAAGTTCACATACATATATAGTACTTCAAAAATATGAAAACAAAGCTTAAGTACATTGAACTCCATGTATCTAGACAAAGTCATACAATAAAAAACCAGTGGGCATCATATTTCAATAAAAGTTCTTAAACCAAGCAAAGAAACAGAGGAAAACAAGTAATCAATGCAGGCTAGAGTAAAATCATAAGGTTCATGAGTAACTCTTCAGTAATTTTAGCGGCCTTAATCTTGAACCATGATAACAATTAAAAGATTCAAGCATTTGCTTAAAGTATAACACATTTTCCATGTTATCCATATTTTTTACTTTCATGACAAACTCTTCAACTAAACAAAACAAGTTCTACAACACGAAAAAGAAAAAAGAAGAGAGACTGGAATACTTAAAATGAACAATATTATGCATACTCACACAACAATAATATCCCCTTTCTTGCAAAATGCGGGAATTGCACTGAACATGGTAGACAGTCCATACGAATAGACAATTGAGTCAGGAGTTCCCAAAAACTTTGCTATTCTTGCCTCACAATCAAGGTGAACATCTGATACAAAATAAAATGAAATAAAAATTATAAAATAGACTGCGAATTGTCTACCTTTGAAAAAAAGAAGACTAATATTAAATATATGAAAAGAAAAGAAAAAACATCAATACTGTATCTCATGGTAATTGAGGCATACCAATTGTTCCATAAAACCCACGAGGACCACAGGAACCAACACCATATTTCTCCAATGCAGAGGTACATGACTCCTGAGATTAGACACTGCTATAAATGCTCTATTTAAGCAATTATTCATGAAGAAAAAGTATATCAGTAATTTGAAAAGCTATCCCTTACAAGTAATTTCTCATGTCCTATCAATCCAAGATAATTTGCTGCAGCAAAGTTCACAACTTCTTTACCATTGATTATTGCATGTGGCCCTGCAGCACTGAAAAAATTCCACTCATTAGCAGAAATCTTTAGAACAATGAAGACATTGTTCAATTTTCACCAAAAACCTTAGAATATGACTTGTAGGAAATCCACTAAAATGCTTTGCTTACACAAGGAACACCAAAACTTCCTCGCATGGGAAAAAAATTATTAGACAGCAGGATAAAATATGTAGAAAAAGATCCAGGACCATTTTGTGTGGGAAAAACACACACTATTGTTAAAGGAACTCATCTCACTCTATCTTCAAGAAATTTGGAAAAAGGTACATACAAATCAAAGCATATATTTTGACCACAAAAATATGGAGATCATTTTATGACGAGATTAGGACTAATCTCACTCACCTTTCCAGCACTGGGGGTTCATACTGCATCTCTTCAGTGATAGGAGGAATAAGAGATTCAGGAACCCATTCCTCACATAGCTCATCTATTTCCTACAGATATCAGATAGGTCAAGTTCAATTAAGAAACCAGGATACCCCTCAGATAAAAATCAGAAGCATACCATACTAAACCTTTTCAAGGGGAAGTTAAAATGTGACAAGCACAAAACATGTAAAGTGGCATCACTACAAATTCCATTCAATGAGACAAAAGGTTAACACTTAATCTGTCCGCATGCATATTTTTTCATAAAAACCCCACTAGGGATATAATCTAGTCATAACAATGCCTCAGCACTTCTCCCATCCTTACTTTGTTAAGTAACTAAGAAACTGAAACCATACATTTGGAAAATTGAAAAATAAAATAAGGGGTGCAGGCAAAGAGATAACTATTCAAGGAGACAAAAGGGTTGCAATCTCTCATACAAACCTTCTCTGTTAAAGGCCGCTTAGGTGGCTTGTAACTTTTCTGGGAAAGTAGAAAAACAATGACTAAGAAAAGAAGAACTTCTACAAATAAATGTCCTGCAAGAAAAAGGCCAAATAAACAAAACTTTGTTCAGCACAAACATTATTTTTCGCTGGTAAGCAATAAGCAGTTATTAGGATCTGGAGAAGCTAGTACCGCCAATAGGAACTCCAAAAACAATAGCTCGAGAAGAGGGAGCATCCAAAGTCGCTGTCACCCAATCTAAAGTAGCATTCACTATGTTCAGAAAACTTGATGCCATTTTACTCGATATCTCAATTCAATTAGCAAAGAGGCTTCAAGCATCACTTGTGTAGAAACTCATGCACTTCCATAGGCAGCACAGAGACCTTTTCCCTGCAGTGAATACCGTTATTCACTAATTACTTATTCAGTAACAAAAACTTACAGAATCACAAGGTCATTGCACGATTGTATTGTACAATAGTTCAGCTCACTAAGATGAGGCAAGCCACAACAAGAGTTCTTCAAAGTAAGCCCATCAAGCTTTCCAATTATTATGACCTAAAACTAGCAGATTAGATTCGAAATTCTGCATGCAAATCTATTCTGCGCACACACACACACACACATATACATATACATATATATATATATATGTATATACATATATATATATATATATATATCGTAATATCGTCCAAAAGACTCGCAGGAAAGCATGGTGATTTATCAATGAGATCCAAAAGCTAAAAAAACCCTAAAGTCACTTGCCTCCAAAAAGAAATTAACCAAAAATTCGATTCTTCATCGTTATAAGTATAAGATAAATACAGAGAGACAGTGAGGAGACGACAGAAAGTACCTGACGATTGAGAGGGCGGAGATGGCAGGAGTTGAGGGCGACGCTGCAACGGAGCAAACGGAAGAGGATTGTGATTCTTCTTCCCCGCCCTTCGCTTCTCTCAGATTCAGATGAAAATGAGGGACGGGGTCAACCACGTTGATTATTCGTCTGGCAGACAAATTTTTATTTTTATTTTTTTCTAAATTATTATTATAGTGTTTGGCAGACAATTAAATTTTTATATATAAAAGGATAGTGTTTCATCGTATTACATGGTACGTCTATAAATATAAAGACGTCCCTCCACCATGGTCCTCGTAAACTTAAAAAAAAAGTGAGGTCCATATCATGTGAATAAAAGTGCTGTGACACTAAATTATTCCTAATAAAATCCAACATCATAATGTTGGTCTTTTCTTTCCATTCGTGTTGGTAAGCAGGGTGATATAGGGTGTTATTAGAGGTGAAGTTTGTGATTTGAAATGAGAATGGGGTTGAATGTAGGATTTTACAGGAAATTTGGGATGCGGGCAAGTCATTGAGGCTGAGCTCTACGACTTGTACAAAAATGGAAACATGAAATTGCACTTGTACGGGTGTATGGTTACTATTTTGAAGTGTCAACAAGAATTCCCTTTGTAAAAATGAAAGTGGACTATGTATTGTTGTTTATATAATTCACGACCCAGAATGTATCTTTCACAGTTTCACCTATTGTTCGATTCGGTAAAGTCCTTTTATGGGTTATAAAAACAGATTTTATGCCTTTCAAGAATCAAGCATATTTATTTGCCGATGGTTCGGCTAATTTGATCCGCTTCTTGGATATGGAATACATGAACATGCTATCCACTCTCCTCGTTTTGTAGTCCGAGCCTGTGTAAGGTGGATATGTTGGGCTGTTCCCGTTTAGTTGGTTTTGCTATTTGATCTTTGGTCCTCCACAACACCAAAAAAGTTGGCCCAAAATGACCCTAATGGAGAACAGATCGTCCACCAAGCCTGAACTGAAAATCTTTTGGGCAACTTTAGATCCATGCAGCCTCTGCCTTCTCTGTCCAGGCTTGGTGGAACCACCATTGCATGCTGAACCTCAATGGGGCAAAAGCCAGGACCTTGGCACCAATTAAAATGATTAAACTTGAAAAGTCATGTCTTGAAGAAGATTGGAGGAGGACCAAAATTGCTATTGCCTTACCAAGAATTCTATCGGGCCTTATATATAGCCCTTAGGTAAGGCTCTTAATTGTTGGATTAAATTGGTCAGCCGTTTGATTAAATTGATTAGTCTGATTCAATGGTTAAGAGATATAACCTCACCTAAGAGTCATATAAAAGGCTCTCACTATAAAATGACTCATTGGCTTACAAATTAGAAGAGCACATTCCAGTTGTGCAATTTCTCTGTCCCACCGAAAGAAAAAGAAAAAGAAAGCAACAAATTTGCTTCACCAATCATTTAACATTTTAATGTGAATGGATACCAGTCGGTAAGGTGTGGGTTTGCCCAAAAAAGGTGTGGGTTTGCCCATCCTAACTCATAAACATAATCCCAAAACCCACCTAAAGCCAGGCACAGTGCTCTAGTATTAAGACCATTTAGAAAGGAAAAAAAACCCATCATGGAAGTACTAATTAAGACCAAATTTTGATGGAAGCTAATGATGAAAATTTTCAGAGGTAGCACATGCTGTGTCTGCTCCACTCTCAATGCTTTTTACACTCAGAGCTAGAATATGGAGATGCAGAGAGAGAGAGCTTTAGAGGTATAATATTGCAAAGTTTATCCAAGACAAGATATGATGGATTGCAAGCAACTGTTAAAAAGAAAGCACAATTAGATTGCATATTCACTTTGAAATAGACAAGAGGGTCACTTTAATAATTGTGCAATTTGGAATCATATCTCTCTCTCCTATGAAACCATAATTCAACAAATGTACTTAAACAACGTCACTGCTCAGTGACTAAGAAGTGGCTGATTGGACTGTAAGATAGTCCAAAATCTGTTTAATTATAGTGCTAATCATTCTGCAAAACAAGATAGGATTGCTTGTGATGATGATCAATGAACAAAAGGGAAGAGAGAAAAAATTGGGGAGCTTGGGATCAAAAGGAGGTGTGGGAATAATGGTGTGATGTAAAGGTGGTGGAAGCATGTGATGCAAAGCTCCACACGGTAGAAAGCACAAGGAAAAGGGATGGGAATATAATAAAGAAACACACTGCAACATATGCAGCAGCAAGCGCCCTCTGTCTGAAGCATTGATGAAAAACTATTTAAAATAATAATAAATAAATAAAACCCAAAATCATGTGGTCTAATGAGAGCTTAGTATTGGGTTACAGTTATTTTTCATTTTTTATGAGCAGGGTATTTGGATGGCCCAAAGCTAAAATCTTTTCTTCAGCATTGCAGAAGAAAAGGAAAAGAAACATGCCTTACTTACTGGTCCAACTTTCGGATATCAAACTGAAATGAACCCAATAAAAAACTAAAGTTGGTGCCTTGTTTAATACAGAATCGTAAGAAACAAAATAGTGTACAGTGCAGCACACACAGTGCCATGGTGATTTGGTTGCAGGGAACACATCAGATACAGAGCTGTTTCCATATTGGCAGTTAATTTAAATGGAAAAGGTTTAAGCTTTTGTTGCCTCAAATTCCAGCTTTAGTAGTCAAAGTGTCATCATTCAATAAAGCAAATGTTGTTTAAAACTTCAAATTCCTTAAAGTTGATTTGGTTAAGCCTAACATTAATTTCTTGATGTCAATGAAGATCATCTTGCAGGTACATAAATATTGAGATTATGATAACTACACAGTTAATCAACAAACTTAAGCCTTCCACAACAAACAAACAAATGAAATACAATATAGATATAACGTGGGGCCTCATTCTAGTTGCTTGGTCTGCATCCAAGCTAACGGTCGAATTCAGAAAATTCAATAGATGGGAAGTTAGGTTTGGAACAGAGAGGAAGCTTGGTATTGGTGATCATTTTTTCAGCTTTCCCTTTCCTTTGCTTCCCTTCATTCTGAATAAAGGACTTCTGCAGAAACAATTGGTGTGTGAAGCAGCTTGCTTACCTTGCAGTCTACCACTTCAGAAAATAATAATAATAAAACCCCCCCCCCCCCCCCCCCCCCCCCCCCCCAAAAACCCAGGAATCATTTTCCCATTCCTTTGCTGCATCAAAGGGATTGCAATCCCCACAACAGAGTTCTTAATAATGGAAGTTCTGGCTGCCTTGACTTGCAGATGAATGCTCTCATATTCGAACTCTCATATCAATGTGGTAGTGTGTGTGGAAAAATAATAATGAAATCTCTGGATTTGGGCCAAGTTCAGTCTAAGTGTATATAACATGTATATATGATATCTTGGCAAGCTGGAAATTTACCAGAAATATTTGTCCACATTATGCAATGTACTCATTTGTGTCAAAACTTTGGTACTGCAACTTCCTACAAAACTGGAAACATGAAATTATATATCCCAACTTTGGCCCACCAGAAAAAAAATAAAATAAAAATTGTTTGGCTTTCTGAGTATGATAATCTAGCTGACCTCCTTGTCTACATTATTTTTGTTTTTAAAGATCTTTTTTTCTTTCTTCTTCTATATATGGATAGGATATTTGGATCCCAATTCCAGATGTGGTTTCACCCTTGTGAATTTTGATTAAAACAAAACATGTATCAGCATCTACCATCTGAAATTGAAATGCAAACCTTCAATTACTCTCACTTTTGATGTCATTGATGGCTCTTGCTCATCTACTCCTAACAGTTGTTTTTAAATCCTCTAAGTAAATAATTAATAAATAATGCAACCACCACAAGGGCTTTGCCTACCATTTACAATAGTTGTAATCAATAGCATACAAAGGGGAAAAAATTTAGGTGGAGAGAGACCCATTTCTTTCAAAGAAATTTAACAAGACTTTGGGTCATTTTTATTATCTAGTACTATAAGCAACAAGATGAGCTGGTTTTTTATTTCAAGAAGTCACACCAGAGCATGATCCTTAAAGCAGCAAACTAAAAAGATGAGGTTTTTTTTCTTTTTTTAACTGCTGCAAATTCTGCAAAATCGTGGGGCCATCATCATCGGAGTCTGAGTGTGTGTTGTGTCTGAGTCTTCTTCTGACCCCAGAGTAAGGGTGGGGCCCAGCGGCTTATGGACACTAAAAGGCCATGTGATGTGGGAGACCACCAGCTGGCACTGTCTAATTTGTGGGACTGGTATTTCCGTCCACTCGCTTTACTCCTCCGGGTCCTCCCTCCCTAATACCTCTCTACCATCACTTTTCAACACTAGATCGCCCCCCTCCCCTAATTTTCTCTGGACGCACTTGCCGTGTTTTGCCCTATATTTCGTGGTCCTAATGTGACGCGATGTTACGAGTTCACACAAAATCTGATATGTTATGTTAGATGAGGGTTTGTTTTTCTAACATTTAGAATGCATGTATTAATAACTACACATGTATTATGATTTGGATGAATTCTTAACGCTGCATTGACATTTCACCTAGTGCTTCCAAAAGCACTAACAATTTCTCCAAAACATTATTCTAACAAGAGTTGTTTACGCCAGAGTGACTTGTCCTTAGCATTTCTCTTTTTATTAAATATTTTGCAACAGTTGATCAAACTATAGGCGACTGATTGAAGCATAACTCTTCTTCCTTTTACGAAACCCCAATTAATAAAAGTTACAACACTCTATGTCACGTGGCAGCGTGGCTTGGTGGGCTGTGTCCGTCGCTTTTCCTTACCAAATTCCCGCGCCAAAACGGCACCGTCCGACGCCACAACAACACAAAAGAACAGAAAAGGGCAAGCTTTGTAATAACGCGGACACAAGCAGGGGTGAGGTGGACAAATCACAGCTGGACAACTTCCTTTACCGGGGGAGGCAGGGTGAGAGACCGTTGTGAAAGGAGGAAGGGGCATTTTGGGAAAGAGTGACATAAAAGTTTAGAGAAGGGAACTGTGTGTGTTGTGGTGCAGTGAAGCGCAAGGAAAATGATAGTGGTTGTTGTCCCAGCAGTTACCCGCTCATTCCCCCAACTACCCTTCCCTTTCCTTTCTATTTTTACTCTCTCTATCTCTCTCTCCCTCTCTCTCAAGACTCTTCACTTCACAGCACAAAAAACACAGAGTCTGACTCTGAATGAAAATCCCAATGAGAGCTGAGTTGAGCTGAGCCTCTTTCTCTCTCTTCCTTCATTCTTTCTTTTCTGGTTGCTGTTGTTGTTCCATCACTTTCCCTGTCTGCAATTCTCTCACTAAATTCACAGACAATGAGAACGGTTTGATCTCTCAAATCTGAAATACACACTCATCTCCTCAGAATTGAATCTTTCTTTTTTTCTCCCTCTCGCTCGCTGTCTTCCCCTGTAGCTGTAGCCATGGAAGCAGGGGAAGATTGCTGTGTGAAAGTAGCGGTCCACATCCGGCCGCTCATCGGAGATGAGAAGCTCCAAGGCTGTAAAGATTGCGTCACTGTCGTCCCCGGCAAGCCTCAGGTACCTCACTCTAAAAAAAAGTCTTACTTTTTTCTCCATGGCCATTCTGGTGCATTCTCTCTCTCTCCTTGTTTGCTTTAATCTAGAGCTAACCCAGCTCTAGTTTTAGCTGACTGAGTAAAAAGAATCAAACTTTTGGGAGATCTGGATCCAAATGTGCTTACTGAGTAAGCCTCAGGATTGCATGCTTCACTTGGCAATTTGATTTTGGATCAGGATTCACATTAGCACCTTAAATTCATGTAATTTGTTTAGTTCCATAATTGGGAATTATTGATTGGCTGATATGGGGAATTATTTGGTCTCGAATTTACGCCGTAGATTTTGACCGGTGACAGATTTTCTGTTCGGCATAGCACCGTCCGGTCCTAATGAAAGGAAAGAAATGGTTTTGGATTATAATTAATAAAAAAGGAAATTTTTTTAATCTTAATTAATTTATTTATTGTTGGTGACATTTCTCATTTGGTATCTGCAATATGTGGTGCCTATCACATTCATTGGTTTTCAATTTTGCGTTCTTACGTATTTCATCAAATTCTAAGGTTCTGAACTCACCTGAGAGCAATGCTGACTTGTGCTACGGACCAAATTTGGACCCATGGGGCGTATTTATGTTTAATCTACGTGCTGATTGTGACAATGGTGCAGGTACAAATTGGCACACATTCATTTACTTTCGACAATGTCTATGGGAGTACCAGTTCGCCGTCATCTGCAATGTTTGAAGAATGTGTTGCTCCGCTGGTCGATGGCTTGTTTCATGGATATAATGCTACTGTCCTAGCTTATGGTCAGGTACTTATATTTTCCATGGAGAGCTGAGGTTGCATGTCTTGCAGTTTACCATCTTTTGTTAAGCCTTCCTTTGCAATTTAGTGTCCTAAGGGTTAACATTTTTATTCTACTGCAGACAGGTTCTGGGAAAACATACACCATGGGCACTGGTTTCAGAGATGGTTGCCAAACTGGAATTATCCCTCAAGTTATGAATGTATTATTTAGCAAAATTGAAACTCTAAAGCATCAAACTGAATTCCAGTTGCATGTTTCTTTTATTGAGGTTTGTTATGGTGTTTTATTCTTAATTTTGTTGTAAAAGTTCCATTCTCCATGTTTTATGTACCGCATTGCATTAGTGAAATCTAACTAGGATATTTTGATGCAAAGATTCTCAAAGAAGAAGTACGAGATTTGCTGGATCCTAGTTTTTTGAGCAAACCAGAAGGTGCAAACGGGCATGTGGGCAAAGTAGCAATCCCTGGAAAGCCACCAATACAAATTCGAGAATCATCAAATGGTGTTATTACACTGGCAGGATCCACTGAACTCAGTGTTAGTACGCTAAAAGAAATGGCTGCTTGCCTGGAACAAGGATCTTTGAGCAGGGCAACAGGGAGTACAAATATGAACAATCAATCAAGGTAACTTATGGGCCTTCCTTTTCCTTTAAGTTATGTGTATTTTTCCTTAATTATGGAACGTATACAAACTGGTAATATTTATTTGCATAGGTGAAAAGACTTATTTCTTCCGGAATTTTTGTAAAATGTGGAAAGACAACGTATGTGCTATATGCCTTTTAATGCTTGAGAAATAATTGGTCCTTTCCAAAATCCTTTCTCAATTTCTTTTGACTTGTTTTGTTAAAATCTTCCTGAGATTCAATTGTCTATCAAGATGGGTTCTGCATTAAGTCCCCTGGGTTTAATGACTTGTTCCTTTTATGCTTATGTCTATAGCCGTTCACATGCCATCTTCACCATCACGTTAGAGCAAATGCATAAGGTCAACCCGACATGTTCTGGCAACAACGGGGTTAGCGAGAGTATGAACGAAGAATATCTATGTGCCAAGTTGCATTTGGTAGATCTTGCTGGGTCTGAGCGCGCAAAGAGGACAGGTTCTGATGGTTTGCGTTTTAAGGAAGGTAAATATCATTGTTTGTTACTTTTTGTGTCTAAAGCGCATTTCTGTAATACATTTTCATGTGGATTTTCTTTTTTTCTTAAACAGGAGTTCATATTAATAAGGGTCTTCTTGCACTTGGTAATGTTATCAGTGCACTTGGTGATGAGAAGAAGCGCAAAGAAGGTGTTCATGTTCCTTATCGAGATAGTAAACTTACTCGGCTTTTGCAGGTTTGATTCCATTAAAAAATTTATAACCTTGTGGTAGAACGTGTGACAAATGTTCTTGACAAAATCATGTGAAAATGTTTAGCAGGGTTTGTTGTTTAATTGTGGTTTGGTGTCTGTTGATTTTTGCAGGACTCACTTGGTGGTAACAGCCGAACTGTTATGATAGGTAACTTTATTAAATTTCTTTTTCCCGTGTTAAAAAATTTGGTGCTTGCTCTAGGCATATATGATTTTGTTTTGGTATGCCCCATGGAATGTATCTCTTTTTCAGAAGTCACCTGAATGTGATCTTACTAATATCCCTTCCCCCCCCTTTTTTTTTTTTTTTTTTTTTTTTTTTTTTTTTTGAAAAGAAAATTGTATGTACCTGCATCCATAGGCTTAAAACCTTATTCTTCTTTTCTTCTCAATATTTTATAGTTTGTGCAAGCAATGTTGTAAATCTGAGGATTATCAAATCTTTGTTTTTCTCATTTGGTCTTATATATCTAAGTTCTCACATCTGATTAATTCAATTTTCCTTTCTCATCTTGCCACTCATTCATCTCACGTGCTGTTGAAAACCGTTGTGTAATGTAGAAAGTTCAATTTTGTTTAATGACAGCAGAAGGGATGTTACAAGAACCCTATCTGCTGATTGCATGATCTGTCTGTCCACTTGATACTATCATGATTTTCCTTATGTCATACAGCCTGCATCAGTCCTGCTGATATCAATGCTGAGGAAACCCTAAACACTTTAAAGTATGCAAATCGTGCTCGCAATATCCAAAATAAGCCTATTGTAAGTTGTTCAGAATAAATTCTTATTCATAGTTTTCTTAGTTTTTACCACTGTAGGTACAGATTTCTGCCTTTGTTCCATTGTCATTTATGTAGCTTTTCTGATTTATTATAACAGGTAAACCGAGATCCCATGTCCAGTGAGATGCTGAAGATGCGCCAACAACTAGAGTATTTGCAAGCTGAACTTTGTTCACGTGGAGGAGGATCTTCTTCTGATGAAATACAGGTATATTAATATTACTCTTCCGTGAATCGTTGTGTCGGAATTCTTCCATCAAGGGTCAGACTTACCCCAGTTGCATCATTGTGTGGCCAGTATGGTGATATTTTATATATAAAAAAAGGATTAAATGATAAAACTGCAATTAATTCTTTAGTACTAGAAGAATAGATTCAATTATTATTTTCATTAATATATTTATTTCATTTTCTAAGTGATTTCACTAATTCTGTAGGTTCTCAAGGAAAGGATTACTTGGCTCGAAGCTGCTAATGAGGATCTTTGTCGGGAACTTCATGAATACCGTAGTAAATGCACTGGTGTAGAGCAGTGTGAAAGAGATGGTCACGTATGTGTCACACGCTCTAGTAGAGATTCACGCTGTTCTTTTATCTTATTTCTTTCCAGTACTAATATATATGACTTTGTCTTGTAACTTGTTTTCGTTTCTTATTTCACATTGTAATCTATTTTTTGGTTGTGAATTATCGTTAAAGTAGGACTCGGCATATATAATCAGCTAGACAGGTACATTTGTTAATCTAAAACCTCATTTTCAGGTTGGTAGTACGTGCTCTGTAAAAAGTGATGGCCTTAAAAGGGGTTTGCAAAGTATAGAATCAGCTGACTACCAAATGGGTGAAGCAATAACGGGTATCACTTATCTCTGTTTAGGACTTCCTTGACAACATTTTATTTTCTCAATAAAATCAGCTGCAGCTATGTGAGCACCTATAAGCTATATGCATCTTTAGTGTTGGGGAAATTCATATAGTGTAGGATGTCATATTGTAGCAGGTGATTCCCAGGAAATTGATGAGGAAGTAGCAAAAGAGTGGGAGCACAACATTCTGCAAAATACTATGGACAAAGAGTTGCATGAATTGAATAAACGTCTACAGCAGAAGGAGGTATGGTCTGAGTGTGTATATTGTTTGGGATCACATGAAAACCACAGTAGTGTCTTCTCAGGTATTATGTGTGACTTTACGTTTGATGTCTGTGCAGTCGGAAATGAAGTTTATTGAAGGTTCTGACACTGTGGCACTCAAGCAGCACTTTGGAAAGAAAATCATGGAACTTGAAGATGAGAAAAGAACCGTGCAGGTTAACTTAAAGCCTTTGAACTCGATGGTGTTTTTTTTGGGAGAACTGATATTCACTTGTTGTTCTTTACTTGTTTCATACTGCAGCAAGAGAGGGACCGGTTGCTGGGTGAAGTTGAAAATCTTGCTAATAGTGATGGACAAGCACAAAAATTGCAAGATGTCCATTCCCAGAAGTTAAAGGCACTTGAGGCACAGGTACCATACTTTTCTACTAGAAAGCTGTTTCACTTTGGATAAGCAGGGGGCTTGTAATCCAAATGTTTCATCTTTTACAATGTTTACATATCAGATTCTGGATCTTAAGAAGAAACAAGAGAGCCAGGTTCAGCTACTGAAGCAAAAACAAAAAAGTGATGAAGCAGCAAAGCGACTGCAAGATGAAATCCAGTCAATAAAGGCACAAAAGGTTTAGACTCATCACGCTGTTAAAATATCTTCATAGTTTTTGTCCTAATAAGGATAATATTTTCTCTGCATCTACTGCTTTTATTTAATATTTTTTTAAATTCCAGGTTCAATTGCAACATAGGATAAAACAAGAAGCAGAACAATTTCGGCAGTGGAAAGCCTCGCGAGAGAAGGAATTGCTGCAGGTATTTACTTTTTTCCTTTGTTTCCTTGTCCTGCTAACTTTTGAAGTTATATGGAAGTTCACAAGTCTGAAGCTCCTGCCATTGTTTCATGTCATTTTACATAAAATTAAATAAATATAGTGCAGTGGATTTTCAATTAAAAGGAAACATATCTTTTATGATTTATTATGATTTATTAATCTTTAGCAGGAGTGAGAGCCATTGGCCATTGTAATAGGAAACAGAGACCGATCACCTTTATATTTAGTAGTATATGCATATTTAAATTTTTATGAAGTGTTAGCACTTTATGTATTTATGTATCAATGCTATAACAGTAGAGGATGGAAATGAGCATCTCCACGTCTTAATTACTTTCTCATCTGAACTGAATTTGATTTCCTGTATTAATTCATGCTCCCTACTTTGGTTTTACTTTCACTATAATAGTTACGGAAAGAGGGCAGGAGGAATGAATATGAAAGGCATAAGCTGCAAGCATTAAATCAACGCCAGAAAATGGTGAGTATATCTCAGTTGCCTATTTATTTAGTTGTCCTTTCAAAGATCTCAATGCTAAGTTTGGCCAGCAATGTAATTTTCTGATTATAAACTTCTGAGATTCCAACCTGTGACGTGTTACTTTCCCTTATTAAGATCAAATCTAATTTGGGAAAATTATCTGAATTGCTATGTTCAAGAAGTTATGGGTGCTTCTCTTTAATGAGGGAGTTACAGTATAATATTGGAGAGTTTTCAAGCTACGTGGGCCCTAGAGTTGTGGCATCTTAGTATGCAGAGTTGATTTCCTCTACTTGATATATCTTAATAAACAGAGAATGTGGGACAAATTCACTAAAACCATGATTGCAACATAATATAACGGTAGTTGAAGTGAATACTGTCCTTTCTTTCAGGTTCTTCAAAGAAAGACTGAAGAGGCTGCAATGGCTACCAAGAGGCTGAAAGAATTGCTAGAAGCTCGTAAATCTTCTGCTCGTGACAGCTCAGGTATGCTTTGTTTTCTATTATAATATTATAATGATTGAAGGCTGCACTTCTGGACACCCGTTGCATTCATAAATGCATTGGTTCTCTCAGATGAGGTAATTGAAAGATTAAATTCACTTTCATATGTAATCACCAAATTTCTAAAATTACCTCAATTGAGAAGAAATGTCTTCTTTATAACATAGGGTCTTCACACTTCACAGCATGGGCCTTCTCCTTAAATATTTATACTTTCTAATTGTGTAAACTTTTACCAGCTGTTGCCAATGGAAATGGGACACATTTACAGGTAATGCTCTTTGCTTCCTCTTCTTTCCTTATGTTTTATGTTCTTCCCTTTGAATTTTGAATCTTTCTAACTCAAGTTCCACCACTAGAGCAATGAGAAATCCTTACAACGGTGGCTTGATCACGAGCTTGAAGTCATGGTGAATGTGCATGAAGTTCGTCATGAATATGAGAAACAAAGTCAAGTGTATGCATAAATATATGTTCATTTAAACTGAATTGTATATAATATTGGAGAGTTTATTAATTAAAAGCTGTAATATGCAGACGAGCTGCACTGGCAGAAGAATTGGCCATGCTGAAGCAATTAAACGAATTCGCTTCAAAGGGCCTTAGTCCTCCAAGAGGAAAGAATGGCTTTGCCAGGTATGTTTCGTATTAAACACTTATATCTGCATAATTCTGTCTTCTTCCCCGTTTTATAGTTTGGAATTTGATGAAAAGGTTAGCATGAAACAGATGGAATAGTAGAACGTAAATATTTCTCTCTCTCTCTCTCTCTCTCTCTGGTGGTTTATTTCTGTATTTTGTTTGTTCAGGGTGTCCTCCATGTCACCAAATGCAAGAATGGCCAGAATATCTTCACTTGAGAACATGCTTAGCATATCATCAAACTCACTTGTAGCGATGGCATCGCAACTTTCAGAGGCAGAAGAACGGGAGCGTGCCTTTACCAACCGTGGACGTTGGAACCAATTGCGCTCAATGGCAGATGCAAAGAACTTGCTTCAATATATGTTCAATTCTCTTGCAGATACAAGGTGTTTTTTTGACCTAGTGTTCTGAATGATTTTATTTTATTTTTTATTTTTGTTATGGTGTTCTATGATGGTTGTGAAAAGTGCAATATGAATATCTACACAATAGTCTGGCATTGTTCAACATTTATTTTTTATTTTTTATGATAAACTAGAAAAAGGTTTAGAAATGTCAAGTTAGGAGGTCTGCAACATATTATGGCGTCTCTCTTTTATGTAAAAAGGAAAAAGAAATATTAGCATGTAATTGGTAAAAATAACTTGGAAGCATATAGGACTGGATTTAGAAGGGTAGATGATAGACCACAGTAGGAGAGGTGTGTATCTGTTCCTCATAATCCATACTTTTACCTGCTCATTGCCTCTCTGATAGAGATCATAAATTTTTTAATCTCCAACAAATAATTTAATTTCCAAAAAATAATATTTACATGGTGAACATAAAATAAAAAGGATAGCATTCTCTACAAGGAATGTCAGTTGTATTGCAAAATTAGTTAGCTTATTAATTAACGAACATAAACCATAGATCCACTATCACTATATATTACTACCCAATTTGTCAAATAAATTGATCATGCTGTCATATTTAAGTATACTTTAGAAAATTCACAACTTAATAGATCTTACTACCACATTGCATATTTCTTGCAAATTATCATGTGAGTGATATCTAAATTCTGCAGTTGAAATTCTAAGTATCATTTCACATGCTGACAGGTGCCAATTATGGGAGAAAGAAATGGAAATGGATGAAATGAAAGAGCATCTCAAAGAACTCGTAGGTTTGTTGCGGCAGAGTGAGACACGAAGAAAGGAAGTTGAGAAGGAACTAAAATTGAGAGAGCAAGCTGTTGCAACTGCATTGGCAACATCAGCCTCGGTGAGAATATTAGTCATTATGTGATATTTCTTCTAATGCTTCTTGTCACAATCTTCTTAAGCTTGGCTCAAGTATGTGAAGGATTGTTTTTATGTCTTTATGTCTTTTAGGCTGACCACCATCAGGGGAACTCACACAATTCACTGAAACACTGTGCTGATGACACGAGTGGTCCCTTGTCCCCAATCTCTGTGCCAGCACAAAAACAGCTGAAATATACAGCAGGAATTGTTAACGGCTCTGTCAGAGAATCGATAGCTTTCATAGATCAGACACGAAAGGTCAATTTCATCCTCCTTTCAATTATAGAATTGGGCCCTGTTTTCTGTTTTCAGCTAAGAAAACTAAAGAAAACGGGATTTGCTGTTAGTGCAGATGGTACCCATCAGGCAGTTGCCAGCAAAAAAACTAGCAGTTATAGGACAGGCTGGGAAGCTATGGAGATGGAAGAGGAGTCATCACCAGTGGTTAGTACAATTCAAATGGAAATGGCAGAAGCCTTGGAGACTCTCAGAATGGATTAGGCACAGTGATGAAACAATCATGAGGGCCAAACCTCGTTTACAAGCTCGGTCAGATGTGATGTGATGTTCTGCAGTCACCAGCCTATTGTTGCCCAAATTTCATCTTTGACCTAAGTATCATCCCAACGCATGGCATGGGAAAACAGAGAATCAAGTGCAGGTACCATAAAATTACGATTAAGAATCTTATATGTATCCAAATAATATTTCCAGTTGCACAACTGAAAAAAATGTAGAAATATGTACTTTGTAGCATCTCTGAAGTGTACTTGGCACTTCGAGAATCTCGTAAGTGCCAAGTACATGACTGCAGATCAGTTCGTTCAACAGGATAGCTCAGCACAGTGATTGACCTACTTTGACTTTTAAAATAATGCAGTGCGCTATAAGTAGCTGTTGAGGATCTTTGCTACTGTCATGGATGAGTTTATTTTGGAAAGCATAGGTTTGTTATCGAAAATTTTGCAATGGTTACTGCACTCGGAGCATCTTGTAAAGCTGTGTTGATGCTGCCGATGATATACTGTCTAGCTAGAAGACGACACCGACGGTGCAAAACTGCAAGTGGTGGTATACTGGTGAAAGAAGAAATCGAGCCATCTGATGTTATAGTACATTTCTGTTAATAACAACACAACATGAGAGGATATCCTTAAAGTTACAGAAATATGTATAAAGGGGTCTCTGCGTTTTTTTTCTTTTCCAGGACAAATTTGTAACTTTTTGGGCTAAGCCATTAGAATGTTTATTGTGTGTACGCACAACATTTGACACCATGTAGCATTTTCTGTTGCATCACAGTTTTCGACGAAAGGGAAATTCTTTTGTAGATTCTTTTTTTCTTTTTTTCTTTGTGCAAGCATTATAGTCATTCTATTGGAAAGATTACTTCTTGTATGCCTGTTTGTAATAAAACAAAGGTATTGAATCGAACTTGAGGCTCCTCTGCCAATTTCTTAATTTTCTTTTCCTTTTCATTTATATTCTCGACACATGCATGCAATCATACTTTGGCGGCCTTGATTAGAACACCATTTATATACAAAAAGAAAACAGAAGTTTGCAGCATCATCTGTCCAATTTGTTCATTAACTATTTCCTTGTGAAAATGTGTGATTACTACAAGTATTACATGATTCCAAACTAATCATACAAGGGAACAAATTTTATCAATATACTCCAATCCAACTGAAACAAGATCTTCATATCCTAAACCAAAATATTCATATGTTCTGCTTCCTAAGAGTCAATATCTAATAATGCGGCCATTAGAGAAGCTGGAATCAAGAGCAACTAGAATCTGCATCTAGAGGAGCATCGCAGATGCATATCAACAGAGGCACATATCATATGCATCTAGAGGAGCATCGCAGAAGAGGGCTTATATTCACTCCATGCATGTGCACATTAAGTTTGGCCACACCAGTATGCATAGTGCTCGTCTTTGCGATGATTACTAACAAGACCTCCACACTGTAAACAAATGAAGCTACTCCCATCTGAAAATGCATCCAATACAATCTGCATCCTGCCACTTTCCGCTAGTATAGAAGTTCCTTGAGCATCAGGTCCAAGTCCAACTGATGGGCCACCCTCGTCACCTGCTGCTGGTTCAGTTTTGGAAGGATGGACTTCAGCAATTGCACACTCAGCAAACAAAGAAGCTAGTTGATCAACAGCAGAGCTTTCTTGCAATCTACTTCTGTACAGCTCACGAGCACGATGCAAGGACTCAAATACAGCCTCATCCCCACCTCTTGTTCTCATTGCCATTACAACCTGCTCCAAATACTAAATTAGTATGTGATAAAGGTTCTCCATGGACAGGTTCCTCTTGATTCTTAAGGCTTCCAACAATGTACATATGTCATCTCCTCATAGCAGCTCAATGCTTTATTATGAATGCAGAAGTATCTCCATATAGGCACACAACAAAAGTACCCAAGGATCACATCTGGACAGGGCTTTACCAGACCAAAGCCCCACGCAAGATTAGATGAATAAGCAAATGATAACCCTAAACTCTCAGGCGAACCTTCGGAGAGCACCAAGCACCTTAGAGGGGTTTTGGACCAAAGATTGAGCTTCTTAGAAAAAAAATTCATTGATTTACACTAAAAGCTCCAATCCAAATCTTTTCTTCCAAATGCATGACTACAAATGCAACATTAAATTTAGGGTTGGTCTCACATTTGGGAATTGGGATGACAACCTCCAAACTCCATAACTATCCTAGTTTCCAACAATACCATTTTGCCAGTTGTTCAGCACTATAGGGATGGATGGTTAGGCACTGGAAATAAGAAGTAAGATAATTCTCTTTTCCTATCCAACCATTTAAGGCAACCACTCGTGTTGAGCTTTGAAAATCCAATAGGAAGAACCAATGTTGTCAACAACTAGTCACTTTTAGCAAAACAGTACAAACCCTAAGAAGGCCAACCAAAAGAAAGAGATTCTTTCTCAATAAAGAGTAGCACTTCAGTGATTTGAGATGCTAAAAACTCACAAAATTAAAAATTAAATCAATGCCATTTAATTTCTATGGACAATACAAATCAAACCGAAGAAAAATTGATGGTGATGAAGGAGAATATAAAATAAATAAATAAACTTGATTTAGTTAAAGATTACCGCTTGGAGGGCCTGCGATGGCTTGCCTTGATTGAGGAGCTGGCGAGCCAATGCGAGAAAGTCCCTTAAGACGTCGCCTTGGCAGGCGTCGGACGGCATCGTCTCCATCTCCATCATCTCCGTGTCCGTACGGTCCATGTTCATGTTGGCATTCTCTGTTCTCTGAATGATACTTAGACAAAAAACAAAAAGAGAATGATATTTGTACGCCGATTGCTGATTTTCTTTTTGATATATTTTTGGTAAAAAATGAAGAACCTCTGAAAACTGGACGATTCTAGCAAATTCTTCAAGTTACGGTAGGCTTCATCGCCATGTCTCAGTGATTGATGTTTTGATGTTATGGGCTTCAGTTCAGCTCATTCTTTTCTAGGCCTCTTTACATTTTGGGCTTCTTTCCTTGGATGATAACAGCTTCCAGTCCACTACACATTTTTCAACAATCATATGTAGATTCAGTTTTCTTTCTTTAAAAACCCCTCAACTTTCAAACAAAAAACATACAAATGTAAGGGATTTCTTAGGAAATTCAAAAATAAATAAGGGCATTTTTGTCCATTTTGACTTCTTTTCAAAATATTTTTCTCTCCTTTGGCCTTTTCCAAAATGCCCTTTTTCTTTTTTCATTATATATAATACTAGCGATATCAAGGAAAGAATAGAATTAAACACGGTACAGGATGGGAATCAAACACATGATTTCGGACGCATGAAGGACATTCTAAACCACTCATATTACAAGCCCATTACAAAACACAGTCATGTACTGCATTCATGTACACCTACCTTCATCAATTGAATTTATAACTTGATAGGCTCCTTATCATTTAGTTTATAAATTAGAAGCAATCATATGCATATGCCCATTCCTTGTGGCTTCAGTTTATATGCATTTTATTTCCTTAGTTTATGAAATCTAACTTCCTAGACACACCTAAAACTGAGGAGCAAGCTGAGTTCCAAAAGCAGTTGTCATGTTTTTTTTAAAAAAAAAGAAAAGAGAAAGTCCTCAAATTACGATGAAACGCTACAAATACACGCCACTCAAATTGGGTAAGCACAAAAGTGTGCAATATCTTATCAGTTAGGGCATTTTTCTTGCAGACAAAAGCTGAATGAGAAGAGTGGTCCTTACCAGACTGACCATATATATACATATACAATGCAGCAAAAACAAATGGGCAAGGAGAAACACGTGCCTCCATCCACCATGCATATGAAAGGCAAAGATCACAAACAATGCTGCAGAAAAAAGTAAGAATTAATAATATAGCTAGCATGTGTGCTCCATCTATTTTCTTTTCTATAAACTAATTAATTAATACTCCTAGTTTGGTACAGCGGTAACCCTAACTAGCTAGGGCACACCAGTCACAATCTGGGGGTCCATTAATTCATTGTCATCTTCCATGGATGCACTCTCTTTAATCTCCTGTAACATCTTCAACACCTGCCACATTGTTGGCCTCTGCTCAGGCGATGTTGAGCCACAAGCTATGGCCACCTCTACCAACATCCCCATCCTGCTATTGCCTTCCCCATCTTGATCATGCTGATCATCTTCCCTCATAGACATGACCCATTCCACCATATCAGCGGGCGCCAGAACCAGGTGATGTGATGGAGGCTTCCCTGTGATAAGCTCCACCAACAAAATCCCAAATGCATAGACATCAGACTTTGAAGTTGGTTGGTGCTTTTGTTGATAATCATCGTGATTGTTCAATGAGTTTATGCGAATCTCGGGGGCTTTGTAAGCAGCGGAATCTGGCTCCTCCTCGGATGTTGGGGTGGTGGTGGCAAGAACAGAGAGGCAGTAGTCGGTGAGACATGCCTCGAAGTCGGGGCCAAGGAGGACATTGGAGGACTTGAGATTGCCGTGGACAAGCCTCCATGCTTGGTGAATGTAGGAGAGGCCTTGTGCTACGTCCTCTGCTATTTTCAAGCATGATGTCCAGTGCAGCGGCTTTGCCCTTGTGGATTTTGTTCCTGCAGTTCAATTTTGGACGTGCCCGTGTAGCACATTCATTATAAGGAACTTAATTTTAGGATGCTAATTAGCAATAACGTGGAAATGGACGTAATGTATGCCAATCCCTCCCTCTGAAAAACACCACTGACATTTTTAATGTAGAAATTACCATACTCAAACAAAGAAAACATAGTCAATTTTTTCAGTGTGGCAGTAACACCACCTAATCTACTCATATTATAATACGTGTATATTTATTAAGCATATACGCTACATGAGACAAACAGACGTGGCCATGTTACATACGCATACAAAATTTATCGAATCGAAGAGTGTTGATGACATAGATTGAGGGGTTGGTGGATTGAAAATCTAAACAAAAGGCCAGTCAGATCAAATTAAGCAGTCAGTTTTTCCTTATCATATATATATGGAATCACGGGAACCAGCCAAGAGGGGAAAGAAAAAGAATGATAAAATCCAAAATCTGTCAATTTTTTGATGAAGAAAAGGTTAAGCAAGTAATGTGAAATGGGCAAGGAAGCCAACGATATGGTCAATATATTACTATTCATGTCAATTCCCAACGACGTCGTCGTCTTAATCAAAAGCAAAGATTCTCGGCGTTGATTGAGAAAAAGGTACCTCAAGAAACAACCAAATCTAATGTCATCACCACAATGTCCTAATAATCCAATTCTCTTAATGATAACCCAAAAAGCTTACGTGTCCATTTCCTATTGGGTTTTCCAAATTCTTTTCACAAAATAGTCAAAGCATCAAACATTGGTCAAACTCAAACTGAGTTAACACAACCGAGTAAGCAAAATGAAGATTGAAGCAGAGCAAAACAGAGCATTTACCGTGAATGAGAGAGAAGAGGCTGCCATTGGGCTGATAATCGTAGACGAGGAGCCGCTCATCCTTGGCCTGAAAATAAGCTCTGAGAGGAACCAAGTTGGGATGTCTAAGCCCGCCCACCGCCTCCATGTGCCTCTCGAACACCTCTCTGCTAGTCCCGCCCAACTTCCCGGCGTCCAGCCTCTTCACGCTCACAATCAGACGGTTGTCCAGCACCGCCTTGTACGTCGTCCCGATGGTGCCTTTCCCCAACAGCTCCGCCGAGGCCCTCATCAGTTGGTCCAGCGAGTATAGCTGCGACTCGCCGGCGCAGAACATTAAGCTCCCGCTCTTCACCACTTGAATCCCCTGTACCCTCTTCACCTTCTGCTCTAACTCCTCCTCTAGTTGCACCACTACCGCCGCATGCGCATCGGAGCCTGCCGGACTCGCAATGTCGGTTTTCCGGTGGGTTTGAGGTTTCCTCTGTTTCTTCAAAGCCATTACGAAGAAGAGAAGAGAACAGATCAAGACGAAGACGCCTGAAGAGAACCCAATAATGACGGCGATTCTTCTGTGCCTTTTTCGACTCGGCTGAGTCAACTCAACGCCCTGGACTTCCTGTGCAGTGCTCTGCCCGAGTGCTCTTGTGGGAGGTGGAGCTTCATGAGCTTGGGTTGGACCGAAAAAAGGCGCAGCTGGGTGGCATTCTTTGTTTACAAGCTCGCCGCAGAGACCTGGGTTCCATGAAAACGCCGTCGGCCCGAAGCGTAGAAGGGTCGGAGTGACGGGGATTACCCCGGTGAGGTTGTTTCCGGAGACATTGAAGGTTCGGAGAGAGGACTGGTTCAGAGCCGGGACCGGTCCGGTGAACCGGTTCCAGTCGAGCCGGAGATAGTATAGCCGGTCTAGACCGGTGATGAGAAAGGCGGGTAATGGACCGGTGAGGTTGTTGAAGGATAAGTCGAGGGTTCGGAGGCGGTGGAGGGACGAGAGCGAAGGCGGAAGAGAACCCACGAAGGAGTTGCGGTCGAGGAAGAGGGTTTTGAGGTTGGTGAGGCCGGAGAGGTCGGGAATGGGTCCAGTGAGCGAGTTGTTCTGCAGACTCAGGACTCTGAGTTGGTCTAAGCGAGTCAGGGTGTTGGGTGCTAAAATGCCACCGAGATTCTGAGACTGGATTATGAGGCGGACTATTTTGGACTTGGCGCATTGGACACCCGTCGAGCGGCAGAGCTGGAGGGTGGTGGTGTTTGACGAGAAGGGAAGAGCGTTGTGTAAATCTGCTTTGGATTTGAATGCAAGGAGAGCAACAACATCATCGTCTGAGACAGAGGGTGATTGAGTGAGTGCAGGCCTGGAAGAAGAAACTGTGGAGGCGCAGAGTGAGAGCAGAACAATGGTTGACAAAAGAAGGGGTTGCCATTTCTTGAGCATTGTTGAACTGAAGAAACAGAGGGTGCTCTGTTTTGTGTTTTACAGAGAACATAAAAATATGAGAAGAAAGAAGAGCAAGGAACTGCAGAAGGTGACAAAAGGATGTAAGAGGAGCGCAGGGGTAGCAGGTGTCGGACTGGAAAGCTCAGAATCACGTGAAAGTAAGTTCCCAAGGAAGGACAGGAGTAGACGGGCCAAGGAGGGGGTAAATTGAGGGTGCAACGTGGAATTGAAATAATTATAATATTCACATGGGGCCTCACACAACAACATTATAACATATATATAATTTTGTCATTTTGATTTTCTGACAAGAAAACTGTTGTATATGATTAAGTTTATTTCAGGAAATTAATAATGAATTTTCACGTAACTCTTAGAGCATCTCCAAGGGAGATGTCAAATATCAAACATCAAATTTAAAAATTTGATGGATTATGTGGCAATTTGACATTTACATAGTTTTATACCTTACCCGATATGTCAAATAAATAATTATTGTAACAGTCAAATCATTTAAGATAAAGAAGAAAAAAATAATAATAAATGAAAGTTACAACCAGCTGTCTTTAAAAAATAATAAAATATTCATTTGGCATCTTGCTTTTGGGATGTCAAAAATAACATCTGAACCTCAAGCCTTTATTCCACATCAACTTTGACAATTCGGTTGGAGTGATGTGAGATATTATTTCTAACCGTTAAATGTCTATGTGGCTCTTTTGACATATCAGTTGGAGATGCGCTTATGCGTTTCAAAGAGCAATAATATGTCAAAATGTGTGTTGGTCAAACAAGAAAAACCCTACGCCGAAGTGGAGATCTAATCATCTGAACATTTACAGTTACAGAAAATTTTCGATCTAATAAATTCATGAAACCCCAATATGTACGTTTTTGTATTTTTCATTTTTGCTTTTGATTTCATTTCCGACAAATTTTGCTATGACTGTTGGTTGGAAGAACGTGAAGGGACCGGAGCTTAAGAAGGGAGGAAAAGAAAAGAAACAAAGACACAATAAGGGCATGTTTACGTATCAGTAATGGGAATGAGAGGAAAGGGAATGATTTACATTCCTGACTTCTCCTGCGTTTACTTGCAATCAGGAATGAAAAAATAAGTGGACCCCACCTCAAAATCCGTAATCACATTCCCTCAAAACTAGGAATCAGATCAACTAGGGGGGAGTAGTCGATACGATTCCCATTCCTGTTTTCTCTTAATAACTTCCAAAAATACCCTTATCACTTTACCATAATTCTAAAATTAATTTGGATTTTGATTCATGCAAATTAGTAAACAATAACAATGGGAATCAATCCCATTCCATTGCTAATTCCAGATGTTTAGTAAACAGCTTAATGGGAATGATTCTTCCCATACCGATTCAGTAGTTCTCCGATTCCTAATTCTCTGATTCCTTAGTTTCTCCATTACTAATACGTAAACATGCCCTAAAAGTTAAGAATTCGGAATCCAACTAAACACCAGATGCATATGTAATTTATAATAAAAAATAGGGTAATGATTTTCCCACTCTAATTTTATTCACTTACACTCATTTTTTTAGTTATAAAATAAAGTGTAAATAGATAAAATTGAAGTTGAGAAATCACCACTCAATATATATATATATATATATATATATATATATAGGGGGCGGATCCGTGGCACCATATTTTTGACACAAGTTTTGACCCAATTTTTGGGCCATTAGATTACTCTACTTTTAATGGTTGAGATTAAATCTAACATGGCAAATAGTTTTAATGTTTTAAATTAACAATCATAAATTTTATTCTCTCTCATAAAATAAAATAAAATAAATTTCTCTCTCCTCCCTTTTTTATTGGAAACTAATTTTACTTCCAATTTTAAATATTAAAAAAATGTTCTGAACCCATTTTCTCCAATCTTTCGCATCCCTCTCTTCAATGACTCCTCCACCATCATCATCACCCACACGCCCTGCATTTACTCCTCTTTTTCTCTTTAATCAACCAGCCCACACAATCAATTTGTTTTTCAATTTAAAATTTTACAGAGTATTTTCACCCATGTTCTTCCTCCTCTCTCTCTCCCCCATTCCTCTTGCAGTCCCAAAAAAAAAAAAAAAAAAAAAATTACAGTTCTTCTTTTATTTATGGTGTTTCATCACTTCCTCTTCAGTCACTTCTTTAACACCCACATATCATATATTGATTTCTTCTTTTTTTTTCTTTTGCTTAATATATTTAACTGAAAAGGTGAAAAATGATAATACTTTATGATAATGGAATGACATGAGAGATTCCTTAGATCTGGAGAAGAAATCAATACATGGTGCGATTTTTCTCCCCAAAACCGCACCTTCACTGTTCTCTGACAGGACCCAAGCTCTCTCTCAGCTTCACCTTTCCAAATTTTCCAAAACTGCCCAAGAGATAATAAAATTTGAAGAAAAAAAGAGGAAGAGATTCCCCAAAAGTATATTGTTCCCCCACAAAACCGAAGCCAACCCAATATTTCTCAACTCCACCATTTACAAATTTTCCAGATTTCTCCAATAATTATACCTCACTAAAATTAAAACTGAGAGATCAATACCAAGAGTGGGTTATGAAGGATTATTGATTGAAGAGTAAAATAGGAATGCAGGAGTGTGTGGATGATGATGATGGAGTGACTAAAGTGAAGAAAGAGAGAGATGAATGGAAGAAATTTGGGAGGAAAATGACAGTCAGTTCTTCCACCTCTTAGACATTATAAAAAAAAGTGAAAGGAAGAAATTTGGGAGGAAAATGAAAATGATATGAAACCACAATGCAAATATTAATTAAGAAGCTGGTTTGGGGACGAGAGAGATAGAGAGAGAGAGGGAGAGAGAGAGAGGCGTCAATTCTCTATAGAAGAAAGAGAGAGAATTAATTAATTAAAGATAATTAATGAGAAGAGAGAGAATGAATTCTTAATTAATATGGTATCAGAATTTTAATCCCAATGTATAAATATTAATTAACGAGAAAAATATTATTTTTCCATGTCATGTTTAATCTCAACCATTAAAAGTGGAGTAATCTAATGGCCCAAAAATTGTGTCAAAACTTGTGTCAAAAATATGGTGCCATGGATCCGCCCCCATATATATATATATATCTATTATGAACATTTCTTGTCTGGAGGGGAAAACAAAAAGAAAAAATCCCAAGGGAAAAAGGCTCTCGTTGATGCACGGTTATGGGCTGTCTGATTTGATTTGCCGCAACCTATGAGTCTAGTGCTTTTTCAAAGATGAATTCTCACCTTGTCGCTTGACAATGCCATGTGATTTTAAAGTCCGTGAATTGGATGGTGCTTTTTTCACTCACATTCCACGTTCTAGTATTTTAGGTTAACAAGATGCAGAAGAAAATGGTAAAGTTTACAAATTCGAAAGAGGAATGTCTTGAAATGACTCGCTTTATTCGAATTAAAATGCATATGTTCAATTTGTTTTTTCAATACAAGTGATTATCTAAACTATAAGAGGGAGGAAAGTTTCTCAAACACATATTGTGAACGTGTCGTGGGAGTTCAAATTTAAGATCGACGGTCTGCAAGTAAAGACCATTTTCTTTTGAACAAGCCCCCTATTGAATGGCATGTTCAACCTTTTATCCAACTCTATAAATACATGTGCTGGATTCTATAAATACATATGTTCGACTCTCTTTTTTGCCCCAAGATAATGGAACATGAAAAAAATATTAGAATTGTAGAGTTTTCAAATCAAAGATAGAAGTTTTGAATACATATAATTGATGAAAAATGAAAAGGAAAACGCAAAAATCAATGCTTATAATAATGGGGGCCGTGCGATAATCCAATCCATAACACTCTAAACAGGCCCAGACATATTCATAGATTTTGGATAGCAGTTCAAAAACTTAGAACTACAAATTTGGGCCTACTTAACATGTGCAAGAAATAAATCCGGTTGGATCTCCCCTCTGAAACATAGCCAAGAATTTTATTTTAGATATTTAGAATTTCTGCCTCCCTTATCGCCCACGACAGTTTTGAGTGCTCCTTACCTTTCTGAGTTTCTTTCTAGTGACACCTGATAAAAAAGGAGATTCTCAGTTCCATACTGGTTTCAAAGCACTTCCAAATTTGCATCATCCTGAGACTCATCTTAGAAGCATTGGGATTTTTTTAAAAGTAAAATTCAACGATAGCAATGAGCCAAGTTATGGCGAAGTTGGATAGCTGACCCAATGTGAGATATGTCCGAAGGCCAATCAGAGCGTGTGAATGATCATCCACTTGCTATACGCAGTGCAGCTCTCCATTAACAAATGATTAGTATAAAAGTGACCAATGGCAAGGCTGTCTTGATGTATTATTGTACATGCTTCATCAGTTTTAAAATTTCATGAGATATATGAGTTCATTGAATCGTCTGTCTTACCTCACTCAACTAGAGGACATCTCTTACCTACCAGCACTTAGCTCAAAAAAGAAAAAAGAAAAAAAAGAGGGGTTCCCTGAGAAAGTGACATAGCTCAGGCCTTGCAGGTTCTTCTGGAATTGCAACAGAGCAAGGCACCCTGTTTTGTCTCTGTTTGGACAGATTTGGGACCATGGTTTTTCAAAAAAGCACTATAGATGGTTACTTTTCACCTAGCTAGTATTCTGTTGTTTGTTTTTCCATACACGCACATGTGACTATATGACTATAATCTCTGATTTCTTATTTTCAGTTGTTAATTCACAGCAGACCAAGTTTGAATTAGATGTTAATGCAAATTCATTATCCATGTAATGACTGAAGAGTTTAGGATTGCATATCTAGGAAAACATCTCATTCTCATATTACAAGTAAAAGAATTACTGACCATGCATACAAAGTCTTATGAAAATTCCATATTACAAGTTAAAAAAATTCAAACCCTTGTCTTGGAGATGAGCAAAGGAGGTCAAGGCGAGGGAGCCACTTGAGGAAGTAATGTAGCAGAAGAACCAAAATGAGGAAACTTACAGGGAATGTAAGTGTAAGATCCAATGTAGGGACACAACCTTGGGTGTGCAAAGAAATCTGCACATTCTTCAATTGATTTTTGGAATGGAAGATCAGGAATGCAGTTGTTCCTAACATCAAGCACTCCTCTACCAATCAACATTCTACAAAGAGGACCAACGTTTGTGAAATAATTATCAGACAATGATAAGTTTACCAAATTCTGCAGCCCACAGACCACCTCTGGCACCATGCCATACAACAAATTACCAGCAAAGTTGAGCTGCTCCACACTCTCCAGGCAAGCCAGAGAGAATGGCAAAGGGCCAGTCAATTGGTTATTGCCTGCATCAAACACTATGGCCTCCTTTAGTAACCCAATCTCATAAGGCAGACAACCTGTTAACTGGTTATTTAGGAGCAGAACTTCAGTCAGAGCAGAAAAGGCTTTGGAAATGCCTGGTGGAATTGGGCCCATGAACTTGTTGTTTGCTAAGGTGAGGAGAAGAATATGAGAGCTACCCAAATTATCAGGAAGCTTCTGCATGAAATTGTTGTTGTTAATGAACAGGGCATCAAGGTCCTGAGTGAATATCTGAGGTGGAACTGACCCAGTGAAAAAATTGAACCTTATGTCCAAGAAAGTGAGGTTGCTCATCCCAAGAACAACACTGGGAAAAGGACCAGAGAATTGGTTGTTACTTAGGTCAAGCTCATAGAGATAGGGGAGCTTGGCAATGTTGGCAGAGATGGTGCCTGAAAAATTGTTGGAATTTGCATGGAAGAGGGCAATATCAGGGAGTTGGTCAAGAAACCCATCAAGTGAAGAAGCACCAAGTTGAAAACCATTGAAGTCAATGGAGGCCAGGGCAATTGCAGAGCTGTTGTTTGGGGGGTTGTCACAATAGAAGCCTCTGTAGCTGCAAATATTGGAGCCTACCCAAGTTTTGGTGATGCCTAGAGGATCTGAGGTGATGGTGGACTTGAATTTTTGGATAATTGGGTACACTAGCTCAAGCTTTTGATCTGCAAACACAAGTTCTTTTGTGTTTGGTAAATCTGGAGGTGCTTGTGGTGGGCTTATTTGCTTTCTATGGCTTCTATCTTTGCTGCCTCCCCTATGGTGGCCACTTAAAACAAGCTTGAGGGTTTCTTTGTGGGTATGGTCTGTCACAGAGTAGGTAATACTGAGACAGGTTAGTAGAAAAAAGAAGGTTGAGATTGAAACTAAAGCTCTGGTGGGAGCAGAGCTTCTCATTATTTCTTGTGTTGAACTGTATTTGCTTGTTTTCAGAGGTTTTTCTAGAGCAAAGCAAAAGGTGGCAAAGGATAGCAAATAGAAGGAGGCACTCATTGCAAGGGTTTTATGCTCAATCATGAACACTTTTTTTTTCATAACTAATAATTTAACCTAATTTTTATTATATTATGAAAACTGGGTAAGATGCAAAAGTTAATTATTAGGTGCTCTATGAAGCACTAATTCAACACTCGAGACTTGTTTTACTCTCAAAGTCAAAAACTGTTTAATATTCATGAGATAACTCTGGCCTTCTTTATCAAATTCTATCCTTTTAACGTTAAGTATCTAAAATGATAACAGTTTGCAATACAAACATGAAACATCGCATGGATCTTCCCGGACCCTCAATCCACTGCTGTCAAAAGAAATAGAATAAAGCCAAAGCATGGCTTCAGAAGTCAGGGTTAATGCAGAATGTGTTCATTTCAAATTATATAATTAATTTTTCATCGCTGAGAAAGAAAAAGAAAAATCTAATGCAGCAGAGGGTTCTGTTTCTTTCATTATTTTCTGGCAGCCTGCCACCGGTCTTGTCCTTCAGGAGCAGGTTTACAATTGACCTACCGACATCCATTAGCTTGTGGGGGCCTAATGCACCATTAGCTCAAACTAGCATCAAGATTTGCTCATTCTGATACCGGCAGGTTAATGTTATATTCAAAGTTTCTGTTCTAACCGAAGTTAAAATTTACGTCGCATTCTTACCATTCAGATGATGAGCATAACAAATTAACAATGCCATATATGTTGAAGAACAAAAAATGTAGGGATAAAGCCAACGAGGTACAGCTCAATAAAAAAAATCTTGACTTGAAAATAAGAGGTCTTAGATTCAAATCCTTATGACATTTTAGTAGTGTATGTGTGTGAGAAATTCTCGTTCCCTTTAGTTTAGATTATGGCTTATACTAAAAAAAACATGTAGGGATAAATATTGTCTTCGTTGTTACAACGGAAAAGGTGTCTAGAATTTCATGTTAAATAATTTCAAACCAGAAGAAGTGGCCCCGGGTTTGGTTATCTTTAATGGAACATGGGCCTCTAAATTTGGTTTGGTGATGGTGATATCTATCTCTGGAGGTAATCGAAAGCAGGCCTGAGATATTTCCCAGGTTAGCCTGGTAATATGGACTTCTTCTGGGCCAGCCAGCAGAAAATTTGTTTGACCAAAACCTAAAAAGAAAAAGGTAAAAATATGCCTGCCTTTTTCATTAGGTACAAACTTTGGCATAACTTCAAAACCAAGGTGGCTTTTAGCCCCAAAACCACAAAACCGAGCAAATTAAAGAAAGCATGAAAAGAAGCAAACTTCTCCACCGAACTTGAAACTGAAAACCCTTCCAAATGTGAGCAAAGGTTGGAACAAATCATTTGACCTAGAGCAACGTGTTTGACCAGGAATTCAAACAAATCAAGACATTTTTGCCATTATGCTTTGATTTGAGAAAGCAACACCCACACCCACAGTGAATGTGTAACCAAGAAATGTTGGGATTATGCTTCGATTTGAACATATTGACTTTGCCAAATATTTACCCATTTAAATGGGTCACCGACGACCTCTCAACAGAACCCAGAGACCAACATTTCAAGATTCTGCAACAAAACCAATTATGACAGAGAATCCATGAAGGCAACTTCGTTGAAAAATATGGGAAATTAACACAATCTTTAGGCACCACCTGACAGCACAAACATCCCGAAAGTCCTCATCTCTCTCTCTCTCTCTCTCTCCACACACAACTTACCATTACTAAATTAGGGCTCAAGTTGTCAACTGTCCCATGCATGCCTCTTCAACAATTGTATAGTGGGAATTGGAACAAGTAAAAGTGGGCATCCTCGGCAAAATCCACCATCATATATATTAAACATTTCTAATGAGTATATAGGCACATCATTAAATATAAAAATAAAACCCACTAGTTAGCATGATTGACTTCCCACCAAATCCAACATCTCTAAAGCCTATCCCTATATCTTCTTCTTCTTTTTTCTTCTTTTTTCTTTTTAAATTTCTAATATATAAGGTTCTAAATGAGCAAAAGAATAAATATAAATAATAAAAAAAGAAAAAAGACGAATCTAGTTTTGTATGGGCAGCTTAGGCGTACCCACTAATCCTCTTGGAGACGGTGCAAAGCAAATGAGCGTTGACTATTGTATGGCCCAAACATATAATTTCTTTGCTTCTTGCAATATTTAATACAAAAGGAACATTTTGAGCCGTTGGATGAATTGACTTAAGATGATTCGAGGACGAGAGCAGGCGTTGGATCCGTGACACTGTGGGAGTGATTGTGATCACCTTCGTAGGTCACAATCAGCATGGTTGGATCGTCTAGAGCCCGCTCCACGTGCTTGCGTGCAAGACAGCCTCTCTGGCTACTACACTTGTAATATCCTCTGCATTGTGACAAAAGCAATCAGACATTCAGAAAACTCAGCGGCTACGTTACTCAATTTATTGATTCACACAACTTAGAAAAACGAGTTGAGTGTATCCAATGTCAAATGTGATATTCACGCTCATCGGAATTCACTCAAATTACAACATTCAAAGAATAATTTATTATAATTTCAATGTCACACAATAATTTCCCTTAACAGTCAATTCGAAGATGATTAATGAATGGATGACTGATTGAATGAGAATCTTATACCTTGGATGAGGGGAACCCTTGATGGGTTTTTGACCGTACTTTCTCCATGAATAATCATCCGGTGGAATATCAGCCATTTTCATACTAATTGCAGGGACTCTGACCACTCTTTTCACTTTTGATTTCCTGATCAATCCAAGCAATACAAGTTAAAAAGTCGCAATTTTGAATACATCCCACATTTAAAAAACTAAAACCAAATGGAAAATCATGATGATTGATGACCATGGACCAACCTTTTCTTGGAACAGTGGCATCGCCCAGAAGATGAGCCGCACCTGAGAGCTGCAACATCGTCCATGGAATTGCACTTCCTCTTCAACGAAGAAGAAGAAAGAGGCGGCTTGCCCGAGGACGACTGTGACATGTTTGTGAACTGAAACCCAGAAGACATTGAATGCTGCACAGAACCCTCAGCATCTCCAGTGGTTAAAGAAGACATAAATGAATTGGCAGCGGAAATCGAAGGTGAGGGTGAGAAATTGATGGTGGTAGGAGCATCCAGCTTTCTCTCAGCGCACCCAACACTCTTTGTCAACACAACAGGCGTGGTTTTCAGATGGGGATTGTGAGGCAGAGGCGGTAAACGCACACTCGGTGTGGGGCAGTAAACCTTGAAAGCAGAGGATTGCTCTGTTTTGAAACCAGGGGGTTGATCTGTTTTTGGGTTATGAGGTTCTTGAATTGAAGGCCTTGGGATTTGGGTCTCTGTTTCCTGAGGCGGCGGTGGGGGTGGAGGCGGAGATGGAGTGACAGGAGCTCTTCTGAACCGAGCGTGGCCGGTTCTTCCATTGTCCAGTAATGAAATGACCTTCCTGAACTTGGTCACGGCCATGTCTGCAACAGCTTTGTACTCTGTAGCAGCTTCAGGGTTCGATGAGGAAGAAAAAGAAGAGTCTTGGAATTGGTGGTGGTGTTGCGAAATCAAGCTTATGAACTTCTCGACGCTTTGAATTCCAGCTGAGGCAGCTTCCTTCACAGCATTCTCTTCCATTTGCGCTGCAAAACTGTCAATAAATCCCATCATGAGCTCCACAGCCATTTCTCGTCAACACGGCATGAAATTGGTTGTGAATTGAAGAAAGACAACTAGTTTCAAAACTTGAAAGCTCAACGGAATGAAATGTAAATATAGAGATTTGGTATGATGACGAGAAAAGCAAAAACAAAAGAAAGAAAAAAGCAGAGGAAAACAGAGAAAAAGGGCAAACGATTATTCGAGTCAAACTGATGATGCCCTTCCTCAATAGGCTACAAGGCATTGGCTCTCTCTGCTCTTCATCTCCGTCAAACGTAGGGGCCAGTGATGTGGCTCCACGTGGCAAAGTTCTGGCAGGGCATTGAACCGCTTGGAGACCGTGTATAAATGATGAGAGAGAGAGAAAGAGATAGATAAGGTCAAAAGGCTGGGATTAGCCGTTGGATCGCTGACTGAACAGAGAAGGGAGATCAGAGAGACAAAGGATTAATTGGAGACAGTGAGGTAGAGTTGACCTTTTGCAGCTTTTAATGCAAAAAAAGTCATTAGAGTGAGGTGGTGGGGTTGTTCGGCCGAAAAACAAAAACAAAAAATAATTAAAACTTACGAAAAAATAATAAAAGAAAAGAAAAAGTGGTCGGGTGTGGGACCAGAGGGTTTCGACTTTAAACAGACACTGGAAGCTGCGTCAAAGCCTCAACTCTCAAGTCACATGGGATTCTTCTTGTCATCAACGACAATAAAACCAAGGTCCAATATCCGTTTGATTTAATCTTAAATCTATTTGGAACCGTTGATACTACTTTTCACCATGGGATCTGTGTTACGGTTTAGTCGTGTGGATTGTACATACATGTGAGTCCTACAATTGAGTTTAAGTGCGCATTAACAGTTACATACATGTCACGCACTTCGCACGACTAATTCCAACGAACTATGAATTTTTAGTTGAGAAGTAATCAACAGTACTAGGAATAATCTTTGTTTTGCTCATTGTGAATCTCGACCATTCATGTGTAATTTTAACTGACTCTGATGTGTGCACGTGGCAGATGCTTTGTTAACAAACCTTGAAAAAGTTTTCATTGGCAAGTAACAAATGGGGAAGGGGAATCAGACCAGAAGAAATAGGGATTCTACTTTCTTTCCAATGTGGGCAATGTCCCATTATTTTGGTCAAACATTCTCTTTTTCTTCTTATAGAGAATTCAAAATGTGCAATAGTATATTTTCATAAATGATGGAGTATTGTTCAGGAAATTTGATTCATTCCACTTATAAAAAGGTAGAATGGTCCCAATGTAAGGTTCTTGCCTAAGTTTGAAGAAAAATCTTTGTTATTCCCAGTCAATAATGTTATGCTACGTGAAAGTGTTATCATGTGTTTTATAGCATTATTAGCAAAGGATATCAAAATAATATTATTTCTGTTTTATAGAAGTCTATCTCCAATGTTAGATAAATAATTCAATTCATTCATATAATTATTGCCGTGACCTAAAAACTCGTATTTACATATCTCTTTAATTCATTTTTGTGTTTGTGTGTGTGCCTTATTTTATTTCGTCTACCTCAAAAGCCAATGGATTCGAAATATTGATGTACAAAAAGACCATGCGACCTAATTTAGAGTAGAAAGGAGAATTCTATGACGTTGCGAACCCACTTAGACGACCTTTATTTACTTTATAATATTGTATAGGGTTTGATTGTAGGAGCACCTGTTTCTCTGGCTTGTGGACTTTATTGATGAGATTATCATTTCATAATTCAAGCATGAAACTTGCCTAAATCTCCTCCGAGGATTAGTCTTTTAATAAACAACTGGCAGCCATTGGATAACCAATTACTGCTCTCGCTTTTATTATTGTTGTTGTTATTGTCATTATTATTATTATTATTATTATTAAAATGTTGTTAATGTCTAACTTAGTGTTTGTTTTTTGTTTTCTTTAATCACTCGAACCAATCGCAGCACTAAGTTGCCACGCCAAGTAACCCATGACCTCAATGACTTTAAAAATGATTCAATGTACCCAAAAAAGACCTTAATAAATAAAAATAATCAAAAGAAGAAAATTAGAATAATGAAGTCACCTGTTTCGACGAAGAACTAGAGTATCCATTTGTCCAGCTTCTGGTTTCGCCTTTGGACGAAGAACTAGAAGATTTTGAAGGTGCTTGAGGATTCTGGTTTCATGAAGAAGAAGAAGAAAGATGAAGTTGGTAGATAAATGAGCAGAGCAAAGAGTGCAAGATATAGAAGAGAGAAATTGTAGGAAATGGGAAAATGAGTAGGATGTATATATATAAATACGCGTGGCGTTGATATGGAAAGCAGAAAGCTGTAGTCAATGGAAGGTCAATGAAAGCTTTGATTTATTTAATTTGTACGTTAGCGAGAAATTTCCATGAAATATGCAATGTTTTAAGGTTGATTTGGAAGCCCCAATTTTTGACTTTTCCTAGTTAGAGACGTTAATTGGTGAAGACTTTCCGATTTGGGATCCATGGAATTGGCTTAAACTTCGCGTCCTACCCAATTATTTGAAGGAAACATAACCAATTGAAGATTTGGGTTTAGAAGTCAGGTCAGACTCAAAGACTTATTTTTCTTAACTTCAAACTCAATATTTTCTACGTAGTTATTGCATGCGTGAAGAACTAGGGCTCCTCTGCCAATGGCTATTTGGGGGGCCTATGTGTTTTGTTTTATTTTTGGACGCGTTAATTAAAGTCAATTGCCTCCGCCTCCACTGCCACTATACAACAAAGTGCACCAACTAAATTGGAGAAATTCATGAGATGAGGAGTTGCAGAGAAGCTTCCTTCTTCTCCATTATTATAGATTTGGATTGGACCACAAAGGCTATAACCAATTCAACGTGTCTGCTACAACATATGCATGCATATATGGCTAATTTTTAGATACGTGTAATTGTATGCCACCTTCTCCACAGTTTCCATATACTTTTTCTTTGGTAGAAAGGAAGGGAGAGGTCGGCGAAGCCCAACAAGAAGAGAAACTACAACTTTCCATTAACTTTTGAAATTGTGTGTGAAGCATTTAAACCTAATCACCAAATTAACTCCATTCATTATGGTTGTTGTATCCAGTTAAACCTAATTCTCTCTCTCTCTCTCTCTCTCTCTCTCTCTCTCTCTCTCATACATATACAAAATCACAGAGTTTCTGGGCATTTTTATGGTTCATGCGGGTCAGCACTGGAAGACACTTCACAGAGAGATTCAACACTGGAAGACACTTCGGATGCACGCATCAGAGACCACGACTTGACTGGACCAGTTTCTTTGTAAATGGTGTAGTCCAAAATTTCGGCCATTGTTTGAACTATTTTGTTTTACTTTTAATTTTTATAGTTACTTACTTGCAAAGGTTATGACTTGATTAAAACCTCCGGCACTTTGTAATTGTCCTTTAGAATAATGACCTGCCTCTCTCTCTCTCTAGCTACCAGAAAAGAAAGTCCAATTCAAACTTCATTTGCGGAGGTGCTATTTGATTCCCGTGAATAACTGGGATTCACAAGGTTGATTATTTGTTTGACCATAAACAGAAGCTAGATTTATGTTTGCTATATTCCTTCGTCGATCATTTTTCTCCTTTCTGTTATATTGATGTTCATCAGATCAGAGGAACCGCGGCCCAAAACCACTAGAAAAGGGCCTCAATGCTCAAACAGCAAGCCCCAGTGCTAAGGCCCAAACTTTCAAGGAATGCCTCCTCCACGTATATTATGGGGACAAAAAAAGGGTCCAAAACCAGCTAGTCATGCCCATACAGAAACGTGACGTTTTATTGCCTTGTGGAATTATTGATAAGCAAGGACTGGAGATTGAGAGGCAACTGGAGATAAGAGACACATGCACACAACCCACTCATCAACAACATCATCATGTCACTACAAAACTCATGCCTGCCAAGTGGTTCATAATAGTTAACCCACTACTCGAGATTCTGTTGAAAACAACCTTCCTCTCCCATACCAATTATATATAAAAACCAACAAATTAAAAACTAAAAATTTTAAAAAATCTGGCCAAAACAACTTCTTAAATCTATATATATAAAGCAAAAGGCAGAGAATGGTAAAACATTCAAAATACTAAAAAATGCCCTTGGTTAATTCAAACACTAATAATTGAAATTATTAATTAAATGAGGATAATATAATAAATTCACATTTTTTATATTAAAAAAATTTAAATTAAAGGGGCTAGTATTCTTATTATTGTAATTCGATGAATGTCTTATTCTACAATAGAAAAAAAATAATTAAAGAGGAGTGAATAAGAAGAATACTTGTTGGCCTTAAATATGAGAAGATACTGCCAAGTAAGAATGTCAAAAGGCAAGAAAAAGTTGCCAAAGGAAAATGATTTTTTGTATGTGCTCTTGTTGCTGATGATTTTTTTGCTTAATTTGTGAATACAATTATCGATTTTCTTTCAAAAGAATCAATGTCTATTCAATTAATTAAAATATATTTATTCAAAAACCCGTTTTGCGTAACATATTATACAAAAATTCATATAGAGCTTATTTAGAGAGAAAAATTCAAAACTTGCCACTTGTTTTCTAATTGATTCTTATACAAGTAGGTAGTTTTGGATATTTTTCTCCAAATAGATTCTATAAAAGTTTTGTATATAGTGAGATGCTAAAATTAGTTTATTAGTGATGTGCCCTCCTCCTCTTCAGGGACCCAATCCACACAAACACCGGTAAGGAGCAGTGAGATTGAGATGGAATATGGGCCGCGGGTCAAAGATTAATGACTTTGGATGGTTGTGCATTATAGTGGAGAGAAGTGGTGAGCTCACACTCATCTCTGGAAATTCTACTGTATGGGCTACCATCCTCCACAACTGCTTCGGAGGTCAGAAATTTCTATAATGAAGAGGTTATGTTGAGGAGTTTATAAATTTAATTGTTTAATAATAATATTGATTAGTTTATGAATCCCCTCGTTATAATCTCTCATTATAGCCTCCTTGTCGAGGACTTTATGGTTTTCAAATATAGAATGAATTTGCATATTTTGGATTTGTATTGATTGATTTGACGAGGAATCTTTATGTTTCCTAATTTGTCACGTCTCATTTTATAATAATAGATAAAGTAAACATAATTTGATCTGATAAAAGATGTCATTCCTTTTATTACTTTCCTAAAATAATTCACAGTAGTTCTTTTTTGTTTTCTATATATAGTAATTATTAAGAATATGTGAACCAATTACCAAACCAACATAATTTGGTTTCCTTTTCATTTTCTGGGTTCAGAATTTGTCAGATTCATTCCATATATTCCTGCAGCGCCCACTTACGTGTCGTGTGCGGGTATTGTATAATTTGTATTGATTGATTTGGACCGTCGCAAAAATATCTTATATTTACTTTCCTTAAATGGCCCACACAGACACAGACACAGACACAGTAGCAATTAACCTCTTTGTATTTTTGTCAATGAATATAGCTCACCCTCTAAATCATCACATCACATTAGTGTTTACGGGTAATTCATTATTTTATTTCATTTTTTAATGGGATTAATAAGAGTTTGAAGATGGGCAAATTCCTTTTTGGGTAGAGATGTGATGTGATTCTCTCAACCAAACCAACCCATGGTGGTGCATGCATTACATGCGTCACATATTATATTAATATTCCAAATCTAAAACCATTGTTTTCCACAATCATAGTTGTCAATTTTGTTTGCCCAACCTCAATGCTTTAATTTTTATGTTTTTTTTTAAAAAATGATAAAGAGGGGTAAAAACTTCCAAAAACAGCACATCTAACTAAGGCAATCTCCAATCATGAGCCATAGGCTAAATATAGTCTTAAATAATGCAAAACTCATCTTCTGTCATGGGCTAAAAATATTTTTGGCCAAATTTGGAGGGTCACATTTGGCCATTTAGCCCTCTAATTAGGCCAAATGTAGCTCAGCTTTGGCATAGGTTAAATATTTTTGTGGGCCCAACGCATGTGTTTTTCAAGACGAGAAAGTATCACGCATGAGCAAGAGCGCGAAATATCTCGTGCAACTGCAGATCCAATAACCAATATTAAAAACGAATTGACGTCATCGATGACATCAACTAACCATTAGGTTTTTATTTTTATTTTTAATAACCTTTTTAAATGTTTTTAAATTCATTTTATTTAATATGTATATATATATATATAATTGGTTTATGATTGTTGGAGGTTAGAATCATTGATTGAAAATTTTATTTATTTATTAATTTAAAACCTTTTTAAATGTTTTAAATTCATTTTGTTTTAAAAAATATATATACAAATTAAAAAAATATTGTCTCTAAATTGTAGTCTAATGAAATTAAACAATACATAGTTGTGGAATATATGAGAGTTGTACCATAGTTTTTTTTTTCACAAAAAAAACAATATGAAAGGCTCTAAAATATAGCCATGCATGGCTGGAGGTGAAAAAATATAGCCTTACATTATTCTTTTAAAAATTAATATTTTAGAGGGCTAAATATTTAGCTCTAGACTACATTTAGCACTATACTTGGAGATGCCTAAACACCAAACCCACCAAGTGACAAGTCATCGAAGATAATAGAACCCTAGGCTGGAGCATCATCAAAATAATAGAGCCCAAATCATGGTTGCAACTCCAAACAATCAGAGCCCAAAAAAACATACAATGAATATTAATAATCGTCTCCATATTAACTTAAAAATTAAAGAAGAAAAAAGTTGATAAAAATGAGTTTAATGGAAAAAATTAATCCTATTAAAAATTTGAAAAAGGAAATAAAAAACTACAAGCGACGTGACCCAATGTCGAGCTGATAATGAAAGGGAAGGAAAAAAATGGCACAAGCGACATGAAAAGTCTCTCCGATCTTTGGGGTTGGTCCACCGCAATTACAACTGGACAAATGGATCAGTCTCTTTCCGACAGTCTCCAACTCATACGACGCACCAAACCAAACTCTCTCTACACGTGGCAATCCCACCACCTTTTAGTAACTCTTCTCTTTTACCAAGGTCATCCACCTCAGTCAAAGGTAAAAAAAAGTTGTTTTTAACCGCGGTCAACATTATAGCTCATCTACACGGGCCCCACACTCCCTCGGCGCACAGCGATTGGTAGTGGGTTTGGAATTGGGCTCCATCTGCAGCCTATCATATCTCATCCAAATGGGCCCCGCACTCCTTGTTGTTTTCGTCACATCCACTTGCTTTTTGTGCACAGTGTATTTCCTTTTTTTCAGATGAGTAATATCAGATTATAACAACTTGTATTTTTGTATTTATGTTATTTTCATTTTATTAAGAATAAATCAAATTTCAACACCCTCCTTTCTCCCTTTATAAGCACCCCACCACATCGCCACTTTCTCGTATACATTCACTTCCTTCACTCTGTTTCTCAGTAAACAAACAGAGAGAGCACAGCAAAAACATGGGACCGTACAGATCCTCGTCGGCCATGGCGGTCCTCCTCTTCGCGATCTTCACCCTGTCGTCTGCTCTCGACATGTCGATCATCTCCTACGACGACAAAAACGTCGTCGGAGAATCGAAGTCGAGCTGGAGGACCGACGAGGAGGTGATGTCAATATACGAAGGGTGGCTGGCCGAGCACGGCAAAGCCTACAACGGATTGGGGGAGAAGGAGAGACGGTTCCAGATCTTCAAGGACAACCTCAGGTACATCGACGACCACAACGCTAAGAACCTCAGCTACAAGCTCGGTCTGAACCGGTTCGCCGATCTGTCCAACGACGAGTACCGGTCCACTTTCCTGGGCACCAAGACCCGCGCTCAGAAGAAGAAGCTCTCCAACCGGAACACCAAGAGCGACCGGTACGCGCCACGTGTCGGCGACTCGTTGCCCGACTCCGTTGATTGGAGGAAGGAGGGCGTAGTCAACCCCATCAAAGACCAAGGGAGCTGCGGTAAGTTTTAACTTTCCTACTCTGTATTTTTATTTTTTATTACTTCTAGTATTTATTTAATTTTGCAATGTTTGTTAGTATTTTTCGTTATAAGTCATAGTCTAAAATTAATCTAATTTATGGAGAGGGAGATTAGAACTTGTATGCTAAGGTGCGGACTCCGTGTCATAACCAATTCGCCTCATCTACGTCTATCTAATTTTTGTGAGTTGATAATTAATGATTGATGTTTGGTGATGTTGCGTGGTCATTTTCCCTTAGGACTTTTGGGTTTGCTTGGTGATAGAGCAAAGGTATGTGATTAGCGAGTAGTTGACTTTGATAATCTGATTGCTTGTTTGCTTAATCAAATGTTTTTGGCTTAAAAATCATGTTTTGGTTATTCAATTAGACCGCGAATAATAATTAGTGACGAGGCTGACAGCTGAGCTGTAGGCTTTCAGCTGGACCTTAGGATCTAATTCGAATATTGCTTACTGTATATTTCGGAAAATGAAATAATAAATATCTGACGGAGGAATCTTGTTGCCTATGGCTGCTCTTGAGACCAAGGATTCTTCCTGAGAGTTACGCCGTGTGCCCACAGGGACCTCGCAATGCTCACGCTTGTGGGCCCCTGGATTTTATTAATAGCGACCCACATAGGTCTAAAGCCCAACACCAAAGGCGTAAACAAAATTAGATAACAGATAATTCCTCCTAGATATTATATTTGCTGATTTAATGTGAGCTTAATTTATGTCATTAAGTTAATCATCGAGTATTATTTTTATGTTGAAGGGAGTTGCTGGGCATTCGCTACAATCTCTTCAGTGGAAGGGATCAACAAGCTAGTGACTGGAGATCTCCTCTCACTATCTGAGCAGGAGCTGGTTGACTGTGACAAAACATACAATGAAGGATGCAATGGAGGTCTCATGGATTATGCCTTCGAGTTCATCATCAGCAATGGTGGAATTGACAGTGAAGAGGATTATCCTTACAAAGGATATGATGCCACCTGTGATACCTACAGGGTTGGTTTTGTTTTTGTAATTTAATGTTTTAAACAAAAACAGAACAGATGGATGAAATTTTTTAGCTATATTCTCATACTTTTGTTGTCTTTGCAGAAAAATGCCAAGGTGGTTTCCATTGATGATTATGAAGATGTTCCTGCATACGATGAGAAAGCATTGCAAAAGGCTGTTGCCAATCAGCCAATTGCTGTTGCCATTGAAGGAGGTGGCAGGGATTTCCAGTTATATAATTCTGTAAGTTTTCTTCCCTTTATATCACAAAATCTTTCTTCTGCTTGGATGTTGAGCATTTGCATCAATTGGATTAGCCTATCATTTCTCCTGTTGATTATTAACTTAAAGACTTTCTTGTCATCGAATAATGATTAATGTTCTCTTACCAAACTTATGCTGTCCGACAATACGAACTCGAGTGAACTAATTTGTTTCTTTGCTTCAAATGCTATTTCAGGGTGTATTTACGGGACGGTGTGGAACATCATTGGACCATGGTGTTACAGTTGTGGGATATGGAACAGACAAAGGAGTTGATTACTGGATAGTGAGAAATTCTTGGGGTGGCAGCTGGGGAGAGGAAGGCTACATCAGGATGGAGCGTAACCTGGGCAACACCGCACATGGAATATGTGGAATTGCAATGGAGGCTTCTTATCCAGTCAAGAGTGGCCTGAACCCCCCGAACCCTGGTCCATCTCCTCCGTCACCGGTACAGCCCCCGTCAGTTTGTGATAATTACTACTCCTGCCCTGAGAGCAACACCTGCTGCTGTATTTATGAGTATGCAAACTACTGCTTTTCTTGGGGATGTTGTCCACTTGAGGGCGCCACATGCTGTGATGACCATTATAGTTGCTGCCCAAGTGACTATCCAGTCTGCAATGTCAATGCAGGAACCTGTCAACTGGTAACACCCTAAAATTTTATATGCTCACATTGTTAGATAGGTTTTAACAAGTTTTTGCTTACATTGTATTCCTTTCTGCTTGCAACAGAGCAAGGACAATCCACTGGGAGTGAAGGCATTGAAGCGCACGGCCGCTAAACCTCACTGGGCAATTGGTGGTGGCAAGAGGAGCAGTTCTTAAGCTTAACATTCAGTGCTTTTATGAAGTGGTAACAAAAGCTAGGAAGGAAGAAAAATCAGGGCACCTTGATATTCTTCTTCTTCGTTTATCATACTTGCTCACTCTCTCATATCTAGATTCCAAGAAATGGATAGTTTGTCTGTTATGGATGATTTCATATGCTGATTTGTATGTATATAGCGCTCTATTTATGTCATGCATTTGAGTTATAGACAAACAGATTGTTGTCATTACCAATATTTCTGTAAATTCAGTCATGAATTTGGCATTCGCCTTTATGAAGTGCTTCATTCTGATCCTACTTATTGTACTTCGCTTAATAACTTTCATTTGGCCAAATTGTGTTTACTCAAATCGGGTGAATTGCAACTAAATCCTCTCCTAACGCTGAATTTTTCTCTTCAAAACTATTTGTGCTTCGTAAGCAGATTAATTAAGTAAAGCACGTACAACCCTCACATTTTCCCTTCCTCGACTTCATCGGATGGATTCTTGACTCAACGTGAGGATAGAAAGACACAAGAGTTCTTTATTTATTTGAGGCACCATATGAATTACAGATAAACGTCATGCATCACTGATGGTCAATATCTTCGAATCGTCACGTGGATTTACAGTGTGGTAAGGTGTAATGTTGAAGTACTCCAACTTAGGATTGAAACATCTGGACTTGTTCCAGCTGAATTCAGAGAAAGCGTTGAGGGGACGCCGTTAGAATTTCCGTCTTGCCTCTTTCTTTGTGGATCTTTGAGGTCTCTATTGGTGGAGGTGAAGCATGCCATTCTAAAAGTACCATCCTCTTCTTCCTCTAACTATAGAAGAGGGTTTTGGCAAATGGCTCTCATGTTGTTGCAAATGCCTTAAGGACTTACAGCTTGAAAGTGTTGAAGGGGTACACAATATCACCATTGAAAGTTCTTCTTTGGAATCATGTGTGTATCAGGATTTTTTTTAATGAAGAAAAAGGGGGAAAACCCCCAGACACCAACACAATAACTAACTAGTACTAATCAGAAGAGCCATAACAGCTCCCAATGAATCATTAAGCAACAGATATCCAAGCTCCAGATTGTGACTCCAAGTGGCCAACCCACCAGCTACATCATTCCTCCCTCTATAGATCTGTTGTGTAGAAACTGATTTTCTATTATTTTATTCATATGATCATTATACAATATATATATATATATAAAGTCTGTAGAGAATAATCTACAATTATAACAAGTCATTATCACAAACATAAATATGGAGTTATGGCCTAATAACAACGTAATTGACAACTGACCATTTCCTATCATTAGTAGGATTAACTATTGTAACTGAAATATTATTGTAACTCCATAACACTCCCCCGCAAATCGAGCACGCACAGCATAGCAAGATTTGAATGAAGAAACTGTATGGTGATGGAGATGACAGTAGCAGTCGTTTGTAGTAGTCTAGTAAGGGAAACAAAAAAGAAGAACTCCATAGGTGCAACAACAGCTTGAGAGAAACAAAGTAACATAAAAATAAAAATAACACCCATTGAAAGGCAGCAAGTGAAGGAGCACATGGGCTCATGGAAGGAAAGAATAAAATGACGAGCTGACAGACAAGTCAAATGTAACTGGGAAACAACTCTAGGCACCTGAGAAACATAACTCTACCTAGGAATCACCCTCTAGGTAGGATAAAGAGAAATAGACATGTTGTAAGAGGAATGAGAAAGAAAAATAAGTCAAACAAGTACATTTTTGTTTGTGTTCTTATAAATATAATAAAGAGAGGGAGAGAGAAGACAGAGACCAACAGTAAAATTAAAGAAAGAGATTGGGCTTAAGAGGGGAGGAGAACACATGTTGAGCATAGATAGAGCATGCGAGGCCAATACCAAGGCATCAACACAATAATAGGGCGTGATTGGCTGATACCAAGTCGGCAACATAGAGGAAGAAACAGGGGTTGTGCAAAGGGAACACCGGCAGTGTAGCACGATAGAGAAGGCTCGGCGAGCATTGACAAGGCTCGTGGAGGAAAGAGAGACGGCTCAGTGAGCGATGACAAGCAACATCAACAAACAAGGGGAAAATATGGACACTACGATAGAGAAACCATCGGAAATACATGAGAGAGAGAAACCATCAGAAATACATGAGAGAGAGAAACCACAATTGCAGACTAGGAATAGTGAAAGGAAAAGTGAAAGGAAAGGAAGTTTTTTTTTGTTTTTTTAAAATTAAAATTTATAGATATGGGCTTCTAAAAAAAACAAACAAAAACAAAATAAAGGAAGGGAAGCATTAAGGTGAGGAGCACGAGTGTTTGGGCAGGAGAGAGAGAGAGAGAGAGAGAGAGAGAGAGAGAGAGAGAGAGAGAGAGAGAAAGGGAAGCATGCGTGTAGATAGATAGATAAAGGAATGAGATCTTAGAGAGAGAGAGAGAGAGAGAGGATAGAGCACATGAGGGATAGACAACGGTTGTGCAAAGGGACTAACGATAGTGAAGCACAGCAGGACAGAGACAAAGGCCGACTAGGATAAGGCTTGGCGAGCGATGACAACTGACAATGGGGAGAAGGCTCAATCTTCAATAGAGAGCCTAAGAAGAAGAAATGGCTAAATCTTCAACAGAGAGCATTGCATGGAGAAATGCATGGCTTAATCTTCAACATAGAGCTAGACATAGAGAGAGTGAAAGATAAAGGCTCATCAATGAGCAAAGAGCTTGACAAGGAGCGTTGAAAAATAAAAGGAAATGGCAGCGGCAAAGAGAAAGAAAAAAAAATTACTGATTATAGAAGGGATGAGAAGATGGAGAACAATACAAAAGCAAACACCATTTCAGGAGAGGAGAGCCAAAGACTCTCAATGTTGGCAAATGAAGGATCGCTAATTGGCGTTGGCCATTAGCTCTAATACCATGTAGAAACTGATTTTCCATTATTTTATTCATATGATCATTATACAATATATATATATATATGTATAAAGTCTGTAGAGAATAATTTACAGTTATAACAAGTCATTATCACAAACATAAATATGGAAGTTATAGCCTAATAACAACGTAATTGACAATTGACCATTTCCTATCATTAGTAGGATTAACTATTGTAACTCCATAACATGTTGAAGCTTGATCCTTCGAAACAAATTCATAAGCCTTTTACTGACCAGCCCAGCATTAGGATGACAAGCATTCAAAACCTTACTCTGAATAAGAAGCACAGCAGTCTCTGAATCCATCTCAATAACAATATCATCTACTTTTTTCTCAACAGCCAAATTCAACCCAAAAAAGATCCCACAACTTGCTTCAAGCACTTCTCCCTGGCCTAAATTGACAGCAAAGCCACCAATCCATTGACCCAAATGATCTCTCAGGACCCCTCCAGCACCAATGGCACCGTGTATCGGGAATTTGCTTTGCAGTATACGCATGGTTAAATCTCTTGTTTGGATGAAGGGATCACAAATGTGAAGTGACTCTATCTTTGGCCAAAGATTGATATTTTGCAGTTGGTATTCAGATTATGTTGTACATACGGATTAACCACTAAGGTGAAGCTTGGCCAGACAATTTTTATGCCAAATTATGGTATTCATTTTGTAAAACTTTTGCATTGACTCGATTGTTCACTATCTTTTCCAGGCATATGGTTTTATGCCAATTTATGGTATTCATTCTGTCAATATTCATATCAGCACACGTTTAAATCATCTTTATGGAATTGATGTTTCCCTTTCGAATTTTGATTTCATTCAACCAGAATTCTTCTGCTAATTGAAGCCAACACCATGGCTTGAGGGGCACTTCAGTATGTAAGTTTGGTTCGTATATTTGTGAATGCATGAGTGGGCTGTAGACCTCCCTTCCTAGTTGTACAGTTGCATTGTTTAATAAACCCACCTGCCTCATTTGTGTAAAAGAAGGCCATTCACTTTTTGTTTGGTGAGGAATTTCATCGACATAAATGGATTGGTATTAAAATTTGCCAGCTAAAATGGGTCCAACCCTGTTAAGACTTAAGACTTATGTGGGAATTTCCAAACGACAAGTTGCATAGGCACATAACTAGCATGTCCTATCTCATAGGATACCCGAACCACTTGTCTAGACGACATATCGAATGGCCCAAAAGTACATGAGAGGTGCTTCTCCTCATAAGTGATTTTGGAGTATTCACAAAAGTCACAACTTAGAGCATACACAGTAGGATGATGTATAATGAGGTGTATGTTAAATATACACCCTTTGTGATCGGAATCACCCGCAATGGAGAGGTGTAAACGAGTGTAAATTTGCATCATCATCATGATATGCAAATTTTGATATGCAAATTTAGATGCACATATACTTTTTTTTTACATCTCTTACATGTGGGACCTACATAAGAAAAAGTGAGAAAAAGTGAGACCTACAGCAAAAAAGGTGAAAGAAATCAATTATACATCTTTAACTTTACATATTCCTCACTGAAGCAAAAATCACATTTACAATCCCCAAATGTATAAAAGGAATATAAAAGTGGCTTTACACTCCTGAAAATACACTCTCCTACTGTGAATGCTCTTATAATTAGTACCATACTCACTCAAAAAGATGAAGAAAAAAAAAATCTGTAAGATTGGGGTTTGGGACCATCCATTTTGCCGGGAGGTAGAGACCATATGTCTCATGAAAAATCATTTTTGATCTCCAACCCAACAATCTCTTGTCAGTTTTCATCATCAATTTGGTTTTGGGGACCATTCAACATAATGCAAGACCACTCCCCAAAGAGATAGGGATAGGCCACAATAGTCTTACCCCACCCTGCTTCTATCCATCCAATCCCAAGACCCTCAATCAGTGCAGATGGAGCATCATATATAATCAGCAGCAACTAGCTTTAAGGTAGGTAGTTAAGCTTGGACTTGAACCATAATTATGTTTTGATTTGTATGTATCTCTGTAATCATATATTGTCTGAATCCCATATGATTGAAACCAAATTAGGAGACACTTTGAAATGTTCTCATGTTACAGACATTATTGCATGAAAAGACTAATTACAAATATTGTTTTTTGAACAAAAGCCCATTTGAGCACAATTAAGCAGATTGAGCTGCAATTTACCTACACAGCCACAGGCAACAAAACCATCCTTTTGACCATAAAAATACGTTGTGGACTTGTAGGTTTATAATTAATCAAGATTTAGAGCACCTACGTCTTTCCCTTTCTTACAGGTCCAAATCCTAAGTCTACCCCTCCTCCATTTTCCAAACCCAGATTAGGGTTTATGGAGCTGTGCTTTTCTTCTTGAGCTACATCTAAATGACAGGATGACTCTATTTTCATAATGCCACAACTAGCCTTTAGTGTTTGATCTGCACAACTGCTGTTGTTGTTGCTGATGTTGCTGTTCATAAGCATAGCTGTGTCAGGAGCTTCAGCAGCATTATAGGATTGGAAATTGACTGAAGGTAGCTTTGAGAGAAGAGCTCCAAGGCTGCATGAAATGGAGGGTGGAAGAGGTGGAATTGGCCAATGGGGTGATCCTGCTAGCCCATTTTGTGGATTATTCCAGCCAAAATTTATTTGGGTTTCATCAGCCATTTCATTGAACAACCTTTTAACCCCGGTCAATTGGCGTTTGCCATAGACTGATAAAGCTGTTTCTTGACCTCCAATCATCTGGTTATTTGGTTTGAGGATGTAGGGATGTTGGATAGGTAGGTATGGTCTTTGCATGGCAAAAACACCTGGTATGCTCTGGAGGTAGCTGATTTTCCTCTGTATGCTGATTACCAGATTGAGATCTTCCAATATCTGAAAAATCCCATTAGTCAACAATTCAGACTTCGCTGAAAGTTTAAAATAAAAATGAAAGGAAACAGAGACACACACCTTGTCAAATGAGCCAAGTTGAATTATGCCTTCTCTAACAGAAATGAGTGCAATGGTCTGCAAAAATTCAGAAAAAGAAAAGGACTAGATCAGCTATTAAGAGCTGATGAATTGTGTTAGCTACTTCAGTTTCAAATATTTTGAAAGTAACAACCTGTATGCCTGATTTGAATTGAAACTCCCATGCCCTTGGTTGCTGCATGTAAGAATGGATAAGGGAAAATAAGGATTGACGAAAAGAAAATTTTATCCTTGCATTTACTTTGTAAGAAGAATACTGTAGTGAATTTGCTTACAGGTTCAGTGGTTACATTCCAAGAGGAAATGAAGCTGGGGTCACCTTCATTTGGTGTATCTCTGAACACCCATTTATGACTACTATCTGCTGCTACTTTCCCCACTAATCTGCAGGCAATATAATGCAAATTAACCATCCTGGTCACTAACCTGTGTTCAAATTATTTCTTGCCAACAAAATATTAGAGGGTCAATTCTTACCCTTCTCCATAATTATAGACCTCATGGGACATTTTGAAGAAGATATCAGCTCCAAACCTCCCCCTTATGTAAGCACTTCCTGCTTGTTCACATTCATAGAAATCACAGAACCCATCTTCCCAAACAAGAATCCTGAAACCAAAATTCACTTAAAACTCAAAAATCATCAGAATTAGAAACATGGTGTTTTCTCACAATTCTTTGTTAATTACTTTACCAGTTCCTTTTGTTTCCTTTGGAGCGATCAAGAGCACTTCCTCCATAATCCCACCTGCAATGCAACAATAAAAGCAATGTGACTTACTGTAACATAAGCTTTTCATGAGAGTAGAATGAAATATGAGCTCTGCTGGTTCTGTTTTTATAGTAAAATTTCTCACTTTGGAGGAGGGTAGTTCCGAGGCAAGATCCTCCAGAAGACAGCATAAACCCACTTGGAAGAATTAGAAGAATCAGAGCCTGAACAGAGGCTCCTCAGTGTATGCTGCAAGAGACAATTAAGCATGGGAAGTCCACTTTCCATTGTCACACGCACACAAATACTCACAGAGAGACAGAGAGAAAGAGGTTTTTAGAGTTAAGCAAGCACGCTGTACTCTTACTCTTGTTTCCATCACAATTAAAAAGGCAAAGAGCAAACTTGAGATGGGAACAAACAACCAATGTCCACGCGCAGACATGGAGTGTTGGGACTTAGGAGAGTAAGCCTCCAACCAAACCAACTGTTCGGTGGCCCTTTGAGTTGGTTTCATGGTGGGGTCTGGATATTTACGATTCAGAAAGGAAGAATTATTGACTTCACTAAACCCTATCAGGTACAAAATACCAAAATATCAAATTGTCACGGAAAGTTTTAATCAAATTCCCATCTTGACTCTAAGCTAAATTATACAAAACCCAACCAAGTGTAGGCTAATTAGGAATGCTCAGCTACAATCCTTGGTTTTGTCCTAAAAACTCATCATAATGTCTTGAGCTTGAGCAGCTAACTTTCCTGTAATGGTTTGTCTATTTTCGTGCAGTGGTCCTTCAAATCCTGACTGGTTTCCACTTCCATCGCTATAAATTGCACCAAACTTGGTCCTTACAATGGTCCCTCATCTGCAACTGTAATGGATGTTTAATCAATATATAGGGTTAGCTAGATCAATGTGTACACTGAGACTCTGTTTACTAGCTCTTGCTGCTTCTGTTGTCATGAACAGCAACAAGTAACGGCAAAAACATGTGCTTATCAAATCCATTTTGAGTCCACCTTAAGCTCAATATATAGCAACAATTGCTAGGGTTTATGACTCATCCAGTTGGCTAAAGATGATCATTAAGAGAAGTAGTATAATAATTGGAAATTGATATTTTCATAATGTATGTGTCATCATCACCATCTTTGTATGTGATCTGGACCACCTGTCAACTTGGCAGCATAAAGCGTGTAGGCTTGGGTTGTATTTTCATGAAGGAACACGCAAGAGGGTGAGCATTGATCACCATAGCTGCACCAATAGAACCTTTAATTGCCTCTGCAACAATATACTATCTATCAATGGACTTAGGTACGGCAACATCATTGATCAAAAAACCATTTAATTACAAAACTGACAGAAAACAACTAAGCAAATGGAAGGTGATTGTTTGTAACAAAATAGGCAACAGCATAATTACATAGCAAAATAAACTTTTAACCTTCATTATCCCAGAATTTCCCTGCAAACCCTACTTTTTGACAGTCAACAAAATAGCCAACATCATAATTACATAGCAAAATAAACTTTTAACCTTCATTATCCCAGAATTTCCCTGCAAACCCTACTTTTTGACAGTCCACACCACAGACATTTGTGACTTGCCAATTCACCCACCCACCAACCAGAGAAAAGGACGAACCAAATGCATCATCTTCAACAAACAATGAGTCCAACAGAAAATGCTCTAATAACAATCAAAATGGTTTATAGGAAAACTTTCAAAAAAAGAAAGAAGCATTCATTACAAACGTTATAGATCTCTAGGTAATTATAAATTCAAGATAGAAATTATTATATTGTGCAATAGAGATAAATGATGATCCACCAATGATGCTTTTATAATTAAAGAAACTTTGTTGGTCTCTACTTTATGCTAATGTGATCAGAGGACTGCAGACTACAAGTATGAAAATACCAAATGAAATCTATTCACATCTATAAAGCGACCTTGTGATTTGTTGTTTAGTCCATGGTCTCACTTACACAACAAAGTAAAAAATGAGGCTAGTTGAAGCTAAGCCCAAGCTCAAGTTAGTGTTTTATGTTAGCCCAAGCCCAGTTACACAAACCTCTGCTGCTTCTGGCTTTTGGTATTATAAAACACCAGCCAGGCAAAATGACTATAAACAAAGATACTTGACTTGACATGCAATAAACTCTCGAGCATTGAGTGTTTTTTTTTGGATTGAGAGTTTCTTGAATTGGCATGTCACTAGTGAAGACAATTCAACGGCGGAGATTAGAGAATTCGTCAAATTATGTTTAATTATATGAATGAATTATTATTGTAAATTAAATGAAAGTAATTATCAGAGGAGATTGAAACTAATCACAATGTACCGGTTGGCGTACGCGCGTCGGTAATAGCACTGAAGTCACAAAAGAGAGAAGGGCTTTGGTTGGTTGGTTTAAGTACTGTTGTTACGGACGAGTCCCTCAGACAAATACAAAGGTCGAGTCTTGGGGGAGTAGGATCCATTGCCACAGAGATGAAGGTCCTTGGAATCGATTTCAGCTGTGCGTTGGGGGCTCTTGCCAACGGTCACTTTCCTGAGAAGGATTGCTTGCTGCCTCTTATTTCAAAGCTCCTCGGCTATGCCATCGTCGCCGCTTCCACCACTGTCAAGCTCCCTCAGGCACGTTTCTTTCTTCTTCTTTTGCTTTCTTTGTGTCCGTGTTTATTTGTTAAAGCAATCATCTTTCTGTTTTCATTTTGTAATCGTTGTTGAAATTAATTGTTTTTATAAGAACAGAAGGTGACTCATGACAGATCTCTAACATGGGTGCCGTCGATTTGGTTTAGTTATTGTTTGAATTCTCGAGACTGCTGGCTTGCATGATGGAAATTTTAGTACAGGGTTTGAAATTGTTACATTTAGAACTAAACCCAGAATTCATTTGGCCAGGAAAGAATCCAGATACTTATGGTTAATGAATTGTGCGTGTCCAAAGCTTGCAGTTTTAGGACTCCATTTTTGAAGTGCCCCAGTTTAAACTTGAAAACTCATAGTTTAAAACCTGCATATGACCTTCAAATTTTACTGATAGCAAGTTGTGGGCATCAATCTCGTTGGAAGGAAGAGAATCTTCCTCTTTGACTTTAATGAATTGTAGTACTTAGCTAACGCCATGAAACAAGTTGCACCATGTAATTTATAATCTTTTTTATTTTAGTTTGACATTGTACATGATATGATGCTTTTGTTCTTTTGTTTGCAGATAATGAAAATTTTGCAAAATGGAAGTGTGAGAGGTCTTAGTATTGTGGCTTTTGAGCTTGAAGTAGTTGGGTACACCATTGCTCTGGCATATTGTCTTCATAAAGGGCTTCCATTCTCAGCTTATGGGGAATTGGCCTTTCTTCTGATCCAAGGTATGTCAAAGGCTTCTTGTACTTTTCTGTCAATCTAACATATTCTAGGGAAATGCTTCTTAGGGATGTGAGGGTGGAAGTAGTGGTACAAAAGCATTATTTTGGCGGAGAGTGAATTAGTTTTTCCAGATTAGCCTTATGTGATTGACCCATCTTAGGAATTTAATTTTTGTGGTGAATGAATACTTGTGGTTTATTGATTATAGTAAGTATCATGGATTTTACTCAAAGAGCTGTAAACTCTTGGTAAATTTGTTGATCCTGTTGCATGCAATTTCATAGCATTAGGAAGAGCGAATTATGGCAATCACAAAGGATCTAACACAGTTCCTCTTATGCTTGTCTTTTACAGCTATAATATTAGTTGCCATTATCTACTATTACTCCCAACCTGTGGGTATGAAAACATGGATCAGGGCGTTACTGTATCCTTGTTGCTTGAGAATCAGTTCAGTCTTGGCATTCTATTTTTTTCTCCTAATCTTCATTCTGTATAATTGAGAAATGTGGTCAACTTCCTCCTTAATATGATGGTTTTCCAGATATTGTGCGCTAGCACCAACTATATTAGCTGGTCAAATCGATCCTATTCTCTTTGAAGCTCTATATGTAAGTAGCCCTTCCGTGTCTTGTATTGTGTGTGTGTGTGTTTTTTTTTTTCTTTTTTTCTTTTTTTTGTAGTCTAGCTAATTTACATACTCGAAAATTTGATATTATTTTTTCTGATCTGTAGTTCATTATCCATAGCTCTACTAATGTGGAAACAATCTTTTACAGGCATCCCAGCATGCAATTTTTCTATGTGCTAAGATCCCACAGATATGGGCGAACTTTTCTGTAAGTTTAAATATGAAGGGCCTGTTTTGTTTTTAAATTGGGTGTTCTATTTTACTTTTAACTGCATCTTACTTTTTGAATTGGAAGGATAATTTTACATAATGAATATGCATTAGAGCGAGTCTGAAAGTCCCAGACAAAAGTACTACGGTGGGCACTCTTTTGGTTTTTCCTTATGGTTCTTGCTCATCTACTTGAGGGTTATCGTGTATCTTTGAATTGTACTATTGAAGCCTAAAACATTTGGGAGAACGCTTGGATTGTGATACAAAACTCAGATGTAAAACCAATCGATATGAAGACAAGCAGAGAATCAAAATTCTTTCCTTTGTGCCTGCATATATGTTGTCTATTGATGACAATATAAATGCTGCCCTAGTGAGGCACCAGGTGCAGATAATCTTATACATTAGTTGGGTCTTCTTGTTGCTGTGTCTCTAACTCACTCCAGCCATCACCAATCCTTTGAACATTGACCATTTTGCCTAAATAAATATATAAATTTTGCTTTCTGTGGAGTTAAATTTAAATAGGTTCTCTAGTTCTCTTTATAAAGATGAGGATTTTGGTATAGTTTGAGTGTCTCCGAAAGAGGTAATTCTGAGCTTAGATTATCTCTGGCATGGCAACCAATTCATTTAATCTCCTGCATATCAATCTTTAGCTACTTCGAGTATTCACACCTGTTTTAGCTACTTTTCTGATACTGATTAATTGTTTCTTATACAGAATAAAAGTACAGGGGAGCTCAGCTTCTTAACCAATTTCATGAATTTTGGAGGTTCTATGGGTAAGTTAAACATGTTAAAAGGGCTGTAGGCTGTGGAGTATAAATTATGTATTTCGGCAGACTCACAAATTTATCAACTTCCTTTTGCAGTGAGAGTTTTTACCAGCATCCAAGAAGCAGCACCAAAAAGCGGTATCCTTGTTTCTTGGACTTAAGTTGCACTTTTATTTGATATGGCTATCATGCATGTAGGTTTTGAGAAGGTTATGGCTGTAAGTCGCCCATTTTCAAATTGGTAACTTTATCGTTCCTAAATGCTTTTTAGAGCAAAGCTATACTTGTTTTGGTAGTCTGAATCTGTGTAGAAGTGGCAAGTTCTCAGGTTCACCCCTAGTGATACAGAACCTACTTCTTGCTGTTGAGTTTCTTTTCATTTTCCCTAAAATGACTACCAAGATCAGTTCCCAGAGGCCTACGGGGTCTAGGCCAGTGGAAAAGGGCCTGTACTTGCAGACCATAGGTCTCGGGTTCAAATCCCCACGGCATCATAGTTGTGTGTGTGTGTGAGAAATCCATCTCCCCTATAGTCTAGACTGTTGCTTGTACTAAAAAATGAAAAAAAAAATGAAAAAAAGATTCAGTTCGCAGAGAAAATAATTATTTTCTGTTGTGTGCATCACACGAAAAAGAACAGGCTAAAATAAGAACAGTGGTGTTGGTATTCCTTTCTTCATACGTATACATATATATTCGTTCATTTGCTTCTCCTTAATTCTTTCTTAGTTTTGCTGGGTTCTGTAATTGGCATTGCAACAAATGCTACCCTCCTGAGTCAGATAATTATATACCAAAAGCCGAAGCCCCGTGCTGAGAAGGAGAAGAAAACCGAGTAGAAGAATGCCTCCCGCAATACTGGTAGATTTGCTTCAGTTAAAGATACCAACAGTTCCAGCAACGGAGTCAGCAAATGCTCCAACGAATGTTCAAGGAAAGGATTTAATCATCCTTACATTATCGTTCAAATTTAGCTTAACTATGTTTCTACAGGTGTTGGTCATTAACACATAGAAAGGAGACAGCATTATTCATCTATCCGAGTAGTCGTTTCTTTTATTTTTCTTTGCTAAACAGTGAGATAATCGGGAAATTATGGCAGATAATCCTTTACTTTTCTTTTTTTGTTCTTTTTCGAAAGTGAACATGTAGTTCAACCCCTTTTATCATTGTTACTTTAATCTTTACATGTCACCATGCTTGTTTGTATGTGATTACTTTAGACCAGATTGCTTTTCAATTTATGTTGCTCTAATGACGGTTGTGTTGAAATGAGGCCTTATGTAAAGATTCAATGAGCATCTAACTAATCTTTCTTTTGTTGATTCCAAGGATTTTTGTAGCTTATCTTTGCTCAATCGTGGACGATAAAAAGGAATTTGCCATCATTTGGGTGACTCAAGAGTATTCAATCGCCGTAGTCATCGCCCAAGAGCAATGTGAAGATATCTCTCGTACTCTTAGGTCATGTTTGGTGACTAGAATTGAATTAGATTAAGAGGTAGGACTGCACTACATTGAATTAGATTGAATTGAAAATGATTTGTAGTCTTCATTGGAACTAGTAGCCCGAATGGGTGGGAGTTGTGGGATTATACATCCCGCCCATTTTGTAGAATAAGTAATCCTACAAAAATATGCACATAACGAGATTATGGTGAGATCAATCTCAATCCAATCCTAGTACTTTATTATCCTACCCACCAAATGACTGAGGCCTTAGCTATGAATACATTCCTAGGTTTAGTTTGTATTAGTGGCCTTGCACTCACAAAAGCAACCTCCCCGCACCTCCCAAGAATAGAACAATTCAAGTAAACTACCATATGAACAATCGACCCGGGCTTTTGCTTGAGCTCCTAAACACACACAGATACAAATGCATGCAGATAAGTCTGATGATGCACAGGGATATTGTGCATGTCCAAAAATGGAAATGGTGTTAAAAGGGGGGGAGCTTCAAACAAAGAGATGCAAAAACAAACGAAAAAACAAAAGAAGGAAGAAGAAAGATTGGCTTGACAAAAGGCAAATAAACAGCACACAGCATCAAATTAAGTACATAAAAAAGTCAGAATCCAAATAATACAGGAAAAAAGAAGAGAAAAAATACAATGAGCAATGAGCAATGGACACGGCTCCAGGAAGCTTGTTCTGTGTATAGTTCAATAAAACACTAACTATTATTCCGACTTGACCACCTTCTCAGGGCGCAAACCACAAAATTCCTCCCAGTCAATAGTCCCAACCTCGACTTAAACGACGTCGTCGACCGCCCCGTACTGCTCGATGACGCAATACCCAGAAACACCGGTTGGATGGCCAACGCTGCCGGCAATTCGACGGCGTTATTATCGTTGGCCCCACCGTCACTGGCACTGGCGTCTTGGATTGTTTCCCCTGTATCTAAATTCACAGCCAACGCAGGCCTGCTTGCCCTCAACCAATCGGCACCCTCCGCTGTCACTCCTCTGCATTTCTTGAGCTTCACTTTCACCATATTAGGGCACCCACTGGCCAACGCTTCGAGGCCGATGTCCGAAACCGGGCAGCTCTTGATGCAAAGCTTCTTCAACGCTACGCATTTCGCCGCAATGCACGAAATCTCGACATCGCCCACGGTGTCGCTTCCGCACAATGCCAGTCTCTCTAGGTTTGGGCAATTCGAAGCCAGAGTCTCCAAGCTCACTCTCGTTGGATTGACACCGATGAGCACCAATTCCTGTAGGTTAGGGCAGCTCATGGCCACCGCGACCAAACCTTCGTCTCCGACTCGGTTGGCCTTCCAGCCATCAATGTGAAGCTTCCGTAGAAGCTTACAGCGTTGGGCGACCGAGACCAAACCTACATTTGTGCACTCAGGGGTCTTGACCAGGTGTAGAATCTCCAGATCCAAGCAATTGGAGATGGCAGCGAGGCCTACGTCACTGACCTGAAGCTTTTCTAGATGGATCTCAACCATGGAGGTGACTCGCTCTGCTATCACCTGGAGAAGCTTGTCCCAATCGCCAGAGCACCTGAAAAGCTTCAGAGTCCTCAGATTCTTCGCGCCCATTATGAGAGGACCGAAGCACTGTCCATTGTAGAGCTCTTTGAGGCAAATCGTTTTGAGCGACGAGGCAGCTACGCCGGGCCCGATCGGCTCGGCTGCGGCTCCGTCCGTGATGCCTCGAAGCCGCTTCACCGATAACTCTTCCAGAGCCGAGCAATTGTCAAGCACTGCGTTCATTCCTTTAGCTCCGAAAGTGCACGACCCGCACGACAGCTTCTTCAAGGCCTTGCAGTTTTTGGCGAACGACGACATGCCGGCATCGGTCAACTCGCGGCACGCGCGGAGCTTTAGGCGCGTGAGGTTACGGCAGCGCAGAGAAATGAGGGCGAGCGCTTCGTCGCCGATGCTAACAGCTCTGCGGTCGCATTTGAGGGCGAGTTTGGTGACGGCGTCGAAGCGAGAGAAGAGAGAAGGGATAAAAGGGAGGAGATCTGATTTGGCGTCGAGGGAGAGACGGTGACGGCTCTGTCCCTCGATCCTCAACCACCGAAGGCAGACCAGAGAGCATTGTTTCCGATCGCGGGAGCCGAGGGACTGAAATATACAAGCCAAGCACTCGTCGGGAAGATCGGAGATGAAGTCATAAGCCGCGTTGACGATCTCAGAAGATTCGTCGTCGGCCTCCATGGGGCAGATCGCAGCCGTTGATTTGGGCTTGGAGCGATGGCTGTCGCGGTTGCTTTCACGGCGACTTGGGATTGCGGCCGCCGAAGCTGACTGGCCCATCCACGACCAATCGGGAATCAACGGTCGAGCTTAGCCACCTCGGCGTGGTTAATCGTAGATAGCACCGCAGAGGAGCGCTTCTGAACCACTGGCAACCTCTCTGGAAATGTTTGAGGGGCGGACTTGAAATCGGATTGCATTTGGCTTTTTCTGTCAAACTTTTCTTTTCTATTTTTTCCTTGGTTGTTTGGCAAATGGAATAGTCATATTTCCACTTGGGAAATAAAAATCAAAAGCGGGCGCTTTCATGTGATTATTGTGGACTCTTTCTTATTGCTTGTCCAGTTGTGGGACCCGCGACCCTGATTTTAAATTTCTACCTGTTTATGATTGGTCGCGTCGGAATCGTATAAATGGAAATAGTCAATAAAAAATTTGAAATTTTTTAAGTAATTACGCAAAATAAAACCAACTAAATATTTAAAATCAGTAGTGGATAGCGACAATTCAGGTGTGTCGTCTTTTACAAGTGTTAAATGGATATTATTAACGCCAACTGTTTACTGAAAATAAAAAGATCCGTGGCGTGCAATTTTCAAAACCAGTACAATCCTACTGACTTGAGAGAGCTACTCCTCTTCGCAATCATGCTATGATTATAGTTAAGATTAAATCATAATTTTATTTATAAAAAATAATGTACAATCCTAGCAACATTTTATTTTTATTTTTTTAATTTGAAAGCGATTTTTGTATTTAATACCAAGTATGTTTTCTTTTTCTTTTTTGTATTCTTAAAAAACTTTTGAAATACAACATCAGATTTTAAACCTCTTTAATTTACAGTCATTCACCTTTTCAAAACTCAAATAAAGTTTACTCTACATGAATGGTTATATTTTTATTCTTCTTTACAATATTTCTTATTCCATGAGGTGAAGAGTTAGGTGATTTCCACCAACACGTGCTAATAAGTACATCATATACAGAAGTTTGTGTAAATTTTTGTAAAATTTTGTATATAGTTTAATTATGTAAATAAAGGCTCGTTTGTGAGTAATTTTAGATAGATAAATAATCATTTTTATGGATAATAAAGTGATTTCAAGCAATTTTATAGACAAAAAAGTGAGAGACTTTTCTCTTATGCTCTCCTCTTTCTAAAATCACTCCAAAACAAGCTCTAATACGCATTTATATATGATATGAATAAATTCGTAACGATAAAAATTATTCTTAATCACTAAATGTGACAAAAAAAAAAAGGTATGTACAATCTTTTAAAAGCACAATTGATTTGACAATATTCGCATCCATTAATAAGTTTGACACATAAAAAAAAATATCCATGCTTCTAATCCGCAAACCAATTGGACCTAAGTGCTTTTTTATCTTTTTTCTTTTTTTGGCTGTGTTGTGCACATGTAGAGTAGATATCATTATGTTTATTTACTTTTATAAGAACATGCTTGGCTCTTCATGCACACCCAATTTCATCATTTGTGAGGAGGCAACAAGGTTATCCTCAAAATTGTCCCTTATTTTCAAAACTTCAAATTCACATGATACTTTTGCATGCTCCAAATCCAGCACAATGGCCCATGTATTTTTAGTTAATGTTCTTTTTTGAATTACAGTTATTGGGGAGGGGGCCACTTTTCCCGAGAATCGAACGAATGACCAAGGGGGGAAGGAGGAGGGACCTCACCACTGAGGTAAACCCCTTGGTCTTTAGTTCATGTTTTGAGGTTTACATGAAGCGTAGAATTTTATAACGAGGGTCTTATCTAAAGTTCTTATATGAAACTTTATTTCTTAATCGTTGAATTAAATTGGTTAACTTTTGAATCAAATTGGTTAGTTTGATCAAACGATTAAATGATAAGGTCTCATTTAAAAGCCTTAGAATGACTCAACACAAAGCTACAAAAAGGCATTCGGCTAAGACAAAAGAAACATAAAATTAAAAATTGATGGTTCCCATCATAAATTCCATGGGCCTTACTCTCAACTCCACGAGCAATTGGGCCTTCTTCATGGGTCTGCAATTTTTAAGTTGATAGAAGAAAAAAAAACCCGAAACAAATACCAGAATTCCGAAAAAGTCCACCGCCATCAGTCACTAGTCACTGAGTCATCGACAGGCTAGTCTAGTCACTACCACGATCCACGATACACTGCCGCCACTCAAACGATGAGATGACGACGAGAATGGGCACTCTCAACCCTACGCTGCTCAGAAGCATTTCGTTCCTCTGCGTGCGGGTCCAGCACCGGCGTCTGGGCCTTGGGCTGGTGGGCCCGAGTGGTAGGGCGTGGTGCAGCGGCGCGAGCGAGTCGACTCGGGCGGCGGGGCCGGAGGGTGTATTATCCTCTGCGGACAAGTCCACGCTGAGAGGAGTGCTGAGCGTCAAGGAGGCGCCAAAGTACCCGAGGTGGGACGACCCCGACTACTGTAAATGGAAGGATAAGGAAGGGGAGATTCTGAACGACATCGAGCCCCTCGTTTTGCTCGCCAAGGAGATTCTCCATTCTGACAGGTACGCTACGAGCTTAGGTCCAGACTCAGTTTGAATGTAAACCTTGTTGGAAGCTATGGTGGCAGGTTTTTAGTGGTTTTGGTGGTGTTTGCAGGTATATGGATGGTGAGAGCCTTTCAGCTGAAGATGAAAAGGTTGTGGTGGAAAGGCTTCTTGCTCATCATCCGCATTCTGAGGATAAAATTGGCTGTGGAATTGATTCTATCATGGTGAGTTTCTATACCTCATAATCACAGTGATAGATTCTTTGTTGGAGTTGGACTATCATAATAATTCAAATGGGGATTGTTTCTTAAATATGATTTTTAAATTTGTACATGATGTTTATACCTTAAACAGAACAAGATACTGGCAAAAAAAGAAAAGAAGCTTAATTAGTGTAATATTAATTAGTTTCTGTTTTTTCTTTTTACTGAATTTGACCATTCATTTTTTTCGAAAATATCAATTTGTTTGCTATAGTGTCAAGGATGGTTTGGAAGCCACCACTGGTTTTTGTGAACATCTGTGCATGCCCCCTTTTTGTTTTCAGCCTCTGATTAATTAGGTGTAGTATTAATGCTGATCGCCGAACCAATTTTTGCGTCGGTTAAAAGATTTAACATGAAATTGGTGTCACTAATCTATGGAAAATGAACGTCTCTTTTAAAATTGTAGTCAGGTACTAAATTATTTGTGGTGGTATCAAGGATGGTTTGAAAGCCGCATTGCTGTGAGTCACCTCACCAATCACCACTAGTAGGATAGTTTAAGGAAGCTAGTCTGATGATGCTTTCGTGATGGTCTTTGGGTTAGGGAAAATATGGGTTTGAAAACCAAAGGTTTGTGTATTAGTTTTGAGGTATTCATATGGATTCTTGAAGGCTAAAACTTGAAGACGTTTGGAAGAGATGCTTTCTGCAATCTGGCAGCAGGTAGTTTGAAAAGTCTTGGTTGTTTTGACGGGTTGATGGAGGCCTAAAGATTGTGGGAGCAATGTGGGATTAGAGAGGAGAGTAATTGACTTGGGTAGGCAAATAGGTTAAAGCAGCTAGCAAGTTTGTGTTCAAGTGAACATGTGAAGGTAATGGTTTGCAGGAGCAGGATCAATAATCAGGGTCAGAGACAGAGGTACAGGGAGGGAACCTAGGGAAGCATGTCTTCCATAAACCAAACACTTTTTTTTTAATTAATCAAACTCTTACATAGGTATACATCGACTCCAACATAGGTATAAGATTTCACTTGTGCTGCTCCTAATTATAGCTCGGGTAATTCTATTCACAGCAATCCTCCTAATCTTTATGGCCGAAAAGAAATTATAGTATCACCCATTTTACCCTTATTGATTTTTTTTTCTTTCTTCTTTCCTTGTTCCTGTTCTCTTCTCTTCCTGCCACCTCTTCCCCTTCCTCCTTTTCCTATCCTCTTCCTCCCCTCCTCCATTGATAACCATGGTGCACGCAACGCCAGAATTTTATAAGCAGTCAAGCCTTAGTACTTGCAAATTGACTTTTATAAGCAGTTAACCCGTATGACATAGCTAAAACTGAATTACATGCAAATAGTTTTTTTGGTAAAGAAGATATATGCAAATAGTGCTGCACAAACAAACACAGCTAAGAAGTTTTAAGAAAATTTCAACAGTTTTGTCAATAGAAAAGCATTTGTCTAGGCCAAAAGTTATTTTCATCCCCTGTGTAAGTGGGATCATTCATGTCGTGCAATAGATGTAGTGGGCGACGCGCATTTGCGATTTTTTAACCAGTAACATTTTTGAGAGCCGCATGTCTTAACCAATATAAAACAGTGAGGGACTCAAGATCTACTGATAACTCATCCTTGACTATTGGGCGTTACTTTCCATTGTTTTTTGTTATTCATTCCTTTTCAACACAATTAAATGGTTTTGGACACTGATGAACGAACTATTATTAATGTTAGTCTCATTGTTTCTTTGGCTACCTTTTGCCTGTGAGTTTGGTCCAGAAATGGGTATTATGTTGAAAAGTAGGAATCCTTCTTTCTATGACTATTTCCATGAAATGAAACACATGCTCTCTCTCCCCTTCAGTCTGATTCTGATTTGTCATTTAATTTGAATAGAACTGAAAATGATTATTGGTTGGCATCGAGTTTTCAAATTCTAATTGTTATCAGTAATATGTTATTAGCTAAGTCAGCTCACTCAGTATTTATCCTTTCCATTTCTTATCAACCTCTGTATTATGTGTACTGTTGTGTTTGCCTAGGAGAATTAACCAATTCTGTTTAACTTCTCTTGCTGAAGGTTGATCGACATCCCCAATTTAGACACTCAAGGTGCCTGTTTGTCATAAGAACTGATGGTATATGGATTGACTTCTCCTACCAGAAGTGTCTTCGAGCATATATCCGAGATAAGTACCCATCCCATGCAGAAAGATTCATTCGAGAACATTTTAAACGTGGTAGTGGCTAAATGCGTATCACTCGTAATGCTTGTATTGAAGTTTAATTTGGCTTTGGTAATTAGAGATCAGCATGGTATGAAATTCGAATTTTTCTAGCAAAGGGGTACTATGACCCACATATAGCCTAGATCCACAAAATGTCAATGTAGTAGATAATCCTTGACTGACACTCAAATGCATCTTTAAGAATGAGGACGAAGAAAATGATTGAAGTGAACTTTGTTGACTTGCATTTCCTTTTGTTGGCCTTGAACATATTTTCCAATTTATATGACATGTAAGGTTTTTCTGTCTGTCCTAGGAACTAACTGCCTTTGAGAATTTTATAGGATTGTTGAACTACTTAGCTCAATACCTACAGGTCCTCGAAGGTCGTTAGACAACAACCTGGCTCTCTCTCATTGTTTAGAAACTTTGTCATGCATTGTAGCTTCAATTAAAGAATTTAGACGGAGAAAATTACATAGTTCCTTATGTCTGCAATTCAGAAGTTGGGCCAATTCATTCCATCAGTTTAAGATGTTCAATCTTATGATCTTGTAGCTCTTTGGCTGAGCCTCAAAGGAGATCACAACATTGCAATTGTGAGAAAAACTGATGATTGAATTTTGTGTTTGTGTTTGGTAATAGTTGGACGCTGAATGGGTCTGGAATTCCATGGACCACCCAAGAGGACTGGTTCAAATCAGTTTAGTTAGAAGTCTGATTATTTGAAATTATTTACCTAAGTGGTCCCATTCTTTGACTGACTACTAGATATTGAGTAGTTGAAACTGGTACTATGAGTCAAAAGAGTCAAGCGCAGATCAGATGGGCACGCTGTTTAAGCTGGTACTTGGCTTTTTACAAGTCAAAGCAGGGCAAGTGTACAACTGTTTTGTGTCTGCAGAAATGTGGTTAGTATTGAAGACAACATCATTTCTTGTTGGAAAATTATAGGCTAACCAGACCCAGAATCAAATTAAAAACTTTTACTTCAATATATTCTCTAAACATATGGGAAAAAGATAATGATTTTAATTAAATACTTTTAGTATGAAGATTACTTTTGCAGAGTGAAGTTTTGGATGAAATAGAACTTACACCATTCACAAATAAGTCATTGCTAGACCAGTCGGGTAATTGCAAATTATATAAATTATCCGAAATGTCAGAACACACATAATGCAATATAAACAAGAATTTTTGTGAACGAACGCATAAAACAAGATGGCACGAATCTAGTCGTTAGAGAAAATAACCAGGTAATTGTGTAAATTTATGAAACATTTTTACCCATTTATTCGATGGTACTATTGGTATAATGATCTTGTGGATATTGGCTTGTTTTGGTAAAGTTGTTTAATGCTTTGTGGTCTAAAACTGGTAGAATATTCTCAACTTTAAAGTTTGCCCACCCATTAGCTTTACTCTGCATTAATTTTTGAACAACAGAAAGATGGTAAAAACCAGTTGTTTTCCCCCTCTTTTATTGATTTGTACTATTCAATTACAAAAGAGTGAATAACAGCAAATAAAGCTCGAAATCTTCTCTGCCATGCTATAAATAAAAAAACTCTCTGTATCTTTATGCTTGTAAAGAAGCAATTCCATAAGGGAAAGGGGAGGGTGTGTTTCTGTAGAAGCATGTTGTATTATTGTTGGTTTGTGATTGTCCCTTGCTGCAGGTGGGTAGATAAATTATCAAGTTTCATGACAGTAAACAGGTGCTGCGCATTAATTAGGGGGATTGAACCACTCTTTCTCTGTCGATTACTTGTTTAGCATAACAATCTCTTGGGTAACGGGTTCAAGGGTGGCTAAAAAAGACTCACTGTAGAAGCTATTGGGTAACCAATAATGGGAAAATACTTGGTCTCTTTATGCGTGTTTTTCTCACTAACAAATCACAGTTTTACACGTATGCAAACTTTTGATTTGCATATATCGGTCGGTTAGGTTAGTTGGTCAGAGCCCGTAAATTAGATTAGTTTTAGAGTAATGACTGTTTACCTGTAATGATTCTTATTATTTAATGCATGCATGGTGTGTGAAGATTTAAGAAAAGGTAAATTAGAGAAAAGTGGCTGATCTGGGCCTCTTGAGTAATCAGAGGTCAACTCTCGTCTATCATCATCTCAGTAGTTACAATCAATAAGAGTAACTTCTGTAGGGTGGTGCCGTAATTATGAGACAAACATTATGATTAGGTTCGGACACTATTCTGGGTGGGCCCCTCCTCTACATGGAGAGTGCCCACAACTGGACGGAGAAGATCCATGTGGGCCCTCACCCCCACAGCCCATATAATAGGCATGATGAGTTTTCTCTTGCTTGCTAATACACATGGGGCTTAAAAGATCTCTACGATCTGAAACGAACAAACAACGGCTGTGATTCTTGTGATGGTCTTATCAGCTATAGACTGCGAGCTATGACGATGGTTTGATGAGTTCCAATAAAGGGCTTTGCTTGCTTGCCTGCTTTCCGTTGCTGTGATTGAAATGTGAGGAAATGAACCAACTTTCTGAATCTTCAGAGAGTGGGCATTTCTGACTTTGACCAGAATGATGAAATAGGTGGTGGTGTTTTAGGAAAGGAAAAAAATGCTACTAATGATCGTACAAAAAAGTAAAGGTAAATTAGTAAAGAAAAAGAAAAAAAAACCAAAGGAGAGCTTTGGAGGCTTTCTAACAGTAAAACAGGGCCAACCTTTGCTCAGTTTTAGTTTTGATTTTAGAGGGATGTTTTAGTGGGTTGGGGTTGGAATTTGAAAACCTCCACCACCACCACAAATGCACAAATCACAATCTCATTGATGGAGTCTGAGTCTATAACCTGCCATAGCACAAACACTTTTTGTCCTCACACTATCTTCTTTCGCTCTCTAACTTCATTTCTTGGAGAATGTACCCTATAAAAGGACCAAGAAAAGAAGAACAAAAAATTAAAGCAACATCTCAGTCTTATTGGCTCTCAGCCCTAGAAAACCTCGACACCAAAAATAGGAAAGGGGGAAAAATTTTCTTGTAGTCTTATTAATCATCGTGGTTTTTTATACAAGCGATATTATGAGCGGAGAATTCGAGCACATGACTTCAAGTGCATGATAACTGCTCGTAAACACTTGAGTTACAAGTCCTTTATAGGTTGATCACCATGTTATAAGGATAATATTACGAGAGGGATGATTCGAGCGCATAAACCTCAACTAATCTCAAACACTTGAGCTATAAGCTCCTTGTGGGTTAATCAACATGTTATAAGGATATTAGTGACGGAAACATGATTATAACATGTGTGGATGGAATTAGGGCGTAGCAGAACATGTATGTGGGATAAACGGTCCGGTACCTATTGTTAAGAAACACGTAGAGTGGAGTACTGAATTAGCAACATATAGAGCAAACACTCAGCGAAGGGTTGTCTTTTAATCTTTTATTAGTGTTACATGGCATAGAGGGAGGGAAGGTAAGTCTGAGGAGCTTGAAGACATACAGTGATAGACACGGTGTGTTCTCTCTCATCTGTAATTGTTGCTGGCTGTTGTTGTAAACATAATGGTTGAGTGCAGTGCAGAGGGAGACCACCTTTTCGTACAAAAGAGGAATTGAGTTGTCCTGCTGCTGGGGAGTTTGTAATTCCAAGAAATATTCATTTCAAACTTGGCTTGTTGATCTCTGAAATTTTAAAGAATGCTTAATACCAGAAAGCAAAAAAATATATATATAAATACAAATAATGAGCCTTTCTTCAAAAATCTTATAATCTTCTTAAAACTTAATTGGATATTCAAAACTCATTACGTGCAAAACAGTTCAGTTATGTGACTATAATCTGCCTTATGCGTTGTGTGTTAATATAAGAGGGAGATTCAAATTTGAGACATTTGATAACATTGTGAAGAGAAGTAACACTAGATTAAGAGCTAGTTGATACAATAGGGTGTCTCAAGTACGATAGCAAACCGGGAAAAATAACCCTGCAACAAATAGGATCATCAATATTTAAAGAAACAAATAAAGAAATGAAAAGAGTTAGCTCCCGGATGCCTTTACTTCTTCTCTAGGTTAAAGCTTAAAATTATATGTATAAAGTTTCACTTTTCCTTTTACCAAAACCAATCAAACCAAAATCTTTATTACGAATTTTTCAGTATAAATTAAAAACCATACATAGTCAATGATAAAAAGCTCCTTATTCACCTATAGACAAGTATATAAGCAAATTTTATTACAATGTACCATTTACAGCGAACTTCATCTATTTGTTTGGCTAAAATGTAACAACACCGAAAAATTAAGATCTACCTAGTTCAGAAAAACAAAAACAAAAAACAAAACAATTGTCATGGCTGATGGCACCCAACATAGAGATAGGCATCTACAACATGGTTTTAAATACTTGACACTTGACACCCTAACCATATCAATATCCCACCAAGCCCCACTCCCATGTCGCTTGAATGTGTAATAATATATGGAGATAATTTGCATATATGAGCTGCAGAGGCAAAGGCATCTGAGAGAGACAACTCTTTTCTTTTATTTTTATTTTATATTTTAAATAAGAAAGATGAGATCATTTGATGCATAACGTTATGTATGAATCATATGAGAGCTTCATCCCAAAAGCACGTAGTCTGACACCGATTCATGCACAACGGTCTTAAATCATACACAAAGTTGTTTTCGCACCACAAATTTTATGTGTAAAATAATAAAAGGTGTGAAAACAGAGCACAATACAAAAATGGCGATGCAATCTTGTGTCTAACCTACACAACACAAAGCTGCCAGCTCATTTGTTATCGTTGCAAATAATATTTTATAATATTTGAATTGGGAAAGAAAATTTCAAAAAATATTTATTGGCACCGATTTTGGTCGTTGCAATGTGCACCAGATTTAGAGGGTAAATTGTTTTTTCGCGCGAAGGGCTCCCGCTCGCGCCAATTTCACCCACTCTTGCTGTATCCGAGACTAAAATATAAGGCCAGATTTATCCTCTGATAATAAAAACAAATAGAAAAACAAAATACAAATTATATAAAAATAATTAAATAAACACCCACAAATAACACAAGCGCAGAGCAGAAGATCCTCTCGTGTCCGGCCACTCATACCCCCCCCCATTCTACCAGCTCGAAGCATTCTTTTTTATTCATATTTGGTGTGGATGTGCATGTTCATCACATGGTCATCTGATCCGACGGCTCATGGCATCCGACGACTTTGATCAGAGGGGGTTGATAGGAGGTGGGCCTCAAATGCAAGGTCAGGAAGATGCAAATGTCACGTGTCAACTTGTTGTGCTGCATAGTCCATTATGCATCAAGGTCCGGTGGATTTAGGCACGCGAGCTCCTCAATTGAAAAGAGCAGAGTTTTACAGTGACAGTAGGAAGGGAAAAACAAAACCAAACAAAACCAAACAAACAACCCACAAGTTATATATAAAACCGCATCTTTGAGAGTGGGTTGTGGTCACTGCTCAGCCCCCCTCCCCTCCTCTTCCCTACTGCTCTGCTCTTTCAATCACAGACAGATAGAATACTCTGAGAGAGAGAGAGAGAGAGAGAGAGAGAGAAGATGCCTAAGGCTGAGTCTTCAGGCCTCTCTTTCTTCTTCACACTCTCTGCCTCTGGCCTGTTCATGAAGTAATGAGCCCAGAACCAAACCTCTTCTTCTCAGAAGAAGATGGATCAACCTCATCATCAGCAAGAAGTAGAATCAAGTGAAGAACAAAACCCAGTTTTCCTTTTGGATGCTCTGTATTGCTCAGAAGAGCATTTGGAGGAGCTAGCGAGTGTAGTGGAGTATTTCCAAGAGGAAGATGAATTTGTAGGAGACAGTTGTTACAGCAATATTTCATCGTATAAGCCAATAAAAGTTCCAATCTTGCTAGAGCAAGACTTGTTTTGGGACAACGAGGAGCTAATCTCGCTGTTATCCAAAGAAGCAGAACAAAATGGTGAGCTTCAAAAACCTCTCCAAATCAGCTCTTCCGTGTCTGGGGCTCGTAAAGAGGCAGTGGATTGGATGCTGAGAGTGATTACCCACTTCTCTTTCTCTGCTCTGACTGCCGTTCTTGCTGTGGATTACTTTGATAGGTTCTTCTTCAGCCTCCAGTTTCAGATTGAGAAGCCATGGACGACCCAGCTTGCTGCTGTGGCTTGTCTCTCTCTTGCTGCCAAAGTGGAGGAGACCCAAGTTCCCCTTTTACTGGACTTCCAAGTATGTTCATGTTTGATTGTTTAAAGCTTGTGATTTTGTGTCCATGTCCTGATTTGCTAAACCAATCTGGGTTTTTCTGACTTTTTAAAGGTGGAAGACAGTAAGTATATTTTTGAAGCTAGAACTATTAAGAGAATGGAGATTTTGGTGCTCTCCACACTTCAATGGAAGATGAACCCTGTCACTCCACTTTCATTTGTCGATTACATCACAAGGAGGCTTGGACTAAAACACCATCTCTGTTGGGAGTTTCTCAAGAGATGTGAGCTCATCCTTCTGAATCTCATTTCAGGTAAAGCCATCCCTAATCTTGCCCTTCCCTTATTCTCAAACTTGATCCCTTTTCTGCAATAACATAGACAACAAACAAAGTTAAGTTGAAATCTTTAATCCTTTCTTACAATATTCTTGGCCTTTTCTTTGAATTTTAAAATTGCAGATTCTAGGTTCATGTCTTTCCTTCCATCTGTGGTGGCCACTGCTACAATGCTGCACGTTGTCAACAATATAGAACCCTGTTTACATGTCGAATATCAAAACCAGCTCTTGGGCATTCTCGGAATTGACAAGGTTTGTTCACCCTTTAACCCGAATCTCCAAGTACCAACCTTTCCTATACTAAAACATGGAAAGTTTGAATTTTTTATCAAAGTTCTCAAACTCCGATTGAATCTTAAACAGGAGAAAGTGGATGATTGCTATAAGCTTGTCCTGGAATTGTCATCATCAGGCGGCCATTGCAAACCATCCAACAAGCGCAAGTTTGGTTCAATTCCTGGCAGTCCAAATGGAGTTATAGACATGTCATTTAGCTCTGATAGTTCAAATGATTCGTGGGCCGTGGCCTCATCAGTCTCATCTTCACCAGAGCCTCTGTCAAAGAAGAGGAAGCTCAGCCACAACCCAAATGCAGAGATTCTCAGCTTCAACCCTCGCTAGTTCCTCAAATGGTTCCCACCTTTTTTCATTAAGGACCCAAAAAAAAGTCTTTCCATGTCTAATAAGTACTTATGTTCTTATGCGATTTGTTAAATTGCATACCATCTCTGAAACTTTCATCCTAATTTTCCCAACCAAATCCAATCCACATACTCAATGATCTCTGGACTGTTCTGTGGATGATGGATTATATGGGATTAGGAAACAGAGATGGTTTGCATTTTATCCGGAGGAAAGTTTTTAAGAACATGAACATAGCAATGAAGAGTGTACTTGCAGCAGGCTGTATTATTATATATCTCTACTCATAAGCCTCTCTTGCATGGCCTTTCTAAAGAAAAAAACAAAAAGAAAACAATAATATCTATGTGGCTTTTTCTTCCACATTATTATACGCTTCTCATTGCCCATCATTCTTAATTTGTATAAATATGTACCCAACGTTAACATTTGGTTAGTAGCAAATAGCAGTCGGCAATCCAAAAAACAATACAGAAGAAACACCAAAAAAAATTTCTGCATAATTGGAACATGAAAATAACACTTGTGGTCTGATTTCCTGAAGAATTAAAATGAAAATTTTGGTAGAAAAGGCCTGTTATGCATGTGGTTAGAGAAACATGCTGTCGGCCACAACCATTTTAGGTGTTGGAAAATATTGTGAGTATAAGTTGGAGGTTTGACCTCGATGGATGAGCTAAATCTTGTATGACTTTGGGTTTGAAATCTGCCCTAATCACTTGAACAAGACCAACAGATGTAACCCACCAAATCTCTAACACCGTCCACCTCGACTTTCAATGCATGACATGCCTCTCTCCCCACCTATAATATTTACTAATTTTATTTGTAGTAGTAATTAATGGACCATTTTATATCTATATTAACATTGATATAAAATGGAACCTTCAATATTTCCGAAGTGCATTTCTTGTAATTATACGTTTATTAGCTTCAGTATCTTATTAACAGTGGCATGGCATCCCCCCCCCCAAACAAGGCTAGGTCAACTAGCAGAAAAAATTTCTTGTGACAGAAAATAATGCAATGGTATGTGAAAAAATTATTTCACGTGTCATTGCGCTATTGACTATAAATAATTTTTTTTTTTTTTTTTTTTTTTTTTTTTAAATTTTGTTATTCATGTTATATGATCTCTCTATGTCAACTAGAGCTACAAATAATAGAGAACGACCTTTGTACTAAGTATATGCAAAAATGCCCATTTTAAGTGCTTTAATTTCAGATTTGTAAAAGACCCTTTGAAAAGTCCAACTTCTTAATCTTGTATGTGTTGCTTAGCAAATGAGAGGGAAGGGGATGAATTCTATTCATTTAGATTGCTCCCACCACATTTGTAGGCAAGAATTGGACCGATGGATCTCACTTAATAGTGGTTAATCATCACAAAAGACACCCACAATAAGCACTACATGTGCTTTCTACTAGCTCCCACAAGAAACAATTTAATGCATGCCTAGTGTTTGAGCTTACTTAGGTACAATTTAATAAATCTCCTAATTATTTTCTAATGCACCGCGATTGCCGGAGTAAATATAAAATAAGAAGCTAGCTCAAATTTCCGTTGATATATATTGACCCCTTCTCATATACTATACAAGTAATCTATTGCTAGATTTGGTAATTGCCACTATAATAATACATAGAATATTGAATTGAAGTGTCGCACTTGTGTAGAAATCTCTTGGCCTAGTCTATGTAGAAGGAGAAGAGCATGTGGGTGAAAGGTGGAATTATGGAAAAGAGGAACCAATAAAGAAAGCGGAGAATTTAGATGATTAAGAAGAAATTAGTTTGATGTAAAACAGTGTTATTCACGTTTGATACAAGTTTTTCTGAAGTGAAAAAAAATAAAGAAAAGGTGAAAGGGGGTTGGGGGAATGCTGAAATCGGGGAACAATATCTTTTGATTTTGTATGAGATGTCTTTGTTGTTCCTTACACTTTGCTTGCTTTTTGGGCATAAGACTATTCAGACTGTAGGCGTATTTTCAACCTAAAAAGAAAAAGGGAGAAAGACAATGATAACATACGGATTGTTTGGTAAAAGTCCAGAAAGAAAGAGAGAGCAATGGGTTCCAGCATATCACATTTCCTCTTCTTTCTCGGTTGCTGCCCTCTTTAAACTCCTGAAAGCTCACCCCTTTTCTTCTTTTCTTTTTTTCTTTCCAAATTCCAACAATTGTATATCAATTCAATTGACTAGTGGCTCAAGTATGCATGCTTACAACTGTAAAATTTATACCTTCTTATTAATAATTTTGTCAATCATTTACAACCGTTCCGTTATTGAGAATGCGAACAAAAATTTGAATCAAAATTGGAGGTGTTCAATGCGGGAAGCTATTATGTTTAAAGTTATGGGGGGCCTCACTTGTGTTTAAAATTATTGAAACGTCGTCCACCACCTTTGATTCGGCGCAACTATAGTTGGGTTGGGTCAGAGAGATTATCATTAATCCCTCGCGCACAGTTTTGGCACAGATGATGAATGAAAAATCACACATTCTGCTCGTGAGTGGCTTAATGATAAGGCGACCCTTATATGTATGTATCTATCTTTCCCATAAGTCCCAATATGTATCCAAATAATTGGTTTAAATTCGCAACATCTTTATCATCATTCATATCAATCCCAGGTTTGGTTGCTGTTGTTGCAGAGTCTAGCAGCAGGACAGTTGGATTGTTTTATCCTATATCATCTAAACCACAGGATTGGCATCCAATGGGCTTGGCTGGGAGGTCTGAACTGGACTGGTCTGGGCTGCTTATTGTCTCTGGTATATAGCGTGTCACACTTTCCCATGAAATGCCAAACGTACTATTCAGATTTCAGAGGCTCTCTCGGACTTTATAACAAGTCGAGACAGCCCTGCACTGCTGCACGGCACTGCCTTTGGTTCTTCCCGATTTGTTTTTACGGAAGATGCATGGAGCTGGCTGGGTCATATGCTTTGAAAGTATTTTTACATAATCTGTTTGGAAACAAAATAAAACAAGGGTCCATTATTTTTGGCCAAACCATGCGGCCAATGCCATGGCCGTACAAAAGTGGTCCACAATATGATTATGATATTGTATTGGTCAGCTTTCAGCAGCAGTGGTCCAATCTTGCAAATTAAACTCGTTTCTTGGTTTGGTTTAGTTTGGTTTGGTAGGTAATTTTCTGTTTTCTATTTGCCTTTTGTTCGTCATTCTGTTTTTTTAAACATTTTGCTGTGTTAACATTTTTTTACACTGAAATTCAAAAGGTAAAAAAAATATAATTGCTTACAAGTACAGTAACAGAATTGAAACTGAGTGTTTTTGGGTATAAAAATTTGTATAAAACAAAAATAGCAAAATAATGTTATTCTCGTTGCACACAAGTGTTTGTCGTTTCTTGAGGGCCGTGGTTTTGTCTTGAGATGAGATACATGATGAAATGATAGTCTGCAAATGACCTTTAGGCCTCCTCAAGTGTCCAGCTATGCTGGGAAAAAAGAAGGGAGATAATATACCCAATATGGGGGCCCAAATTATAAAAATTCCCCATATGAAATGAACTTTATAAACACACCCAAAACTCATTTACAACATAACAAAGAGGCTTTAACTTCTTATAAATTACCAAACTACCATAAATTTCTTAAAACAAGCTCAACCCCAAAATCTCATAAAAATACCCAAAACACTCAATAGGGCATTAAAGTAATTTAATAATCAATATTAAATTCAATAAGGCCAGCTGTCATTTTTGGGGTTTTTTTTTGGTTTGTTTATAGAAATTCAATGATGGAGGGTTTATCTATAATATTAGTGCTAAGAATGGGTATATCACTAAATATCTCAAAAAAGAAAGCAATATTACTACATTTTAGCTGTGTAGATCCACCTCTGCAGGCGTTTGGATTAGTTAATAAATATTGGTGGCAACCAATAACTTAACCATTTGGCTTTGCCCTGACAAGGTTTCTGTGTATACTTAATTTAGCAGAGATGTAAATCCTTTTTTTTTCTTTTTTTTTTTGACTTGAGAGATTGGGACAACATAGCATTTATGCTTGTTGAACTTATCTGTTGTTTGTTTCCTTCACCCTTTTCTTCGTCTTGGATGGATGAATTACAGTTCCTGTAATTACCCTACCCTTTGCGAGGTATAAGATATATTTTACATTTTACATATTGTTTTTGCAGAAAACAGGCAACTATATATGGATGAATCATGACTGTTAATTGGCAATTTGACTTGGACAAAACTTGATTACTAAAGATAAACAAACTTAAATATCATTCAAGGTTGAACGTAATTAATCAAATACCAACTAACTATTAGTCTAGAAATTTTTCTCTTTTTAATAATAATAGAGGTTTTAAGTTCGAATTCCCGATTTCTTATTATTGAAATTTGAAAGAGGTTTTAGCTCTGTTTTTTTAGGAAACCAATTTTGTTATTTGTTCACCTTTCTGGGGTCCAACACAGGGGAATTGTCCATCAACATGAGCCCTACAGAATTGAAGTGAAGGCCCGCATGAAAGATGAAGTGTACTTTTGTTAACTAATGGTCAAATAACAACTGTTGAGATTTATTTTCAACTCATTCAAGGCTCTGCATGAATTGGGCTTTGTTAGAATGTACGGCTTTTACTATACAATTGACCAATCCGAGGTTCATAAGTAGAGTTAAGGCCTAACCCAAGTGGAGTTGGAGAACAGAACTTGGGCTCTCACATGAAAATTAAGAAGAGACCTTACATCATTTTTTTTTTTTTTTTTTTTTTTTTTTTTTTTTTTTGAGACAAAGCCTACAATCTTTTTTTTTTAATTATAAGAGCCATGGATAAAACTTGCTTCTAAAATCGATAAAACTTGCTTATCGATGTTGATAGTAGTGGACCGTTGAAATTTAATATGGTATTAGAGCGGGTTGATTGACTGGGCTTAAATTGGGTCTTTACCCTTACCCAATATGTGGTGTTTACATGTTAGGCTTGAATGTT